TAATTATATATTATGAATTCAAAATTTTCCTTTAATTTTTTTATGAATTTTTGAGCGTCACCAAGCTGAATAAAAATATACTTTGCCTTTTACTTCAATTTCAAATGGTATTTATACGCCTTGTCCTTATATAATTAAATCTCCCACGCTGTGAGATTCGCGGAAAAGTGAATGAATTGAATTGAATTAGAAAAAATGGTGCTTTGGAGGTACTCGTGTGCGCGCGTGCCGCAATTAGATGGTCACACATAGCTGGGCTTTCACCTCACGTGGAGGTTATGCGACTCGCTCAGGATGGATGGCTAGGGCGCTCTTCGACCTTTGCGCGCCATCCTTCAACCTAGCCCTGGCCGTCCTATGCGCGCGTAGAGAAACCATTTCGGTTCCTGTCGCCTTCGCCGCTTTTTTCTTTATTCCCTCGCTCGTTGTGTTTTTTTTTTTTTTAACCAAATCGTCCCGCTGCGAGATGCACTAATTGAGCTGACCTTAGCACCTCGCCTTGCAACACCCGCGGCGGTGCAACGCATGCAGAGTGCGTAAGTCGCGGTGTTGGGTTTCGTTGGAGAAGAGCTAATTCTATTGAGGTTACAAGCCAAGTTTTCACCCGCGACGACAACGGCAGCCAGATCCGCGTGAGACCTCGATTTAGAAATTCACATTTCAAAAAGGGGTTCATTTGTGCAGTAAAGCCTTAATTAAATCAAACAATTGTTATTATTAAAAAATTAGATTGGACAAATTAACGTTCTCTGAATTTGTTAAATTATTTTCAAAATATTCACATTTTCAAAGAATCAAGCAATGGATAAATCTTTGGGATTAGCAAATTTATAAATTATTGTTAATTCCCTTAATTTTTTTTATATTGATAATAGTGCATAAACAATAATAAAGAGGACAATTACCAAATAATACTTATATATGCCTATTTTATTTTGATAATCAAAATTATTAATAGCTAATTTGCTCACCAGAAGTTATAATAATATTAAAAAAAATCATATATAAACATAATAGTGCCGTATTAAATATAATTATTATAAATATGTAATAAAACAAAATAATAAAATTTATTTTTTAAATAATGTTAATATATAAATAAATTAAATTATATTTTAAAAACAGTTACTTAAAATAAATAATTAATATAAAATAAATTGTTACTTGTTTATATTTAAAAATTATTTAACTTATAATTTAGTTTAATAGCTGCCGTTTTGTCTACACAATTGAATCTTCTCACTCAAAAATTTTACTGCCTTTTTATTGTGTCGCTTCGTCACTGATAGTATAAAAACGTCACTCCCTGCATTTAGCATTTGGCTCAATTGGCCGGGGTTCATAATTAAATTCCCAACAGCAGCTGCAACTCCAATTCTGTAATAAGTTTTGCTTCCCACACACATGCATGCACACTTTGAAGACGAAACAAATGAGACCGACGTCCTCTCTATGCTTGCTGCGCGATGTCAAAATTTCTAATCTGGCAGATCCGCTTTGAGAATTTAGGTGGAAGAAAAGCCGCAGTTGGGCGCGTGTTAATTATTTTGAACCAAGAAATGACGAATGACGACCCTTTGCACGTAGACCAATTGGAGCGAGCGAGCTTAATTAATTTTATTTGCACAATTTCGCGCCGCACGCGCTCTCTTGTCCGAATCATATAAATAAACACGGGTCTGCATTTGTCAACAAATGCGTCTCAAAACGAGACGGAAAGCGTGTCAAACATAAATCCATCACATCATCACTCTCCATCTGAAGCAGGGACAAGCGAGTAGCGAGCGAGGCGCGGATTAGCCAATTAATATAAACAACGAAACAGAAAACGTCAGAAACATCTCAGCGCGCCTGCAGCTGAATCGACGCGAAATGCCAAACAAAGATGCCGAGGCGCGAGAAACACAAACTGATTAATTGCAGTTCTCACACTCTGTTTCATTGTTGCGCTTTTTTAAGAGTTAAAAAAAATTATAGGAAACTTACAAGCTAGTAAAATGCATATTGGATACAGAAGTTGTTGATTTTAATTAACTTTCATTCAAATGGTATGAATTAATAAGCAAATTTACTTTTCCAATTTTGGGAAATGTAGCAATTTTTTATTAAAAACATTATTTAGTGTAAATTGTGTACCACATGGCACATTAAATTTTTGAAGTTAAACCGCAGCAAATTGTCTTATTGATTAATTCATTAATTTTAATCCTGTAGCTATTTTTTTTTTTTTTAAATAAAGCATGTAAAGAGATGAGTTCAAATTAAAAAAAAACCTATATATTTTAATTAAAGCTGTTATATTTTGTGTCTTATTCATAATGACGTCCATTGCATACTTTTCTCATGATTGTTAATAAAGAAAAATTACCGTCTAAAAATTTCGGCCGATTCATAGCTTCTAAGAAGATTTTTTGTAATTATGTTTTTAATTATAATTTTAATAAATTTAAATCTAAGCAAAATGTAATGGAAATCAATCATCAGAATCAATTTGGAATCTATGATAAAAAATATGCATAATTTATTCTTTCAATTCCTATTTTTAGCAGAAGCATTTCAATTTTAAAATTCTATAAATAAATCATTTTTTGTCGATATATTAAATTTGAATGTGTTGAAAGGAACCATGTAATTAATCATTTATATCAATTTGCTTTCTATTTCAAGATTTATTAACCCTTTTAAATCACCTATAAACACTCCGTTCGCAAAAAGAAAACACTAAATTCTCACGTTATTATTTTTATTGCAATTACCAGATCCAGCTCGCAGACATAAATCTCTGCTAATTTCGCACTCTTGAATCAGTTTGTCGTCAATTCTTGATCCGCGTCGGGGAAATTACATTGAATTCAAATTCCGAGGCTGCGGTTTTCACCTCTCGGATCTGCACGCTCGCCATCCATAAGCTGACCTTTCGACGCAATTCTAAATCAAAAGAGAAAATGCTCATTGCAGGGGAGATTGTGCCGTGCGTGAGTTTGAAAGTAGAAAATAAAAGTTGCACTCTCCGATCTGGCTTAATTTCTCTACTCCCTCGTCGTCGTCGCGCGAGCGCGAAAAAAGAAAATTCATTATGTGAAATTGGTTCGAACGCGGCGCCTCTCTCAAGATCGTGCTCCGTTTTTTTTTTTAATATGCCTTACCTGCAATAATATAATCAAATTTTCATGTATTGCCTGGGAACTGCTTTTACATTGTCAAAAACCTTTCACCAAAAAGTTACCGACCTTTATTAGGTAAAATATAAACGCTCAGGTCACCCTGGCTTTTTTTCATGCAATGTATAAATTTTCTACTATCCAAAGTCACTTTTTGCCCTAGCAGATAAATTATTATTATTTTTAAAATCGTTTATCTTTTTTAAACTTCAAAATGAAGAAATTATTCTATATCGCTTTTGGATTTTACGATTCTGTTCCATAACTACTGATGTCTCTATACCTGTCACGGATGTCGTTTTTTTTTTTTAATTTGTTTGAAAATTTTATACAACCATCGGAAACTTATGATATTTTAATAATTTAAAATTGATAGAGATTTTTTTATTGATTGATGGCCAAGTTTAACAGTTCAAGTAAAACAATTTTCAAATCGATTTTCATATTTTTTTAAGTTAACCAAAAATTGACTGCTTTTTATTAACTTTTAACTACTTGGTGCAGTAAAGCCTCAATTAAAAAAAAAACAATTGTTATTATTAGGAAGATTGACTTGATGTAAGATGTTGTGTATTTCATGTATCTGAATAGAGAATAAATAAATAAGGAAATTAGATTGGACAAATTAACGTTCTCTGAATTTCTTAAATTATTTTCAGAATATTCAAAATTTACAAAGAATCAAGCAATGGATAAATCTTTGGGATTAGCAGTTTTATAAATTATTTTTAATTCCCCCAATTTTTTGATATTGATAATAGTGCATAAAAAATAATAAAGAGGACAATTACCAACGTTACTGGTACAACTTACATCTGCCTATTTTATTTTGATAATCAAAATTATCAATAGCCAACTTGCTCACCAGAAGTTATTAAAAAAAATCATATGTAACCATAATAGTGTTACATTAAATATTATTATTACATAAATATGTAATAAAGCAAAATTATAATTTTTATTTTTAAAATAATGTTAATATATAAATAAATTAAATTATATTTTAAAAATAGTTACTTAAAATAAAATTCCATTATTTAATATAAAATAAATTGTTACTTGTAAATATACAATTTAAAATTGATAGAGATTTTTTTATTGATCGATGGCCAAGTTTAACAGTTCAAGTAAAACAATTTTCAAATCGATTTTCATTTTTTTTAAGTTAACCAAAAATTGACTGCTTTATATTAACTTTTAACTACTTGGAATGAATTCTTGAACCAATGTATTTTAATAAAGAAATCAATTTTCCATTTATTATAATTTGGAATTTTTTAGACTCAATTTTATAATAATTCAATCTCAAAAAGTACTTTAAAGTCCAAAATTTGATGTACAACGTTTGTTTTGAAAGTTAGCAACAATTTATTGGTGTCAAAGAAATAAACAAAATCAAGTAAATACTTTTTTACGCTTTTTATCTGTTTATCACAAGAGTATTTTACATTTGTTGCCAAATCAATATATCACTTTTGTTTTCCTTATGAAATTAAATCAAATTTTGCGACTTTGAATAAATTTAAATCTCACATGAGAATTTATATAAATATGAAAAATTAAAACTGATTCCAAACAAAAAAGTTATTAAATAGTTTTGGCTAATAATTTAATTAAGACAAAATTGTTATTAATTGTGAGTGGAGATGATTGCGTGGACCAAAGAAAGGTGCACGCAACGAACGGTTGTGGGTGGCCGCGGAGAAGAAGCGAGTGGAATGAGTCGATCGAGGCGTTCCACTTTCGCGGTCGGCGGCGGGTTGGGGGCGCCGCGGACAGGTGGCGCTGACGTCGGTCGTGGTGGGGCCTGGCCTGGCCGTCAGCCCTTGGCTGGGAATCGGTGCATTTGCACGATCAGTCGCATTTATCTTTCGCTTGCATTTGCACGTCTCAGCCGGCGCGGTCCAGCGACACAGTGTCCCGATGCCAGTGAGCCAGTGGATTAATCACAAGTGGTGATCGCGAGGAAGGAAGGGGCTGTGATCGGCTGCAACGAGAATTGCGATTTTCGTGAGGAGCCAGAGCGAGATCAGTTCGCGACACAAAGTGTGCAGCGCCAGAGCCGAAAGTATTTGTAGTGCGGGGTGTCCGAGTCAGCGGGAGCACCTCCGGACACGTTGCCCGACCTCAAAAGTGTGGAAAAATATTATGGCCTTGGCTAGGTGAGTCTCGCACTTTTTCATACAACAAATTTCGCCCAGACCGAATCTTCCCTTCCCCGATCGATTTCATCCCCCGTCAAAGCCATCTTGTTTCGCATCCCCTCGTTCGAACCCCTCGCACGCCACCACTCCATACCTAAAATTCACGCTACGTGTAAATTCAAACCTTTCAAAGGAGGAAGCAAAACTTAAAATTATTTTAAAATATATAAATTAATTTATTTAAAAAAAAGAACCAAAAATTATTAAATTTTGTTCAATTTTCCAAAGTTTCCGGAGACAGTTTGAGGTGATAAATAGTGTTAGACTACTTTGGAGCGCGATAAAAAGCGGCAACAACAATGAGCTAAGTGGAATCTGGGACGCTATCACTGCACTAGGCAGACTGGCGGTTCCCATTCGCTGTGGTGGTTATTGAGGACTTCAGAGCCTTGGCCTACTCAATCAATGTAAACCTCACATTTCGAATTATATTCGTCGGCCCGGCGGCTCTCTAATGTGTCTCTCCGCTCATTTTACTTAATAAAATGTTGGACAAATTCGGAGAAAAGTTTGCTCGGCAACAGACGAGTTTTGGGGAGGCTGAACGACCCTGGCCGCGACCGGAAACGCACCCCTCGGCTCTCTCGCTGTGAAACCAAAACGGGTTGGGGGAGTAGAATGAGTGGCTCAGCTGTTGCCACCGGCAAGGAAGAAAATTAAGAAAAATTAAATAATTGTTAAAATAAAAAAAACGCGTGATTCACTTTCGCGACGATTTCTGTCAAGGCGATCTCTCGGTGAGACAAACACAAATAATTTTATTGGCAGCCGCTGGAAAACTTTCCCTCTTGCTAAACGCGCAGTTCCACACAATTGAAATAAATGTTTTGCTTGATTAAATGGTTTAAAAAAAACACTTAAAATTAAGAGTCATAATTTAAATACACATTAAATAGTTCAATTTGACAAAATTTATCAAATTTATTAAATTTAACTTGCAATCTGAGGAATTTCGGTTGATTTTAATTTATTTATATTTTACTGATATGAAAAAATTTAATTCATCATCAGAATAAAGAAACAACCTTCAAATTCTTTGTTAAAAAAGGGTCTTTTTTTATACAAATAAATTGCTATTTATTTATTTTCTTCCCAGCACTCAGGTATCAATAATTATATTTTTATCCCCGTCGTCCCGGCGGCACCCTATTCGTTTCACAATGAGCATCCTCTGCGTTTTTGGAGGCCACACAAAGTAACCCTAAAATCTCTCACGGAATGAAAAAGGCTCTTTCTTTTATTCTGATATACCTGAAGCGAGGAGGCAAAAAAGGAAGCGGCCGAGGGGAGATCTTTTTCGAAGTAATTCTTAAGGTCAGCACCACCTACAAGATCACCTTGAATTTCGTGTGTGTGTCTCTCTCTCCCCATACCTGCTATGGTAAATATAAAAAAGGATCCTCTCTCACAATGCCAGGATAATCATCCATCATGGTCGCCTTGAAAAATAATAAAAACCCAACAAATTCGGATCTCTTCCTATAAGAAAAATCGGCCTGGATTGAAGCAATTTCTAATTCCCACCCTGACCTAAAAAGTAAATCAGCCGGGGGAGGAATTTAGAAAGTTGGGATTTCTTTGCGTGGAAAAATTCGAACCCTCTCCCCTCGGAGAGAAATTTTTGTGCCACCTGTTTTTTTTCTTCTCTTCTATTCCACAACAGGGTTGGTTACATTTTCTCGCAAAGAAATGAATATAAAGAAAGGCGCCGCTTTCGTTTCGAGAAACTGGATCTGCAGGAAGCTCTCGGCAGGGTGAAATCGGAATTCGAAATGGTGAAAGTGAAAGTTATTTAAGTCGTTGCGTAACGCGCGAGAGTTTGTCTCCGCGAGCAGGTGATCGATTGGCCGTTTTTTTAATTCAATTTCGCTCGAATTTTTTTATATTATCTTCGGCGAGATAGAGGCGAGCTGTGTAGGTTCAGGGTCGAGTGTGCCAGGGTCGTTCACATTCAAGAAGAAGAAGAAGTGCTGCTCATCCCAGAAATAAGCAGCACATCCGCCAAAACTCGTCTCCGAACCAACACACCATTGGCCGCGCGCTTCCAAGGCCCCGAAATGTGGCGAGGTCGAATTTCGCCGCCAAATCCGTGCCGATCGCCGCACAAAAATCGCACAGCGACACCCACAATTAGGTCCGACGTTCCCACGGCCTTCTGAAAAAATTAAGAAAATAAATAATAATTGGAAGTAAAAAAACAAATGGTTTTTAAACAAAAATAAAATATCAATTAAAAAGAATAATTTTATTTAAAGGATTAAATAATCAAGGGAGAAAATTAAATAGAAATCATAAAATTTAATAATAATTTCCATATTTTTGTTCTTTAATCTAGAAAGATTAATATTGGAAAATTAAAAAATAATCTTTTAAGTTTGGTAGTTTTATTAAATTAAATTAATGGAAATTTATACTTCCTCTTAATTAAGCGTCCTAACTAGTTGTAATTTATTCCTGAATCCGTACAATTTATTATTGTTAATTTTTTTTAATAATTTTGGATTTGGCTGTCGAAGCTCATGCAATGATTGTGCGTGGGGTTCTTCGGCAGAGATGCGGCATGGCCTTGGTTGCAAAGTCCCTGCTGCTCTCCCCTTCTGACGAGGCCTCTGTTTGTGTGTGTGTGTGTGTGTGTGTGCTCTTGATGCAAGCAAGGTCACTCCTCCCATCGAGATACGCCACCAAGCATTTATTTGTCGCTGGCTGCGCGCCCGCCGCCGCCGCCGCCGAGCTCCTTTTCCACTGCCCGGTTGCTTGCTTTTCCCTGAATCCGCCGAGCTGGCCAGACTCCCCCGACCGTCTGGCCCGCAACCTTGAGACAAAGGAACGAAACCCAAGAAGAAGTGACCTCACAGTGGAGGAATTTTTCGGGGTTCAAACTTCCAACTTCCTGCTCAAGGGTTTTCCTCGCCGCGCCAAAATCTCCAAGGTTGTTATTTGTTTCTCCGCTGCTTTTTTTTTGTTCTTCGCCACCCCAGCCTCGCCTTGGAACAGTTTGACCCTGAGAGTGTGGCTTGAAATTTTCGGTTTTGCCCACGATCCAGATCAATCGATCAGAGAGAGACTCGGATTTCCATTATCTTATCTGAAGAAGAAGAATAAGGACGCTTTTTGTGTCAGAATTCAAATCGATTTAACCTTGCGCCGCACCTGATAACTTTCGATTGGGTCAGACACAAATCTGTCTGATTAAAAATTTGGCAACGATGCATTTTTTTTATGTATAAAATTACCAACTTCCTCTTTAATCCTCCAAATAAGAATTTAATTATATAATTTTCCTGAATTCTTTATATTTAATTTTTCCCCTCATAATAAATATAATACTCGAGACAAATCTATATTATTGTCCTTGGCGGGTATATAAATTGAAGCGTGTCTTTTGCAGCTTCTTTCAATCAACGAACAAAGGACTTTGTGCGCCAGTCACATGTTCTTCCGAAAGCCACGTGGCCCGGGAACCACGTGTCAATATAATTGCAAACGACGGAGCAACTGCTGTGTGCGTTTTCGCCAAAGAAAGAAAGAAAGCACGTTTTGTGTGTGGCAATTTCTCCGCAGCACAATTTGCGCGTCCAGGTCAGGGTTGGGTCGGCGTGCGCGCGGAGCAGATAACTTCGGAGCAGGCAATGGATTCAGCCAGCGCCACTTGAAATCTAGGTGAAGAGAAAATTCTCCGGCGCTGTCCTGCTTTTGAATCCTGACTGCTTGAAAAACTATACACGAGAGCTCCGAAGAAAACGTTTCAATGTTTGAGTGAAAATCTGAATTTTTTGGGGGGAAAATTATAATTTTTAAGTAAAAAAGTAAAATTCATATTTATTCGCTCAGTTTAAAATATTGCTAGCAAAAAACCTTGGAAAAAATAAACCAGCAGCTTTTTATTTATTTTTGAAGTCGGTCTGTTGCAAAAAGCGACCGCATGCGGATTAATTGGCGCGTGCTGAGCCTTATCGTGCGTCGCTGGTCACCTTCAAAGTGTCACCTTCCATTATATTGTGTTGTTATTTCGCCAGGCTCTCTTTGTTTTTCCACCATGTGACCGTCCGTCCGTCTTTCGTCACGTGGCCGCGCGCACTTTTCGCTTCCCCCGTGTTTTTCCCTGAGCAGAGAACGAAAATTGAAATCGGATTTTAGTTAGAGGCCAACGTTTTATTATATTTGTACTTGAAAAGTTGCCTTCGCAGCCAAAAACCAAAGTCGCAGCATTGAACATTTTCCGCTTTCGAGCGGTGTGCGCGCGCGGAGGCCACTGGAAAATTAGTGACTGCGTGCAAAAAAATTCATCCGCAGGCCGCCATCTTTTGCTCGAAATGCATTCATGCTTGCTGAAGAACTGAAATTTAGCATACATTAATTAAAAACATTGAAATGAGACAAGAAAAATTGCCAAATTCCTGAAGTAAAAAAAATTATTTAATAAATATTTTAAATATTTAGTTTTTAATAATTATAATTGATTCGAAAATAATTTAAGCTTTTCTGGAGAGAAAAATAATAATATTTTGAAGGCATTTTAATTTGGCACATCTGACTAACGTTTCACCTTTCCTTGAATAATCAGGGCCATTTTCTCAATTGCGATTTTAATAATTTGTCTCCTCCGGCTAAAACGCCACTTATACATGCGAAAGGTGCCAAAAGTTCGAGTGGCCACACTGGACGTGCCGAATCAGCAGAAAACGCGCTGATAAAGCTGCTGCATAATTGTGCTGTTGGGTCACATCGCTTGAGAAAAAAAGAAAGGCTTTTATATTCATTCAAATATATAAGCGGCGTGCAGAAAGTCTAGTTTCGTACGTGAAAGCAGCACGGATGTTTGATCCGTTTGCTATTGCGCGCCCTGTAACCTGGATTACTCATCTTGAAAGTATCACGCTCGGATCAAATTCGAAAAAAGAGAGAGAATTGCGCGTGCGAATGCAGCAGCGGCAGGACAGGAACTCGATGCACTTGACGACCTTGTTTTGCATCGTCACTTTACATCAAGTGATGAGTTTCTCGTACAATACATAAAATTTAAATTGAGAATGATTATAAAATAAAAAAATGTGTCCACTTTGAGCACCGGTTGTGAAAGGGAAGTGATTCGAGCACATTCAGGTTTCAAGGAGGATCGCATTTTTGTTTGTCCAAGGCGACCAATTCTTTGTCAGGCTTGTTTTCAAAAAAGATATTTTTTATTAATTCCCTCACTTTTGATGGTTAAAAAATTAATATCATTATTTTGTTTAATAATTATTTAACTATTTAAAAAAATTAACGCTTTGATTCTTTTAATTCTATATTTCATTGGCAATTTTGAATTTATTGAGAGATAAAAAGCTGCTGGCTTGAGGTGGAAGTGACAAACAAAGGCATGAAACCACTTCCACCCGCCGAGGACAACAACCTCTGAGAACAAAACCTTGGCGATAAAAAGTGACGGTCGGGGGCATCTCCCATATTTTTCGTCTTATCACTCGAGGGGGCAGTGCACTTTTGAGTTGCTCTTTCTTTTCCTTTAATTACGAGTCAAAATGGTCCGTTTGCGTTGGCGATTGTGGCGGCCGCGAGGAGAGCAGGAAGCGCGGCTGTAGTGAACCTTGGAGCGCGCGGCAGCAAAGCAAGCAAGCGCCGAGTGATAATACACTAGGGTGTGCTCGAAGGGCACGAGCAAGGCCACTGGCCGTGACGTCACCGCCAAGGCCTCCGCCAGGGGGTGAATCAGAGGTGACCCCGAGGTCAAGCACCGATGGTTGCTCACGTGACACTCCGCCGCCCCTCTGCAGTGCACAGCGCTCATGTGTGAAAAAATAATACGTATCTCGTTTCCCAAGAGCACGGAGATAAAAAAAAATTTGAATATATTTATTTAGTGATGGCGGACGGAAACGACTCAAGAGAATTAGTCAAAGGCATTTTGATTCTCTTTAAAATTTACTATTTCAGCTATTTTTGTTTTATTTGAGTGGATTATTTAAGAATATAAAATATTTCAATATTAATGATATTTTTTTCTTAATTTTAAATGTTTTGAAAAAAATTCAAGCCTGATTGCGTGGGAGGGCAGCCTGGAGAGCTCCCGTGAGTCAAAACGTGCTCGCAATATTGTCCACGGGTTTTTTTTAGAAAGTGGAAAGGACCTTGTTGAGGGAAAGCGGCGCGTGGCGCGGTGTGTAAAATGGTATCGGAGAGAGAATCTGCCCTTTGTGTGGAGCCGGGCAGCCCTGAGACAGGAAATAAAGCCTCCAAAAGCCGCCCAATGCTGACTGGTGCAATTGGATCGGATTTTCATAATGTTATTGCCTTGGCGCCTCAATGCTGCAGCGTTGCCGTCGCCGCCGCCGCGTGTATTTAGTTCATGGCGTTTCATTGATCGGCCCGACCGAACCGCCGAGTTTCGAGCGGCGCCGGCCAAGGAGACACATACGCACGCTGAACGTTGTTCCGAAAAACAAAAACGAGCACTGGCCTGGTTCGCAATTGATAAAGTCAAATTGGGGCCAGAAACAAAAACCTCAAAATCTCAATCCACTTTTTGTGTGTTTGAAAATTAGTGCAATTGAGATAGAAAAAAACTATAGAAAATTATTATTTAATTCCCAAATTTGAATGTTTCAATTGTTTTTAATAGTGAAGAACTAAAATTAAAAAATTGACAATAATTCATCGTAAGATGTTAATTTTTTGTATAATTTTGATTCCTTTTTATTTTAAGATGTCCAAGTTTCCTTGATGATTTCACGCGAGCTAGGCTGCCTTATTTCACGAATTGAAAAGTGCATTCACTCAAGTCGCGACTCTTTTCTGTAATCGTGCTATAGAATAATGAGAGCGCGCGATCTCCTCTCCGCGATGCGTTGAACAATGAGGCGTATGTGTGTGTTTTTATTTCATATACGTACGTAGATGCATGTAGATCAGGTCATCGCTTTGCAATAACTCTTGACTGTGAAACAAGAACACTCATTTCAATAAAACGCTGCCAGCTGAATTGGAAGAAAGCGGCGGCGGCGGCAGATGCGCCGTTTATTTTTTTGAAACAAAAGGTCCAGGTGACCCAAGCGCACCTGACCAGGAAAAGGAAGGGCGCATCTGCCCCTGGAATATCGGGGCCGCAGCTGCCGATAGAAAAGAAGAAGTCGTTGGCCTGTTCCGAGACTTTGGAAATTTTAAATAGAGACCGAAAAGGGTGGGTGATCTCACAGTTCTGGCCCGGGCCCAATTCCAGACACGTGCGCTGGAGGAGATCTATTTTGGTTCGGGATTTTCTTTTTTTTTCTTGCTTTGTCTGCGTGAATGTGTCGACAGACTGGTCGCCGGGGATTATCAATTAAGCGCTCAGTGCAGTGTTTGCTCGCGCACTAATGAATTACAGCAGAGAGTCTTTTTCAGGTCGTTGCCTCGCTCTCTCGCAATTAGACTCAAATTTATACAGTGCTACGAGGAATGCAATTATATTGAAAGGCGCACGTCACTGCCGCCGTACGTGGCTGTTTTTAGATAAGCGCGCGGCGAGGGCGATGGACTTTTTGTTTCACTTCGTTCGCAGGTCGAGCACGGAAGGTGCCACCGCAAAGGTTCATTCACCAAAATGCTTCATAGGATTTGGTGCGAAAAACTATTTGCTCATTCGTTTGTCGGCAACAATTGAGAAAAGGAATTGTTGTACAAAACCACAACCACCACCAGTATATTTACTCAAAGAAAACTGATTGTTGAAAGATGAATAATTTTGCAACGGTTAAAAAAGTTCTTCGCGTTTTCAAATAATAATTTCTTTGATTCAGGTAATAATTAATGCTTTTCAGCAATTTGTTGGAAATTTATTATCAAAACAAGATGGCCCGTCCCTTTCCCCACAAATTTTCATCAATTGTTAATTTTTTTTATGTAATTTTGACTAATGTGAATTTGATTGATGTTCCAGGCTGCCTGCGGTGAGCGAGTGCGGCGCGGGCGGCCCTGTGCAGATCCAAGCGGCGCGGCCGAGCAGCAGCGGGGGTGGGCCCGCCCCTGGGGGCGGCAGTTCCCCGCAACAGGGCGCCCAGCCGAGCGGCATGGCCGTTTCGCGCGTGCCCAGCCCGCCGCCTCCGGAAGTCAACACCCCTGTGGCCGAGAACTGGTGTTACACCCAGGTGAGTTGATTGACCCGAGGAGCAGCGATTCCGAATTTTTTTTTAGTCGTGCCCTTGCCGCGCCAAGGTGAATGATCTGGCGACCTTTGCCCACCCGTTTGGGCAAGGCCGCACGCGAAAATCGACCCGTGGGCGACACGCGGCCCATCAGCCTCGGTTATTCAAATTTAATTTATTCACATGAAATACCAAGTTCGAAGAGGCCGTTAATAAAAATATGCAGAAATGAGTATTTTGGAAAGAAAGAAAATTAAATAGTAATAAGGATACTTTAACCAAATTTAGAGTTGCTCCATTAATTTAATTGCTAAGTAACTGTGCTCATGACTAATTAACTCCTACTTTTGTTTCTTTCCTCATTTTTCATTTTTTTTTTGCGCACATGATTCATCGCGGTTATTCGGACCAAAAGTTGATGCTTGTTCATTGCCCGCGAGTACGTCAAACCCGAAACGGGAAGTGCATTTTATTCCTTCTCGTGTGGCTCTTTTTGGCGCGGTGTGTGAGAAGTGCCGAGATGCACGTGTGCGAGAGAGTGCGCGGTCGAGGCGCAACGAGTGAACTTGGGTGTCCTTGCACAGCCAAGGGTGAACGCTCTGGCGAACGATTTAAAGCCCGCCGAGCGAGCTAGAGCGGCAGCTGAACGAAAGAAAGATGAGGCCGAGCAGAGGAGGATCCGATTTTTGCTATCTTATCGAGCGAGAGGCACCGTTTCAGTTTAGTGTCCTCTTGTTAAATTCCTCGGATTTCTGCAACCGTCACTATCGGTTGTTGACATGCACGCCGCAAAGTATAAAATATTGGAAATGACAAAAAAAATTAATAAAAATAAATAAATAATAAATATTTTATTGAAATAAGTTAGAATATTCGTGAGTTTAATTTGGAGTAAGTAATTTTGTATTTAAAAAAAATTATTTACACCAATATTTATAAAGAATTATCAAAAAATTAGAATAAAAACTTTTATAACATAATTATAAAAAAACTTACTTTTAATTCATTTATATTTTATTATTATAATTAAAAGTTATTAATTCTTAATTTTAATAAATTTTAACAAATTTCATAACATCATTTTTTGAATGGTGGAAGTTTTCTCTCTTCAAGAGAGCTGCGCGCAGAGAAAGTTGCTGAAAATTTTCGCCCCGGCTCATCTATGTACTTCCTGTGGCGCAACTGAGACTTTTGCTTTTCAATTGAATAGAGAAATCTACTGCATGCCTTTCTAAAAAGGTCTGGAAGTGCGTTTATGAATACGTAAGAGAAATAAAAAATGAGTTTGAAACGCTGCACGAATTTCGTCAGCAGAGCTGTTCGTTGAACCAACAAGCGGCCGATCGTTCACCTGCCGATGGACCGTTGGCTGCTTTGTTTGCGCCGGGATGAGTGAGACCTTGCTCGCGGTGTCGCACGCGCCTCTCAATCAACGCGCTTCCGCGTTCGTCCACCTTCCTCTGAACCCACCTTTCGACCTTTACTACCTTCGAATGCGTGCAGAGTCACTGACCGACCGCCGCGTTTGAAAATTTTCTCCTTATTCGTATAATGGGATGAAAATATAAAAGAATTCACCTTGAACCGTGTAATTTACTTTGCCCGCTGGAAATGGAAATTTTCATATTTATTCTATTCTTAAAATTATATATATGATTACAATCAAGCTCGTTAGTATTCAAAATATAAAATTTTTTTATAAATTATATTTTTTCCATTGGTAAATTTTCAATTTGCCTTTATTTTTGTGATTTACCGACTCGTGGCAGTGAAACTGCTCAGTGGCCTTACCGAAAACAATCGATATAGAAACTCGCAGAGGTTGTTGCTTGATTTCCCGGCGGCGGCGGCGGCAACAACCTTGATTGATTTTGAAAAGGCAATAAATATGAGAAGAAGAGAGAAACGCAAACAAGTCGGCTTCCCTCCGAATTAGGTACGCAAAGTTGAACGCACTCGAGAATAAAAGCTCCGATTTTCCATGCACGAAAAACGGATGACCCGCGGCGAGTGACCTTTCTTTTTTTGTGCGTTTCATTTCTTTTCGGCGAGTTTCGCTCGCTTTTTGTGCGGAGGCGTTTTTGCTGGTTTGGGGCCGCGGCGGTGCAAGAAAAAGGGGCAATGGCCGGCAGGGAGTGATGACCGGCGATGACTTGTGTGCTGAACTTGACGCTGGCAGCTATTTCGAGAAACGAGCAGGAACCCTCGAATAAATACTTATTCGTCCTCGGCGTGCCCTCTGCATGCGCGCGGCTATTTACCCGATTTTAATAGTAATTACTGTTACCAGCAGTGCCGCGCGTCGAGACGACGATTGTTTCGACCTTGCCACGCGGTTATCACTCGGCTTTTGAGTGGAATTCCGTGTCTGAACTCCCAAGTCGGATATTTAAATTCTCAATTTTGATAAACGTCAGGAAGTGAAATAACAAAAACCGCTCACTATTATTTTTTGAAACCGATTTACATTTTTAATTAAAAATTCACACACATCTTTTTGTCTCATTTCCAATTATTTGAAAAATCCGCTTGGCTCGCAGGGGCATTAACATTCGGCATCAGATAAGGAATGAAAAAATGCAGTAAATTTTGAACAATGGCAGTCAATGTGGCCGGAATGAGTGTGTTTTTTTTTCTTCTTTCAAGCGTCGATCAGCGGAGCATCACTCGCGCAGGAATAAGGAGGAAGGTTATCGTCCTTCGCAGTGGCGATGATCTTTTTTGACCCTGCGATGTTCAATGCCCTTTTTCCGCTCAGCCGCCTCTCCCGTCGTCGCCGCCTCACATTTATTTATTTGAACAGACTCGCTTTTGCTGTGTATTCAATTTACAAAATATACTGAATTTGTTGTGTTTTCTCTGTTCGCAGGTGAAGGTGGTAAAATTTAGCTACATGTGGACCATAAACAATTTTAGCTTCTGTCGAGAAGAAATGGGAGAAGTTTTGAAATCGTCCACCTTCTCGGCAGGTGCCAATGACAAGCTCAAATGGTAAGTCTATTAACGATTGATTTTTATTAATTTTTTTATATAATTAAAAAACAAATTGAGTAACAATCCGATTGAATTCCCACCCAAATCGACGAAGGTTACCACCTCTCACGGACAGAGTGCGCAATTATGCAAGTCGCCCATTGTTAATAAATGGTCTAGTTTAGCAGTTGCTTTATATTTTAATCCACTGCTTTTCTCAGTTGCAACACGCGCCGCCATTCTATAACTTTGATTCTTCTGAAGCAGTTTTCGCAATTCGATTACAAATTACATTAATCGAATGCATAATGTTTGTCTAATTATCGCGCGGTTGCCTCACAACTTTTTTGGTCTTTTGTCAAAGGTGCAGAAATCAAGTCACTTCCTTATTTTCACTCGGTAGCAGGAGAAACCTGGCATAGATAAAAATTTTATTCTGCAGGAACTCTTTCTTTTAAAAAAAGCAGAGTGAAACGGCGCGTCTAATCAGAACCCGACAATAAATATTAAACGAGCAAGTAATACTTTTAAGCTCTACTTTCACCGCGCATACGCATACTTTCACCCACACCAAATGATAATTATTGCGCCAAATTTGCAGCTTTTGCTGACAGTGGGGCTTTCGTCTATAATTTGATTGCATTTTGTTTAATCCAAAATCAGCTTCGAGCAAATTCATTTGACTTTTATCAAATTGAATTTGAAAGTTGTTCGTGCTGCGGTTGCGACATTTGAGATATTATTCGAAACTTTTAATGTCGAGGAAGTGAAATCTACTTTGCCCGCGCCGATTACATTTTTGCAACAGCCCGAAAGAAAGTGAAACCGCGGCGGTGCTCAATTTCATTTGTTTGCTTTTCTCCGCCAAATTTGCATCTTTCTCATGGTTGGTATGCCACTTGTTGCAGGTGTTTGCGGGTCAACCCCAAGGGTCTTGATGAAGAGAGTAAAGACTATTTGTCTCTCTACCTCCTGTTGGTCTCCTGTAACAAATCAGAGGTCCGAGCGAAGTTCAAGTTCTCCATTTTAAACGCGAAACGCGAAGAAACCAAAGCAATGGGTGAGTTACTTTTACCACATCAATTTTACATTATTATTTTTTTTTTTACAAATTTTAAACCCTTTTATTTTCGTTGAGCCAAATTCGTTGTGGGGACACGCAGTGGACAATTCAAAATAAATCACACTCTCATACCTCCATTTGTAAAATAATCAATGAAAAAAAAATAAATAATTAGTTAATTAAATTGCATGTGACCTATCAAGGGTTTATCTGAAACTGAAATTTCGTGAGCCCTTTTTGCATTGAAAAACTTTGTGTCTTGGGTGTTTAAGGGGGTCGATGCTTGACCATTAGCGGCTCCAAGGGTCGCAACCAAAACTACATCTCCAACGGTGAGTGCTGTTTTGTCTTTGTCCACTGCAAGTCTCGCCCGCCCTGAATTGAGATCGACCTGACGCCGACGACACAACCGACTAACGCGCTCTCGTTTTTCGTTTCAGAGAGTCAAAGAGCCTATCGCTTCGTGCAGGGTAAAGACTGGGGCTTCAAGAAGTTCATCCGAAGAGACTTCCTCCTCGACGAGGTCAACGGACTTCTGCCCGATGACAAACTCACAATATTCTGCGAAGTAAGTGGAAATCAAATTGATAAATCAATTTAAAGAAGTGGCACTAAATCGGACAAATTGGTGTAAAAAGTTGATAAAAATCAAAGGTCAGTTGTTGGCATTTCTTTCCATCATTGAACGCAATCTCGAACAATGTCAATTTCATTAATTTGTCGCGGTGACCGAGTAAATAAGAGTCGCGGTGCCGTACGGCTCGCAGGCGGAGAGCGTTTGTACGTACAAGTGAAAGTGCATCACTCGGCTGACCTGACCTCAATCCAGCGCCAGAGCTGCAGGAGACCTCTTTTCAGCGCTCTGCCCTACTAACTTACAATCGTGCAACTAGACACCTTTTCATTTATTTGCTGCACGCCAATTTTTTTTTCTTTTGCATAACGCGCGGCACATTCGATTTGGGCACAGGGAGGGGGACTTGCTCTAAGTTCGCGTGGGTGAAAGTGAAAACAGGCCACGCTGGGCAGGTGACGCCAATTGGGAAATATAGCTGGCTGGGTCAGCGAAATTGCTGGATTGATCTCCTATCCCTGGGAGTAGTGAGAGGAAATCACGCACGGGGCAAACCCTGAGAGCTCTTGCAAATTCGTCCGTGTGCCACTTTCTTTGCTCTGCTCAATGAAATAACGAAATGCTAAATGTGAACATTGATTTCAGGTGAGCGTCGTGGCAGACAGCGTCAATATCTCTGGCCAGTCAAACGCCATTCAGTTCAAAGTGCCCGAGTGCCGCTTGTCCGACGACTTTGGGCTGCTCTTTGAGAACCAGAAATTCAGTGATGTCACGCTGGCCGTGGCAGGAAGAGAGTTCCAGGCACATAAAGCCATCCTAGCCGGTGAGTATGAAAAAATTTCGCAAAAAAAAAATTATAAAAATTTTTGTCTCTTAAATATGAGATTAACTTTGGCTTTCTTGCAGCTCGGAGTCCTGTGTTTGCCGCCATGTTCGAGCACGAGATGGAAGAGCGGAAACACAATCGAGTCGAGATCGCGGACGTGGACCACGAGGTGCTGCGCGAAATGCTGCGCTTCATCTACACGGGACGGGCAACCTGCCTGGACAAGATGGCCGACGACCTGCTGGCCGCCGCTGACAAGTACGCGCTGGACAGACTCAAGGTCATGTGCGAGGAGGCCCTGTGCACCAACCTGAGCATAGAAAACGTGGCTGACACCCTGATCCTCGCCGACCTGCACAGCGCAGACCAACTGAAGGCGCAGGCCATCGAGTTTATCAACACGTTAGTATTGAGTTACAATCCATATAGTCTCTTGTTTGGTACAGATCAGAATTGTGTGACTTGTTTTGTTTGGTAGTGGGGTGTGGTTTAGAAAAAAAAAACGTAGTTTGTCCTGTTTTGAAAAAAAAAATCTGTTGCTTTTTTTCAAATCTTGGATATTTAATTGATTCAATTTGATGGGGAGAAAACAAGTCACAACAGTTTCTGCCTTCTGCACCTTTCATTGACGATGTAGTTCGTTTGGTTGATTTTGTTTCTCGCTTTGATCAGATGTGTGACCCGCTATGCTGGTGCTGATTGCAGGCACGCGACCGACGTGATGGAGACTGCCGGCTGGAAGAGCATGGTGCAGTCCCACCCACACCTCATCGCCGAGGCCTTTCGTTCCCTAGCCACCCAGCAGATACCTCCGATCGGCCCGCCGAGGAAGCGCGTCAAGCCCAGCTGAAAGCACACCCTGTGCTGAGCCGCCAAATCATCCCCCATCACTACCACCACCACTTCAGCAACATTTCTTATGTGTTCAAGCCATGCCACTAACACGACGTGTCCCACCCATTTGTATTAACCCTAATTTTGTGCAAACCCACACACAAACAAACCTCCTCTCACACTCGAGCCGCCAAAAAGTCGTCGAAGAGAGGCGAAGAAAGAAGTTCTCTTTCCGAACGAGCTGCGAGCTGTGTCTGTCTGTGCGACCAACTTAATCAAAATGGACCTGTGTTGTTTGATTTGCAGACAAACACACACTCACTCTCACAGTGCGTGTGATATACTACGTTTTTTTTTTCTTTGTTGAACTGATCAGTGCTGAAAGTGACTTCTTGGATAAACCCTATTTTCAGGGCGTTACTCTTTTTTAGTTAGTGATTGATTTTGAAATGTCAGTAGTGATTCTTATATCATGGTAATTAATTCGTTGTCGGTCGAGCGAACTCTTTTCACCACCTGTGAACTAAAAACGAGATGATGATGAAATCGTTCTGACGGGAAGCATTTTTTCCAAATGTGACTAAATAAAGGTAGAAAAGCGTTAGCTGGTGATGCCATTTAAAAAATGTGTAAAATTTGCTGCTGTAGGATGATGATGATAATTTTTCACGAAGGGTATATAAAATTAAAATATCCCTAGATCTCATACACTTGTAATGAAAACGACAAACTACTGTTAAAATGTTGATTTTCTAACTCGTAGTTTTCCTCCGTGTTTGTTACAAACTACTGTTTTTCCCCCATCCTCTTCCTCCTGATTTGCGAGCACATAATTGTTGTAAGGGCAAAAACCACTTGATCGTGCATGGGATTTGATAAAATTGTTGAAAAGAGAAAGACCATTTTTTAATGTTATAAAAAAATACCGTTGACCTCTCCTCGATTGTGCCAACTTGGACAGTATTTTTTACCAATTTTTCTCCGAGACGATAAAGTGCGAGCAAATTGTGCACCCTGAAATTTGGCGCATTTCCCTCTTCAAATTGTAATTCAACGGACAAACCAGCCACATTGAAAACTCACTGACTCACTTTTCTTCTTGATATCTCTTTTGACAAAACGCTGCATTTCTCCTCTCTGGTTCTGTATTTATGTAAAAAGTCGCTTGATTTTTTCCCCGGAATAATTTTTGCAAAAACACGCAGTTTCCTCTTTTATATTCATTGAACCGCGTTCTTGATTTATATTTAGAAGACCATCCTGAAAACCGTTCGAGGCTCAAATCTGAAGATGAAAAAAGTTTCTATACCTCCCCCGTCAGCCGTAGTGTCCAGATGTATACGACCCTCCTCCTCAATTACAAGTGATGAAAATTGAATGAAGATTCACGTCAAACGTGTTGCAATTCCCTCCTCTTAAGATATAATTCAAAGAAATTAAAAAAAAAAAACTGATCAAGAATCACAAAATCCTCAGAATCTGTAAAAATGAATGATATTGCTGTGCTTTCCTCCAGTTAAAAGAGAGTATTCCGCGCTTCTGATACTACGCGTTACTTTGCAAAAATTATTTTTAGTTGTACAAACAATACTGCCACGAGCACTTAAAGCACTAATTACGAATGGAAAGTAATAATTACATAATTGTCTGTTTCGATTTTTTGTTCCTAATGCTAAAAGTTGAATGTGAAGAGAATAATTAATAAATTTTAAAAACGCGATCGACAAGTTTCCTTTGTAATTTGTATTAGACAAAAATGATGATCATTTCTGAGTAGGTGAAAAACGCGCAGTTACTACATCATTATGAGAAAATGTAAATTACGAGACATTCAAAATTCTTTGTTTGTTACCCTTTCGGCAGCAAATGAATGTACAAATTAAACCTGTAAAAATAATAAAAGAGCTCCTATTGTGGAGTCGTAAATAAAAAATTACATTTTGCAATTTTATTAATCCAATGCAATTATATGATAAAAAAGACAAATGCGAAGAAAATCAGCCATTTTTTGGTCGACTGAATAAATTATTTTCCTAATAATCATATTAAGTATTTTAAAAAATACGGCCCATTTTCATTTTTGTCGTTAATTACGCGCAATGCTCATTCATATTTGAATAAATTAAAATATACTTTCTCAATTGCGTTTTTAAACCAAAATATTTTTCAATTAAAATAGAACCAGTAGTGTAGAATATAATAAATATTATAATAGAATGTATATTTAGTTTTTATTCCGTTTGCCTTATATAGTGACCAACCATGATTATATTCATTGTGATGCTTATGTTTATGTATTTTTAATTAATTATCTAGACCAATCAAATTTTTTCCCCTTTGAAACGAACATCGGCGATATCAGTTAAAGCTTAATTTAAGGCAGCCAACAAGAAACTTTATTATTGGATACTGGATTGAGCATTGTTGACATGCTTACCGACAGCAATTTTAGGAAAATTTAAAAATTTTGAAAAATTTCATCTATTCTGGAATGCGAGAGGCGAATGGAGTTTTTGCCGTCGCCGCAGTGTCACGCGTGAACACGATTTGATTCTACAATTTCTGCATTTCACCATTTCACATCGCCGAGACGGTCAGGTGGCAGTCAGAAGGCGTTTGTGTTGCACAGACGGGCTCCAAAGGCTCCATCAAAAAGCTCTTTTCTATCTGACTCGCGCGCTCTCAAGTCCCTGTACTAACTCTGAGCATGCGCGTTGCGAGCAGCGCACGGGATATTGAGCCTTATCCCCTGAACGCTTCTCCAAAACCACCTGTCACAGCGGTGACTTTGGCGTAATTTTCGCTCCCTGACCCGGCTGACCTTGGGCTGACCCTTCGCCTGTCTGTGTTCTGTGTTGGTGTGAGCCTCAAAAGGTGTATCTTGAAAACTATCAAAATGGACATCTCGTCAGAGGTTGCTAAAAAAGAAACCAGCGTGAAAGGCATTGTTATTTTTTTATTATTAAATTTCGTCCCACTAAATTATATTTACAGATGAGGGCTTGACATTTGCTGTTGGTTTCGGCACTGTCGTAGCATTGATAACAGCCATCGCTATCATAATGGCGGTGATCCGTTTGCTGAGAAAACGGCACCAACCCAGGTAATTAATTAATAAAAGTCTCCAGCTAATTTTTTTTTTCAACAAAAAATATTTTCTAGCAAGGAGCTGGAAGGCGGTCACCTGACCGGCGGCGGAAACGGGCCGCCCAATCCTCAACCAGAGAGCCCCACAGCTGCTGCCACACCAAATGACGAGCCTCATACACCTCCAAGTCCTCCGGCCGATAATGAAGAACCAGTAAATTTTTATTTTTTTTTACATTGTAATTGCAACTATATGGTTATCTTTTACTTTTATTATTTCAGCAGAGCATTCGTTGTTTTCAATGCAATAGGGTGATTAAACAACGCAAAAATTTGCCTCGCCATGTCAGGGTTTTGCATAATATGATAGTTCCTCTTATTTACTGCCCATTTGTTGATTTATGTCACAAATCGTTCCGCAACCTGTGAGTTTGACACCGTATATACATTTGTGGTTGGATATTTACTATTTATATTTTTTTCCCCCCAGGGATGAGCTGAAGACACACATTGATGATGTGGACCACAGACACTTCCCGGCATACAAGGATAACAGAGAAACCTGCTGCTGCATCTGCAGGAAAAAACCTCTCATGGTCAATGCAAAGGCCCATGTGCTGAACGATCATTGAAGACAAATGCAAAGTAATTATTTATTAGCGTTCGACTCCTGATCAAAGTAATCAGCTTAGTCTGCCTTATGGCTTATGCTTGTTGGGCTTCTTAATTATGACTAGTTTTTTTCCAAGTTTAGTTTTGCTGTTTCTATGAATTACACTAAAAATTTATGTGTTTCCATTGCAGCAATTTCAGGACATAAACAATGACTACATTTATTTTAAAAACTAAAAAAAAAGAAAAAAAAATATAAAAAGTTTTTAAAAAATTTAAAAAAAAAATAAATTATACAATTTTTTTATAAAATTTTAAAAGACAAGGATTTTTAAAATTTGACCCTGCACCTCTGAAGATGAAAGTGACGCAACTGATCCAGCCCATCCCCATCCCCTACATCAGCAGCATCCCCTGAAGCAAAACAAAGGGTGAGTCACTTTTACCTCATCTACGTCACATAAAATTTTTTTACACATTTTAAACCCTTTTATTATCGTAGAGCCAAATTCGTTGTGGGGATAATTATGGCAGTGGAAAATTAAAAATTTATCTCCCGATCTCGTATTAAATCCATATTTGTAAAAAATCAATAAATAAGAATTATAATTAGTTAAAAATTGCATGTTCATCTGAAACTGAAATTTTGTGAGCCTTTTTTTCATTGAAAAATGTGTCTTGGGCGTTTAAGGGGGTCGATGCTTGACCATTAAGTGGCTCCAAGGTGCATCCTTTAATTAAGCACCTTGAGTGGCTCCAGGCAAGGAGAGCAGGAAAAGGAAGAGAATCGGCGACTCTCGCCACTAAATCTTTTGTAAAAGGATTTTGTATTAAACGCTTTTGCGTACAACTAGGGTGCAATGCAAACACCCTTCTCAACACGAAATCCTGCGGCCCCCGGCCTGTGACTACTGTGGTGGTGTGGCGCTCTCTCTGTCCATAATATTATGGCCGCTGTCACATGACTAATCGAGCCAATCATATTTCATGGACGAGCTCCGCCATAGCCAATCAGATTTGTGCACTGGTGACGTCAGCGAGCACATTTTATTTGTTTACATTCTACACTTTTCCATCAGCTGTGTGTGAAAGAAAAGGTTCCAAAATAATTATTTTAATAACCTATATTATTATTATATGTGCTTGATTTTTTTGGCCTGCAGCACTTCTGAATAATCCTGCAATAGTTTTAAACCTTTCGAATCCAAATTTTCTTAAATTGTATCAAAATACTGGGTGTTTTTCCGCAACTAAGAGAGACGGCTGTGCGTTTTTCATTAAAAATTACTAGTGGTGTATGTATTCAAATTTTAAAAAAAAGTACAGTAACAAAATTTTACATTTACAGCTGTAAATGAAAAATAGAAACATAATCTGACTTAAAATGAACTAATTTGCACAAAAATGTAAATTTTGCATCACAGTTAAAAGAGGGTGAAATAGATATTCAATTATTTCTAAAATCAATCTGAATTTTATAGCAAGAAGTCTCGAACGCGGCTCTTTTTCTCACCCGACTTTGGGTTTTGCTCTTTGAGAACCAGAAGTTAGGTGATGTCACGCAGGCCGTGACATGAAGAGAGTTCCACGCACTTAAAGCCATCCAAGCTGGTGAGTATGAAAAAATTTCGCAAAAAAATTATAAAAATTTTTTCTTTTAAACGTAAGATTAACTTTGGCTTTCTTGCAGCTCGGAGTCCTGTGTTTGCTGCCATGTTCGAGCTCGAGATGGAAGAGCGGAAACACAATCGAGTCGAGATCGCAGACGTGGACCACGAGGTGCTGCGCGAAATGCTGCGCTTCATCTACACCGGACAGGCAACCTGCCTGGACAAGATGGCCGACGACCTGCTGGCCGCCGCTGACAAGTACGCGCTGGACAGACTCAAGGTCATGTGCGAGGAGGCCCTGTGCACCAACCTGAGCATAGAAAACGTGGCTGACACCCTGATCCTCGCCGACCTGCACAGCGCAGACCAACTGAAGGCGCAGGCCATCGAGTTTATCAACACGTTAGTATTGAGTTACAATCCATATAGTCTCTTGTTTGGTACAGATCAGAATTGTGTGACTTGTTTTGTTTGGTAGTGGGGTGTGCTTTAGAAAAAAACATAGTTTGTCCTGTTTTGAAAAAAAAATCTGTTGCTTTTTTCAAATCTTGGATATTTAATTGATTCAATTTGATGGGGAGAAAACAAGTCACAACAGTTTCTGCCTTCTGCACCTTTCATTGACGATGTAGTTCGTTTGGTTGATTTTGTTTCTCGCTTTGATCAGATGTGTGACCCGCTATGCTGGTGCTGATTGCAGGCACGCGACCGACGTGATGGAGACTGCCGGCTGGAAGAGCATGGTGCAGTCCCACCCACACCTCATCGCCGAGGCCTTTCGTTCCCTAGCCACCCAGCAGATACCTCCGATCGGCCCGCCGAGGTAGCGCGTCAAGCCCAGCTGAAAGCACACCCTGTGCTGAGCCGCCAAATCATCCCCCATCACTACCACCACCACTTCAGCAACATTTCTTATGTGTTCAAGCCATGCCACTAACACGACGTGTCCCACCCATTTGTATTAACCCTAATTTTGTGCAAACCCACACACAAACAAACCTCCTCTCACACTCGAGCCGCCAAAAAGTCGGCGAAGAGAGGCGAAGAAAGAAGTTCTCTTTCCGAACGAGCTGCGAGCTGTGTCTGTCTGTGCGACCAACTTAATCAAAATGGACCTGTGTTGTTTGATTTGCAGACAAACACACACTCACTCTCACAGTGCGTGTGATATACTACGTTTTTTTTTCTTTGTTGAACTGATCAGTGCTGAAAGTGACTTCTTGGATAAACCCTATTTTCAGGGCGTTACTCTTTTTTAGTTAGTGATTGATTTTGAAATGTCAGTAGTGATTCTTATATCATGGTAATTAATTCGTTGTCGGTCGAGCAAACTCTTTTCACCACCTGTGAACTAAAAAACGAGATGATGATGAAATCGTTCTGACGGGAAGCATTTTTTCCAAATGTGACTAAATAAAGGTAGAAAAGCGTTAGCTGGGGATGCCATTTAAAAAATGTGTAAAATTTGCTGCTGTAGGATGATGATGATAATTTTTCACGAAGGGTATATAAAATTAAAATATCCCTAGATCTCATACACTTGTAATGAAAACGACAAACTACTGTTAAAATGTTGATTTTCTAACTCGTAGTTTTCCTCCGTGTTTGTTACAAACTACTGTTTTTCCCCCATCCTCTTCCTCCTGATTTGCGAGCACATAATTGTTGTAAGGGCAAAAACCACTTGATCGTGCATGGGATTTGATAAAATTGTTGAAAAGAGAAAGACCATTTTTTAATGTTATAAAAAAATACCGTTGACCTCTCCTCGATTGTGCCAACTTGGACAGTATTTTTTACCAATTTTTCTCCGAGACGATAAAGTGCGAGCAAATTGTGCACCCTGAAATTTGGCGCATTTCCCTCTTCAAATTGTAATTCAACGGACAAACCAGCCACATTGAAAACTCACTGACTCACTTTTCTTCTTGATATCTCTTTTGACAAAACGCTGCATTTCTCCTCTCTGGTTCTGTATTTATGTAAAAAGTCGCTTGATTTTTTCCCCAGAATAATTTTTGCAAAAACACGCAGTTTCCTCTTTTTTATTCATTGAACCGCTTTCTTGATTTATTTTTAGAAGACAATCCTGAAAACCGTTCGAGGCTCAAATCTGAAGATGAAAAAAGTTTCTATACCTCCCCCGTCAGCCGTAGTGTCCAGATGTATACGACCCTCCTCCTCAATTACAAGTGATGAAAATTGAATGAAGATTCACGTCAAACGTGTTGCAATTCCCTCCTCTTAAGATATAATTCAAAGAAATTAAAAAAAAAAAACTGATCAAGAATCACAAAATCCTCAGAATCTGTAAAAATGAATGATATTGCTGTGCTTTCCTCCAGTTAAAAGAGAGTATTCCGCGCTTCTGATACTACGCGTTACTTTGCAAAAATTATTTTTAGTTGTACAAACAATACTGCCACGAGCACTTAAAGCACTAATTACGAATGGAAAGTAATAATTACATAATTGTCTGTTTCGATTTTTTGTTCCTAATGCTAAAAGTTGAATGTGAAGAGAATAATTAATAAATTTTAAAAACGCGATCGACAAGTTTCCTTTGTAATGTGTATTAGACAAAAATGATGATCATTTCTTTGAGTAGGTGAAAAACGCGCAGTTACTACATCATTATGAGAAAATGTAAATTACGAGACATTCAAAATTCTTTGTTTGTTACCCTTTCGGCAGCAAATGAATGTACAAATTAAACCTGTAAAAATAATAAAAGAGCTCCTATTGTGGAGTCGTAAATAAAAAATTACATTTTGCAATTTTATTAATCCAATGCAATTATATGATAAAAAAGACAAATGCGAAGAAAATCAGCCATTTTTTGGTCGACTGAATAAATTATTTTCCTAATAATCATATTAAGTATATTAAAAAATACGGCCCATTTTCATTTTTGTCGTTAATTACGCGCAATGCTCATTCATATTTGAATAAATTAAAATATACTTTCTCAATTGCGTTTTTAAACCAAAATATTTTTCAATTAAAATAGAACCAGTAGTGTAGAATATAATAAATAATATAATAGAATGTATATTTAGTTTTTATTCCGTTTGCCTTATATAGTGACCAACCATGATTATATTCATTGTGATGCTTATGTTTATGTATTTTTAATTAATTATCTAGACCAATCAAATTTTTTCCCCTTTGAAACGAACATCGGCGATATCAGTTAAAGCTTAATTTAAGGCAGCTAACAAGAAACTTTATTATTGGATACTGGATTGAGCATTGTTGACATGCTTACCGACAGCAATTTTAGGAAAATTTAAAAATTTTGAAAAATTTCATCTATTCTGGAATGCGAGAGGCGAATGGAGTTTTTGCCGTCGCCGCAGTGTCACGCGTGAACACGATTTGATTCTACAATTTCTGCATTTCACCATTTCACATCGCCGAGACGGTCAGGTGGCAGTCAGAAGGCGTTTGTGTTGCACAGACGGGCTCCAAAGGCTCCATCAAAAAGCTCTTTTCTATCTGACTCGCGCGCTCTCAAGTCCCTGTACTAACTCTGAGCATGCGCGTTGCGAGCAGCGCACGGGATATTGAGCCTTATCCCCTGAACGCTTCTCCAAAACCACCTGTCACAGCGGTGACTTTGGCGTAATTTTCGCTCCCTGACCCGGCTGACCTTGGGCTGACCCTTCGCCTGTCTGTGTTCTGTGTTGGTGTGAGCCTCAAAAGGTGTATCTTGAAAACTATCAAAATGGACATCTCGTCAGAGGTTGCTAAAAAAGAAACCAGCGTGAAAGGCATTGTTATTTTTTTATTATTAAATTTCGTCCCACTAAATTATATTTACAGATGAGGGCTTGACATTTGCTGTTGGTTTCGGCACTGTCGTAGCATTGATAACAGCCATCGCTATCATAATGGCGGTGATCCGTTTGCTGAGAAAACGGCACCAACCCAGGTAATTAATTAATAAAAGTCTCCAGCTAATTTTTTTTTTCAACAAAAAATATTTTCTAGCAAGGAGCTGGAAGGCGGTCACCTGACCGGCGGCGGAAACGGGCCGCCCAATCCTCAACCAGAGAGCCCCACAGCTGCTGCCACTCCAAATGACGAGCCTCATACACCTCCAAGTCCTCCGGCCGATAATGAAGAACCAGTAAATTTTTATTTTTTTTTACATTGTAATTGCAACTATATGGTTATCTTTTACTTTTATTATTTCAGCAGAGCATTCGTTGTTTTCAATGCAATAGGGTGATTAAACAACGCAAAAATTTGCCTCGCCATGTCAGGGTTTTGCATAATATGATAGTTCCTCTTATTTACTGCCCATTTGTTGATTTATGTCACAAATCGTTCCGCAACCTGTGAGTTTGACACCGTATATACATTTGTGGTTGGATATTTACTATTTATATTTTTTTCCCCCCAGGGATGAGCTGAAGACACACATTGATGATGTGGACCACAGACACTTCCCGGCATACAAGGATAACAGAGAAACCTGCTGCTGCATCTGCAGGAAAAAACCTCTCATGGTCAATGCAAAGGCCCATGTGCTGAACGATCATTGAAGACAAATGCAAAGTAATTATTTATTAGCGTTCGACTCCTGATCAAAGTAATCAGCTTAGTCTGCCTTATGGCTTATGCTTGTTGGGCTTCTTAATTATGACTAGTTTTTTTCCAAGTTTAGTTTTGCTGTTTCTATGAATTACACTAAAAATTTATGTGTTTTCATTGCAGCAATTTCAGGACATAAACAATGACTACATTTATTTTAAAAACTAAAAAAAAAGAAAAAAAATATAAAAAGTTTTTAAAAAATTTAAAAAAAAATTAAATTATACAATTTTTTTATAAAATTTTAAAAGACAAGGATTTTTAAAATTTGACCCTGCACCTCTGAAGATGAAAGTGACGCAACTGATCCAGCCCATCCCCATCCCCTACATCAGCAGCATCCCCTGAAGCAAAACAAAGGGTGAGTCACTTTTACCTCATCTACGTCACATAAAATTTTTTTACACATTTTAAACCCTTTTATTATCGTAGAGCCAAATTCGTTGTGGGGATAATTATGGCAGTGGAAAATTAAAAATTTATCTCCCGATCTCGTATTAAATCCATATTTGTAAAAAATCAATAAATAAGAATTATAATTAGTTAAAAATTGCATGTTCATCTGAAACTGAAATTTTGTGAGCCTTTTTTTCATTGAAAAATGTGTCTTGGGCGTTTAAGGGGGTCGATGCTTGACCATTAAGTGGCTCCAAGGTGCATATCCTTTAATTAAGCACCTTGAGTGGCTCCAGGCAAGGAGAGCAGGAAAAGGAAGAGAATCGGCGACTCTCGCCACTAAATCTTTTGTAAAAGGATTTTGTATTAAACGCTTTTGCGTACAACTAGGGTGCAATGCAAACACCCTTCTCAACACGAAATCCTGCGGCCCCCGGCCTGTGACTGTACTGTGGTGGTGTGGCGCTCTCTCTGTCCATAATATTATGGCCGCTGTCACATGACTAATCGAGCCAATCATATTTCATGGACGAGCTCCGCCATAGCCAATCAGATTTGTGCACTGGTGACGTCAGCGAGCACATTTTATTTGTTTACATTCCACACTTTTCCATCAGCTGTGTGTAAAAGAAAAGGTTCCAAAATAATTATTTTAATAACCTATATTATTATTATATGTGCTTGATTTTTTTGGCCTGCAGCACTTCTGAATAATCCTGCAATAGATTTAAACCTTTCGAATCCAAATTTTCTTAAATTGTATCAAAATACTGGGTGTTTTTCCGCAACTAAGAGAGACGGCTGTGCGTTTTTCATTAAAAATTACTAGTGGTGTGTGTATTCAAAATTTAAAAAAAAATTACAGTAACAAAATTTTACATTTACAGCTGTAAATGAAAAATAGAAACATAATCTGACTTAAAATGAACTAATTTGCACAAAAATGTAAATTTTGCATCACAGTTAAAAGAGGGTGAAATAGATATTCAATTATTTCTAAAATATATCTGAATTTTATAGCAAGAAGTCTCGAACGCGGCTCTTTTTCTCACCCGACTTTGGGTTTTGCTCTTTGAGAACCAGAAGTTAGGTGATGTCACGCTGGCCGTGACATGAAGAGAGTTCCACGCACTTAAAGCCATCCAAGCTGGTGAGTATGAAAAAATTTCGCAAAAAAATTATAAAAATTTTTTCTTTTAAACGTAAGATTAACTTTGGCTTTCTTGCAGCTCGGAGTCCTGTGTTTGCTGCCATGTTCGAGCTCGAGATGGAAGAGCGGAAACACAATCGAGTCGAGATCGCAGACGTGGACCACGAGGTGCTGCGCGAAATGCTGCGCTTCATCTACACCGGACGGGCAACCTGCCTGGACAAGATGGCCAACGACCTGCTGGCCGCCGCTGACAAGTACGCGCTGGACAGACTCAAGGTCATGTGCGAGGAGGCCCTGTGCACCAACCTGAGCATAGAAAACGTGGCTGACACCCTGATCCTCGCCGACCTGCACAGCGCAGACCAACTGAAGGCGCAGGCCATCGAGTTTATCAACACGTTAGTATTGAGTTACAATCCATATAGTCTCTTGTTTGGTACAGATCAGAATTGTGTGACTTGTTTTGTTTGGTAGTGGGGTGTGCTTTAGAAAAAAAAACGTAGTTTGTCCTGTTTTGAAAAAAAAAAATCTGTTGCTTTTTTTCAAATCTTGGATATTTAATTGATTCAATTTGATGGGGAGAAAACAAGTCACAACAGTTTCTGCCTTCTGCACCTTTCATTGACGATGTAGTTCGTTTGGTTGATTTTGTTTCTCGCTTTGATCAGATGTGTGACCCGCTATGCTGGTGCTGATTGCAGGCACGCGACCGACGTGATGGAGACTGCCGGCTGGAAGAGCATGGTGCAGTCCCACCCACACCTCATCGCCGAGGCCTTTCGTTCCCTAGCCACCCAGCAGATACCTCCGATCGGCCCGCCGAGGAAGCGCGTCAAGCCCAGCTGAAAGCACACCCTGTGCTGAGCCGCCAAATCATCCCCCATCACTACCACCACCACTTCAGCAACATTTCTTATGTGTTCAAGCCATGCCACTAACACGACGTGTCCCACCCATTTGTATTAACCCTAATTTTGTGCAAACCCACACACAAACAAACCTCCTCTCACACTCGAGCCGCCAAAAAGTCGGCGAAGAGAGGCGAAGAAAGAAGTTCTCTTTCCGAACGAGCTGCGAGCTGTGTCTGTCTGTGCGACCAACTTAATCAAAATGGACCTGTGTTGTTTGATTTGCAGACAAACACACACTCACTCTCACAGTGCGTGTGATATACTACGTTTTTTTTCTTTGTTGAACTGATCAGTGACTTCTTGGATAAAGCCTTTTTTCAGGGCGTTACTCTTTTTTAGTTTGTGTTTGACTTTTAAATGTCAGTTGTGATTTACATAAATTATTTAATTAAATTAATTCGTTATCGGTCGAGCAAACTATTCTCACCATATGAGGCAAAGGGAATAAAAACAAAACCCATTCTACTGCCATTCTAAAACTTTATATGATATTCTGGAATACTATTTCTATTTGAATTGTAAAATAATTTGGTCAGTTGAGAAAGTTAAATTAATTCAAAATATGAATGCGCATTGAGTGTAATTAATGATAAAAAGAGAAAATGTGATGTATTTTTGTACTTAAAATGATTATTATTATGATCTTTATTTTTTTATTGTACTTTAAATGATTATTTAGGTGACCCAAAAATGGCTGAATTTCATCATACTTGTCTTTCATCATTTTTATTGACCAAGAAGAATAAATAATAAAAATAATTGAAATAAAAGAACAATTACAATAAAATTTCAAAAATTAATTTTTTATTTTTGACTCCATAATGTGAATACTAATTATTTTTAATTTTTACATTCATTTGCTGCTTCAGGAGCGCCGACTCCTCAGGAGCGCCGTCTCCTTAGGAGTGCCATCCCTCCATTTTTCCACAATACGAATTATATTAACTTAACTCGCTTAATTTATATCTTCGTTCTGAGTTTCTTAACAGAAACTCATGTACCATGGTGTCCAACGTGTCCAATTGTCCATGTGACAAAAAAAATAATATATTCAGGACTTTTTTGATCAAAGAAGGATTTTTTATTTAGCGTTTTTGCGTACAACTGGGGTGCAAAATGCAAACACCCTGCAAATGCAACTCGAAATCCTGCGGCCCCCGGCTGACTTACGCAAAGAACAAGCCTTCACTCGCAGTCCCAGGCAGCATGAGAAATCACTCAGGTTCCCCCGAGAAAAATTCGCCTGGAATGGGAATAATTATCTAACCCACACAATCTCCTTGATCAGGATCGACTTGCCGCGGTGTTTCAATATAAAAAATCAGAGCCAACCAAACGTTGTTAATTAAATAGCTATTTAATAAAGCCCAAATCCAATAAATTAAAAATGAGCGCCCCATAAAAATAAATTACATTTATGCTCTTCTTTTCATTCAAATTTAAAACATCTCGCTCTTTATTGAATGAAAAATCAAAATTATATTTATGACATTAATGTTGGTAGACTTGGATCAAAACGTAAATAAATATAAATAATTTACAACAAAACGTCACAATTTCAAAATGGCGACCCACTGTTAATCATCAATTTTGTAACGCCGCTCTAAAGCCGCTCCAGCACCGGAAAAAGAGTAAATCAGTGCTATGTGGAATTCTTTCCATAACTCTGGTGGGTTGGTCGACTAATCTTGCATGCCCTTAACAGAGGAAATTCACAGCTTGGGTGCGTTTCCGCCGAAAAACCGACATGAAACCATGCATTTGATTCCGGCCGCAAACAACGCCCTTATCACCGAGCCGTCTGTTTATCACAAATTCAGCTTTGGTTTCGGTTCTATCGCGACCTTCTAGAAATCAGTCCTAAAAATTTAGAAAGTAAAATTATGTATAATATCCGTCTTAAACTATGATCCTAGCCTTACCAAAAATTGATAATGAATTAAGGGATAAAATATAAATTCAAAGACACGCCCCAGTATGTCGTCGGTCCCTTTTGTCGCCCGCAAGAGAGGAAACCGTCGTTTATGCCTGGAAATTAGATAACTTTTGTCGGTCCCTCCGCGTATGTATCGCGCTTTCCGCCGTTAACCACTGCCTTCACGCAACTCCTCGGTGTCGGAATATTTTTTTACATATAGTTGCAAAATATGGATTTTGATTTTGACCTGAAGGCACTCGAGCTCACCTTGGAGAGTCTCGGTGACCTGAGTGGCTTCCCACCCCCTCCCGACCTGGACGAGCAACCTGATCTTCCACCCCCTCCCCCCGCAGACTTGGACGACAAACCTGATTTTCCAGCCCCTCCTCCGGCCATTCCGGAGGACGAACCTGATTTTCTACCTCCTCCTCCAGACTTGGCTGAACTGCAGCCGCCGCCGCTGCCCAAGTCCGCCCGCCCAAGTTGGTCTTCTCCTTTTAAAGGCCTGACTGCCAGGCAAAAACTTGTCCCCATTTCCATTGTTTTTCATTTTTTGTCTCAATAAATTAATAATTAATTGCCTTTTTGAAACGCAGCAGCGGCGAACCCCGCAGTGGGCAGAATGATGGTCGGGGCGCGCGGAGGCTCCGAGCTGGGCAGCGACACCGAACACCTCGCCGAGCTGGCCGCCCTTCTTTCCACCGAGCTGCCCGAGGGCCGCGCCAGTCTGTCCGACAGCCACCAAAACCTGCAGCGGGTGGCCGAGTACTGCGAGGAGAATTACTACCAGTCGGAGAACAAGCGGGCGGCCCTCGAGGACACCAAGAGCTACACCACACAGAGTCTGGCGTCGGTGGCCTATCAGATCAACACCCTCGCCTACAACTTCCTGCAGCTGCTCGAACTGCAGGGCTCGCAGTTGGCTGACATGGAGAGTCAGATGAACCATCTTTCTCAAGTAAATAATTTGTCAGGGATCTGGAGGGGGGGGGGAACAAGTTTTTGTAGAAAACCGCAATGTTCTGTTATTATTATTATTCTTTTCAGACCAATATTTTCATATAAATCATAAATCATATAAAAATGCAAGTCTAATTTGTACTAATTTTTATAAAAAACTTTGATAATCAGGAGAGGAATCAAGCAATGGTATTATCACTATTATCTAATAATAAAAACTTTTAAATTAACGAAGAAATTAACCACCTTAAATTCCTTATGCAATTATATTTTATGCTTAATACTTTAAATTAGTAAAAAGTGCTATAAATACGAAGTTTTGTGTGTGGAAACTCTAAAATGTTTGCAATGTTAGATAAGAATAATTTTGATCAAATGTAGGAAAAACATTGCTTGATAGTTAATTTCGTTATTTTCATTAAAAAAATAAATTATAAAAATATTTTAATTTAACTTACAGTTTTAAACTTCCAGAACTAATTTTTATTATTTATTTTTTCAACACTAATTTTATCTTCACTTAAGTAATGCTCAGCAATACTTCCCAATTATTTGGAGCAGAGCTTGCAAAGAAATTATTAAAAATGTAATAAAGAAACTGTGAAAATTGCTAATTTTTCCCTTATTTTTGTAGACGGTGATGATTCACAAAGAAAAAGTGGCACGGCGAGAAATAGGAGTGCTCACGGCCAGCAAGACAACAAACCGCCAGTTCAAGATAATCGCCCCGGCCAATCCTGAGAAGCCAATCAAGTATGTCCGTCGGCCCATCGACTACAACGCCCTGGACAACCTGGGCCACGGGGTTCACTCGCCCGCAATGTCGCACAGTCAGCAGGCGACGGCGATCGCTCAGGGTGGCACCCCTCGCTCAAAACGCGGCTCCAGCCAGGGCGCCATTGTCACCTCGGCCATCCAGGGCCAGACCGTCGGCCCACCGCCCACCACCAAGCCGCCGACGCCTCCTCAGGCCATCCGCAACATGGGCACCCTGAGCAAAGGTTCGCGCGAGTACAGGACGCCCCCGGCGGTGGCGCCGCCCCAGGTGCCCAGCCACTACGCCCCCAACTTCCCCATGGGCCACCCGAGACGCAGCATCGAGCAAAACAGGGGCGTTGTCGGCCTCGGCCCTGGCTACAGCACCCTGCCCATGCAGCCCACCAGCCAGCTGCTCACCCACACCCTGCCGCACCCCCACCACACCTCGCACCACCAGCAAAATCCAAATCCCTCATGTACGTCGGCCCCAGGACCCCCTCAGGTGAGGAATTGGTTTCTAATCTTAAATCTCTACTATATAAAATTTTCGTCAAAAAAAGTTGGTGAAAAAGTCCTTTTCTAACCTTAGTAAGGTTTATCTCAATAGCAATTAAAATTTTCCTGACTTGATTAAATTCTAAAATTTCAAAAAAATACTTCGACTTTTAAATTATGTCTAGATAATTGCAACAAATAAGATTGTAGAATTGAGTTAATCAACATTATTTATTTTAATTTCTGATGTTGAAAACAAATGATCTTTAGTTTAATGTTATTTAATATTATGAATTGACCAACACATCAAAAGTCACTCGAGTTGGTGTTCAATGAAGTGTCCGTAATTTTTTTTTATTATTTATTTATTTTTTAATTTTTGAACCATCATCTCATCAAACCATTATTAATCTTGTTACTAATTTTTTTTATCCAGATCGGTATGGTGCATCCAATCAACCATGGGAACCAGTCTCACAACCAAAACCACCCGCAAACGCCGCCTCCACCTCCGCCCCCAACATCAGGAGGTCCGCTGCCCAGCAGCTTCCCGCTCGACACTCACATGAGCATGCCTCGTCAGTTTTTTTACTAATTTTCCTGCAGCTGGAAGACTAATTTTATCATTTGATTGCGCAGCTCCGCCATCTCCTTTGGTGCACCAGGGAGGTGGTGTGGATGACCTGACTCACCATCTGCATATGATGAGAGGTGGCCAGGGCTCGCCGCCACTGCCGCCGCCTCCAATGCCTGATTCGCAGCAGCTGCCCCCTTCGTACGGCTACGGACGAAGCTCGATGGGAATTGTGCCTGAAGACGCCGGACTGCCCGGATGGGTGCCAAAGAATTACATGGAGAAAGGTAATAAATGTATGAAAAGGCGGAACACAATTTTAGCCCAAACCCCGATTTTGATCAAATCATCATTTATACAAAAAGTAATGTTTTTACTCCTGTTTTAAATCAAAATTATTAATCTAATTTATAATTGTATGTTTTAAATTATTGTTTCAGTTGTTGCTATTTACGATTACTACGCAGACAAAGAGGACGAGCTAAGCTTCCAGGAGAACTCAGTCATCTACGTGCTGAAGAAGAATGACGATGGCTGGTGGGAAGGTGTGATGGACGGAATCACTGGCCTCTTCCCTGGCAACTACGTTGAGCCTTGTGTTTAACTCAAAAGTATAAATAGCGAATTTCCTCTCATGCTATGCTATTAATTTTAATTTGAATGGTGCATTTGTATGAAGAACCGTCAACATTTCCCTCTCCTGTTTCTTAACCTTACATTTTCTCTGCACGCTAGCAAGCAATATTTATAATAAAATCGTAAGAACATGAGTATCAAAATGATAAATATTCCACATTTATTAACAGAAATAGTAAACATGCAAATTAGTATTAGTATATTTATAACTTGTTAGATTTATTTATTTGAGTTGTGCCAAAAATGGCTAATCGGAAGAAATCATCAATAATACATTGTTTCGCTACTTTTTCATTGTTAATTCTTAAATTCAGTCAAATCTCAAAGAGTATTTGAGTAGCTCCTCAGAAGAGATGTTGCTCCTCAGAAGAGCGGTTGCTCTCAGGGAGAGCCATGGCTCCTCAGAAGAGCGGTTGCTCTTAGGGAGAGCCATGGCTCCTCAGAAGAGCGGTTGCTCTTAGGGAGAGCCATGGCTCCTCGGGAGAGCGGTTGCTCTTAGGGAGAGCCATGGCTCCTCGGGAGAGCCGTTGCTCCTCAGAAGAGCGGTTGCTCTTAGGGAGAGCCATGGCTTCTCAGGAAAGCCATGGCACCGCAGGAGAGCCTTGTTATATCTATTTATTTGAGGATGTGCCAAACATGCAACATTTGGTATATTGATATATTCTTGTACTTTACTTCTTGATGACAGAAATTCTTCTCAAATGAATAAAAATATCGTCTAATCTAATTTATTTAAAAGGGGAAAGACAGAAAATAATCCAAATTTTTGATTGTATATATTGATTGTAATATGCACTAAGTGCGTAGGTTTGGAAAGTGCTTTGAGATTTGATCCAGAGGTCATCTCAGGTGCACAGATATAGCCACTGAAAAGTATGTGCTCCAGCTTTGGGAACCTTTTCAGGTATGGCAGCACACTCTCCATATGACCTTCTTGCAAGCAACGTCTGCATTCCAAATTTGGACACCTTTCGATGAGCATCTCCCACACTTTGCTGGTCAAGGTTATGGAAAGGTTCTAAAGAATGACAAAGTTGAACTCCTTCATGAATATTCAAAAGCACTTTTCCAGCTAATTTAACATCCAGTTAGCCATTTCCAGTGTCTGCACAGTGCCATCAATCTAATAAAAGAATTAAAGTGCTCTTCTGCGTAGCTTTGGAGCCTTTGGATTTCTTTTTGGAGTGATAGGGCTGAAATCATTTGAATAATTCACAAATTTTTTTGATGGAACTAGACAATTTAACCTGTTTTTGGCGATTTAAGAAAATTTGCTTATTAATCATATTATATTAAGAAAAGAAAAAATATTTTGTTGGATTTTTTTTATTAAAATGTTTTGATTATTATTTTTCACTGCTTCAATAATAATGCTTTACAGTCCATTGCAAGTCTTAGCAGAACACACGACCACACCAGGCACAATTTTTTGGATTATGATTTTACTTTAATACCGTGTATTTAGGATAGCAAGCTTTCCGAAGATTTATTTTGCTTAAAAGAAAGGAAAAGCTCATTGAAAAATTAAAATCTGCCCTCCAAAAATAAGCGTTCTTTTTTTATTCAAACAAAAATTTGGCGTGATGTGCAATGTGGTCATTAATAAAGGTGGCGATGTAGAAGTAGCTGTGGTCATAACCTTCGTCACGGTTCAAGATGACAGGCATGCAAGACTTGGCGCAAGCCTCGACCAGCTTTTCCGGTTGCAGCTGTCCGTCTTTCAGGAACTGATCCGACTCTCCCTAAATTTTATACCATGTTAAGAATTTTGTTAATTTTGATTTGCAAATTAAGACAACCTGACTGACGAGGATTCCGAGAGGGGGCCCCGAGTATTTTGAAACCAGCTTGCAAGCGTCGTACTCGTCCCACTTGGCCTTATCAGCACCCAAATATCCAGAAAAGGCTTTGTGGCCCCAAGGACACTCAGTTGGAGCACAAATTGGAGCAAAAGCAGAAACAGACGAGTAAAATCCAGGAGTGCGAAGAGCGCAAACCAGAGCTCCGTGACCACCCATGCTGGAATCAAAAATTTCAATTTCCCAAACAAATGTTTTAAAGGTAAATCAACCTGTGGCCCATGATCGACTGTTTGCCGTTGGTCGGGAAATTCTTATTGACAACCTCGGGCAATTCGACAGTGACATAGGAGAACATCCTGTAATTTATCTTCCACGCCTCCTCAGTAGCGTCCACGTAGAATCCAGCGCCGGTTCCAAAGTCCCAACTGTCATCCTCACCAGCAATGTTGCAACCACCTTATTATGTATTATAACAAAATTAAAACTTTATTAGAACTAAAAATTGTGAGCGTTTATTACGAGGGCTGGTGTCAGGGCAGACGAGGATGATTCCTAGCTCGGAAGCGATTTTTTGAGCACCGGCCTTCTGGACAAAGTTCAGTTCGTTGCAGGTCAAACCGGAGAGCCAGTAGATGACAGGACAGGGCGTGTTGTCCACCGCCTTGGCAGGAAGATACACGGCGAATTTCATCTCACATTTCGTCGATGCACTGTCAATTTGATAAATTGCCAAATTTAATCAATACAAAAATTAGAAAATAAAATATGTCAATGTGTTTCAGATCAGAACGGACCTTTCAAATAATTAATTTATGTAAAAAATGATCTCTAAATTAACCTTTGATGGGAAAACACTTTTTGAAAACCAGCAAAACACTTGTTGCTCGAGACTTCTTTGATTTCCAGTGCCATTTCAACGGAAAGTGATAATTAATTGTGGGGTCCGGCTCCAAAATCTGAATGAAGATGTTATTGTTTTTATCGCTTTTGATTTGCAAGCAGTCGCAGCACGCAAGTGTCCTCTGAAGAGATTTGCCCCAACTCAGATGAGGTTGGCGGGAATTTTCAAAAGTTTTAAAGCAGTGCCATTCATTTTCCAGCTATTTTTTTCAAAGAAAACCGCCTATATTTCCCGATTTTCTTGCACCGAATCTGCATTTTACGATTTTCACGGCCGCCTCTAAAATTCGGGACGAATTGGCGGCCCATCAACGAGCAAGACGTGCGAAAAACACAAAGTCTGGCGCGGAGATGCGAGCACTTCCGGTGCCCGGGAGATCGGTGGGGGCCGCGACGCGAGCCGAAGACGGGCGGAGGCGGCCGAGCGCACCGTGAACGGCGAACGGAGCTGCAGGCGCAGGCTCGACGCTCGAGCAGACGAAGAGATTCGGGAAAGAAGCTCGCGGAGCGAAAAAGAAAGTGAGATTGCAAATTCGCACGGACGGACAGACCTTCGTTGTGCGTCTTGGGGTGCAGTGCGGACATGTCGGTGCACGAGCGGCGCCGCCGTTGACGATTCGCGGGCGTCACCGGGCCCCCTGCATTCACACCGAGAGAGTGAGTATTTTTTTCCATTCGTCCCTCTCCGGGCCTTTATTTTGGTGCTGGAGAGACACGGGGGCGCGCGAGAATCGATCAATGCCACCTCTCGATGCCCGACGAGACGTCTCGGGAGGCCTTCGCTGGGCTTCCGAGGCCCGAATCGGGGCCGGCTGAGCGTCCAGTGAGATATGGTCCAGAGCCGTTCGCCAGCCGGATCAATGCCACCCCCGAGGAGCGAGTGCGCGCGGGGTCAGCCAATGTTTGCCCTCTCTTGAAACGACGGCTGCAACCCTTCTTGCAATTTTCATGACTTCCCTTCCTTGTTTGTGCAAAAAGTAATTACGCACACGATTCATATTTTCCCCCTAGGCTTAGGTGTTAGATAAAATTTGTAAAAGCTCAAAATTTAGGATTTTCATATTTGTTCCCTGTTTGGGGTGGTTTTGATTTTGGGCGGGACACTCCTCGTATTATGAACATAGGTTTAGTTTCTTTCTCAGTGGGGTGGAAAAGAGGCTCGTTCTCGCCGCCGTCTTTTAATTGATTTCGCACGGGGTGCGTATCGCACTCACGGACCGGGGGTGGCCGGGGAGGGTGCATGAATGTACATACCGAGTTTTTGGCGTGACCTACTTTCGCAAGGGCTTTTCCGCTTAACAGGTTTTCGTCTCGAGACACCCTATTTGAATTTGAACTTTGATTTTTTGCAAAATTGAAAATAAATTCCTTACTTTCTCTTTATTTTTAGATAATGTTAAATAATTTTTAGTTTGCTTTTGTAAATATCAATAAATTAATATTCCATCAATTTTTTTTATTTATTTAAAAAATTGCATTTAAATAAAAATTAGTTTTTGAAAAAAAAGTGATAATTATTTCGGATTAACTACGTTTTGACTTTTTGACAGTTTTGATTAAAAAATAATTTAAAGAAAATGTACATGTAGTTAATAATTAATCAAGTTGGAAATTTATCAAGATTGTTCTGAAGTGCAAAACTGTCTTTTTGAATTAAATTTTTTATCCATACAACTTAATTTTAGGCTTAAATTATTGATTATTGAATTTTTCATTACATCAAATTTTCGGTCCGTCATATTCAAATTTAATCATTTTTAAATATCGCCCTTTCACGCCAAAATTTTTGTGATTTTGCAGCGCGTTGATGTTATTTTTTCTCTCTCTCTCTCTCCCCATTTTGTTTTTTGCGAGTTGCACGGAGCGTTTCTTTGTTTTGCTGCCCCCTTTCGCAAAAATCCAAACAAAAGCTCTGCTGCAGATGGATTTTTTCCGCAATGCTCTTTCTTTTGTCCGCGCCGTTGGCTTGGCAGCAGCGACACAAGCTCAGCCTCTAATTGACAATTAATTGCCAGCAGCAGCTCCCGACGACCAAAAGTAGTGCTAAATCGGGATTCTCAGAAAAGTTGTCTTCAATTTATCGGAAAATTCTCGATGGAATTAATGAGATTGAAATTTAAAAATGCTCCGAATTTAAAAGAAATAAATATTATTATGGAAATGAAGAAAATCGGGCTTTTCCTCGTTGTAAAAATTGTTTTTATTCAAAAAGCCGTTTTGTTTTTGAATAAAAACAATTTTTTGCAACGAGGACAAGCCCGATTTTCTTCATATCCATGATCATCTCCTCGAGTGTCAACTTCATCAAACAAATATTATTATATAATAAATTTATTATATTTTTGTTTTTGAAACTATAATTGCAAGGGGAATTTTGCTCTTCGTAATTAAGTGGAATTGAAATTTAATTTCTAGCAAGGTTTGTGTTCACATCGAATGAAATTATCTTCAGAACGTTATAAAAGGCAAGTGGCAGTTGCAAATTAACGGGAAGATCCGATTCCCAGAAAATTGGTCTACAAAAAGATACAAAAAAAACCTGACTCACTGCAGGCTGAAAAGCCGGTTTTGTTTGAAGGCTGGTTTTTCACACAAAATAAAGAAAACCAAGCACTTTTTTTTTATAAATAAATTTTTGAAATGAGGAATTTTTAAATTAATTTGGATATTTTTACTAAATTATTAGACTTTACAGAACCCAATAAAGGTGACATCTTTTAGGCTTCAATTTTAAATAAAAGTCACAATTGAAAGTAATTTTTTTTATAGTTGAAGTGCGGGATAATTTGTATTTGTATAATGTATTGAAACAATTTTTAAAAAAAATCCAATAAAAAAGTTGAAGATGTAACAAATAAAAAAATTACAAGAGATTTTAATTATATTTTTTTCAAATTGAATGGTAACACTCGAGGTGGATTTCATGAAAAATTGAAACCGGGCGAACCTCGTTGCAAAGAAAAAATGAAAAAAAATAAAGGACAACTGACCCCAAAGGCGACCAGCAGACCGCAGGTCGCCTTTGGGGTCAGTTGTCCTTTATTTTTTTCATTTTTTCTTTGCAACGAGGTTCGCCCGGTTTCAATTTTTCATTATATTTTTTTCTATTGAGTTTTTAACTGCTGAAAGAAATGTTAATGATGTAATTATTTTTGTTCAATATCAATAAAATCCAGGCATAAATTTAAAGGCTGAAAAATTTTTGGCGTGTCCATAAAGCAGAAGGAAAATTCTCAAATCAAGAAATATTTGAAATTGTATTATAATATTTTAAAGTTATTTGTATCTTATAAATTTTTAATATTTTTATCATCCAAGAAGATTAATTAATAATAATTCATAATTAAAAAATATTCATTGTTGATATTTAACAAATTTTAAGAAAAATAAAAAGACTTCCCCAGTCTTGCTAAAATTAAAATGCGTTTCTGCTAATTTGTGGTTTAATAAACATTTTCGTTCATTTTTTTTTTTTTTTTTTTTTTTTAATTTGATTTTTGTTTGTGAATTTTGTAATAAAGAACTACAATAAAGAACTCTAATGAATCTTGAATTTGTGAGAAAATGACTGTGAATGGAACGCCAAGGACTGGCTGTGCGGCGTTATTTGCCCCTCGTTATCGCCGCCGCACACCATCTTATCAGCAACAATAACAAACACCTCGCTTTGTCTGTCTTTCGGGTCGGCCGGTCGGAGGCTGCTGCAGCACACAAAAGCCAACTGCGGCCACTTTGCTCTCCCTTTGAACTGCTGCACAATGAATGGGGCCGCCCACGCCCCCGATCGCTTTCATTTACCTGAGGAGCAAAATCGCGCGCCGAGACGCCAATTTTCGCAAACACTCGACCAGATTAATCCACTCACACGCACCTAATCTTGATCGATTGCACGCCAAAAGTGCTCGCCAGCGACTCGTGGCAACGGCGGAATTTTAAAGATGAAATTTTTATTCAAAAAAATTAAAGATTGTAACTTTGGTGGACTCCAATATTTAACTTGATTGTAGAAATGCATTCAAAAATTGCGTAAGACGTTAATTTATATTATGTTTATTGTATATTTATTACTTTATTAATCTATAATAATCAAATAAACTTTATAAATTTATTTTTTATTTAAAAAATTGACGTCAAAATAACTGCTGCAAACAGCGTATGTACAAAATTAAAAATTTAGCAAATATTTAAATTTTTGGAAGACTTTAATTGAGGTTAGCTATAGTTTTTATTTGTTTCTGAAAATAAAAGTATTTCGTCACTTTATTTAATAAATGAAGGATTTATTAATAAAGTCCTAAGTTGCATGAAAAGGCTATAAAAATTAGATTTTTTTCATAGAATTTTAATATATTCATGATTTGACTTTTATTCCAACGTTTTTTTTTTCAAATCAAAACAATATCCTGCTCTGTGCATGTTTTGGCTGCAGCCATAATTGATAATTGAAATTAAAATTATTTATGCAGTTCATATTTAGTTAAACAAAGTGATTTTCCTTTCCGGCCGAGGAATGCGTGACCCCGATTACGGCTGCATACTTAATTATGGCGTGTGTGTGATCAGTGGCGCGAGCCAGACTGCACCAGACAATGATCAGCGAACAATAACTGTAAAAGCGCCAAACGCAGAAGCTGCTCACCAGCGACGAAAGCAAATTCAACACCGCCGCAGCAAACGGAATTCCACGCTGCAAAAAAGTGTCCCAACTATTTTTTCCCGCAAATCGCGCCACTGCCAAATTTGTGTCGGCCAAAAGTTAAGAAAGAAAAAAATGTCTAGATCTCTCTCGTGACTGGACACAATTTTTTGCTCGCCGAAGGTGAACAGACGCAGAACAGAAAAGCTGGTTGCATAACTCGGATTGAGAAATTAATCATCGTCGCGGCGTTGTTGTTTAGCGTTGTTCGGGCTTCTGTTTTGTTTTCCGCCTGTGTCGCCTCTGACTTCTGGGGAAACAATCCTTTTTGCTTTTATTTAATTCTGTCCATTCGAGAAACAAGAAACATCCTATTTTTAGAAACTAATTAAATTTGTCTTTCATCCGTCGTACATATTTTTTTATTGAGAAGTAACATGTAAAAAGGATATTGATCACAATTTAATTTAACGCTTACTATTTCATCAATAGCAAGAGAAAATCAAACAGAGTTTGATATTTTTTTAATAAAGAAGTAAATTTAAAGTACAAATTAAAATATTAATTTATTTTAATCATGCGACGGACATTTTTACAATATTCATTATTCATCAATTATTATTATAAAATATCCTTTTATTTTCAATTATGTCCATTAGAGAAACATCCTATATTTAGAAATTAAATCAAGTTTTTTTGTCCTTTGTACATAATTATATTTTTATTTTTGGAGAGAATTTGAAACAGAAAAATTATTTAAAAAAAGGAGATTGATAACAATTTTATTTTACGCTTACTGTTCATCATAGCAAGAGAAAATCAAGCAGAATGTGATCTTTTAATAATAACAGAATAAAGCAAGTTAAATTTTTAATTTATTTTCAACATTATTTTTTGCTCTCGCAACAAGTTGGTTATGAAATGGAAAAGTAAGGAATTTAAAGTGAAAATTAAAATATTAATTTATTTTCCTCACTCATTCCGGACATTTTTACATCATTTTAAAAATAAAATAAATGCATCAGAAATAGTAAAAATACAAAAAATGTATTATTTTTTATTGCATTCATTATAATAAATTGTGATTTTTAATTTACAAGCCACTTTAAAAGCATTCCTTAATTGGACCAAAAATTAAACTGAATAAATTCTTCTAATTTTTCCGCAATTCGTTTTACATATCAGTAGTGTCTGGGACGATTGTGATTAGTCTCTCCCTTTCTCTCTCTCTCACTGATAGCCCCTGCGCTTGGCCGCGAGTGGCGTTGCCAAAAAAAAAGGGAGAAAAGGCACAAGAAAGATGGCCAAATATAAATCCGTTTAATTTTAGTTCGCAGCGAGCAGAGCTGATAAATTTTATCGCTCCGACGGCTCCTCCGCCGGCTCTTGGGACGTTCAACTTTGATCAATACTGCAATTTATTTTTACGAGCATGATTACATTAAATGGACCGCACAAAGTCAAAAGACTGATCGCAAGAGGCTTCTGGAGAAGATTAATTCATCAAAGTCGCTCTTTTGAGGCTTACCCAATTATATCTCCAGTCGTTAAATCCATGTCGGTAATTTATTTAAAAATCTATTCCGATTCAATTTTTTATAATAACTTAGTTTCTATTGTTTACATTTTTTTTAATCCTTCTCATTGCTTAGAATTATTCTGCTAAAAATTAGTGAAAAATGGCATTATAATGAGAATTAATTTTTATTTCATTAAATCATTAAATTATAAACCCATTGACAACCTTTGAAATATGTCATTTTCTGCAAACGTTAATAGAGATGCTGCACTTTATTAGAGAATTTGAATCAAACGAAACACAAAAACTGATCGTAGATCGAGAGGAAATTGATCAGTGGTAGGTTTTTTGACAACCCTGAGTAAAAATGCGCGCTGGCCAAAAACTTTTTCTAGCGTCCTGAGGCGGGCGGGCATGTTGGTTGTGGCAAACAATGAGCTCAGCGCGGTTTGTCAGAGGCGGTGTAATTCACCCAGTCTGGCTGCTAAAAAAAGTCACGAGTTGATGATGCGGTCATCACATGCTTTAATTATGTAGAGACTTTTTTCGTTTGGCAGCGAAACACGCGGACCAATTTCATCCTGCATGACCCGGGGCGCTCCGGAGACAAACAAAAGATGAAATGTCACGGGTCATTATAAGTTTTGCCTGTTTAATTAAATTAAAGCTCTGCCATTAATACCTTATTTTTCTAAAACTTATCAAATTCAGGCAATGTTTAATTAATTAATAGAATCCTAAATAATTACATTATCTGGAAAAGACTGGCTTCAAATGGAAAAAAAATATTGGAAAATAAATAATCATTTACATGAGCTTAACCTTAATAAAAATTATTCTATTTGCTTTTATTTAATAGAAATTCTTATTTACAAAACTTGCAAGTTTTTCAGATATAAATATTTGAAGAGTTCCATGTGTCAGTATAATTTGCCGCTTTAAAAAAATGAACTGAAATCTCAACAATCCTAATGACTTTTATGGAGGAACAGGGACCAAATATGCTTTAATTCAAGGTTTAGGACTATAAACCTGATTAAAAATTTTAATATATGAAACTGAAGATTTTCAGATGCGTGCAGAATTCCATTTGTCAAAATATTCTGGCGCTTATTTCATAAAATGATATGAAAATCCTTGACGAACCTAATAATTTTGAAGGGAGAAAAGGAATAAATTCCTATTTTATTCATGGTTTAGGACCCGATTATAAATTTCATGTACGATACCTAAATTACACTAAATTATTGAGATGTGCAAAGTTTCATGTTTAATAATTTGGCGCTTGTAAAAGTTTAACAGAAAAATCTCGGTGTCACCAAAATCTCAACAATCCAAAAAACTTTAAGGGAGGAACAGGAGGCAATTCTGCTTTAATTCATTGGTTTAGGACTAAAAATGATAAGAAATATTTCATAAGAAATATTTCATACCTTGCAGATATCTAAGATCAGAGGCAATGATAGAACCTGTAAGGCTGATCGCGATCGCAAATATTGAGATCTCGTCCGCTCTTATTGGTCCCACGAGAACAAATTTAACTCGCCACCGAAATAAACAAAATAAATAAACACCCCTGTTCCGCGCGAGTCTCTCTCGGAATGAACAATTCAGATGGGTGGGGTCGCGCGGGGTCGATGCGTTGCGTCTGGAAGGTCCTTTGTTGACGCTCCTCGGTCGACCGGCTGCTGGCGGGATGGCTAATTACGAAACAGGGTCAACTGGTTGAGTCAACTGCGGTGTTACTGATGAATATTAATTATGCGCGAGTCGCAGAGTGCGCGCCGTCGACGACGATGCGCCCATCAAGAGCCACTCTCGCTTTGTAATTAGCTACGCGTGCATCAAAATTTCAAACTCGGTGCAATCGATGCACCAGAAAAGATCAAAAGTTGCCAGCAAATCCAAAATTTCTGAAACTTTTGCTTTCATTTGAATAAAATCTATAACCTGCTAGACTGGAGTAATAAAAAATTATTCGCTTTTTAAACCAAAAAGTATTTTCTCTATTTCTTTGATATCTTGAATCAATCAACCGTTTCAAATTGCCAAAAAACTTTGCATAACAAAAGAAGATAATAATAAAAATTAATTATCACTTTGATTGTAAAAATCTGTCTTATTTATACAAGTTTTTGTACTTTACGTTTAATTTCGCAACTCTTGTTTGCAGTTTACAATGATGCGTGGAAGAGAACGAATATTAAAAATTGAAATCCACACAGAAGCACTTCATTTTTTAAAAGACCGATACTTGCGGTTGCAGCGAAAGAAACGGAAAACCGGCTGCTTTTGCCATTAGGCGCAGCATTCCATTTTCGGCGCAATTTCTCGCAGTCCATTCTGATGCAGAGCGCGGACAAAACTAGTTTTGAAATGCCGCAAAGTCTGCTGAATTTTTTATGTCGCCGCGGATCGAAGCTCCTCGACTTTACGACCAACCAGGCTCACCACTGCAAAATCAATTGTCAGATAATTGCGAGAAAAACAGATACTGTGAGCTCCGTAAAGGCCTCCGGAAAAGTCTGCGGATCGATGGGCTGCTGTCCAATGTCTCTATGTTGGCAAAGTAATTCCCAAAGCAAAGAATGAATGGAAATTCAATTCAGCATCTTATTGCAGTGAAAAATCTCTCATTGCATCCATGAACGTTTGACTTTGAAATAAAAATTTAAAATAATATAATTTTTGGCAATGGAAGGAATTTTAAATTTTTTCACAGTGAATTGAAAACAAGGAGATTAATATTTTTTAAGAGAAATCGCTACAATGATATCTCACCTAGTGAAATTAAATAATCAAATTTATTTATTTTAAAATTATTTTGAAACATTAAAAAATTTAAAGATACATGTAAATTTAGAACTTAAATAACCACTTTTTAATTATGATAATTTTACGCTGACCATGTTCCGAGTCAGTCAACCCACTCGCGTTTAAAATGAATGTCAGGATTAAAGCGGCATATTTTCTTTCTAGCCGATCTAATGAAATTTTAGCACATGCTCGGTCTCGGCTGACATAAAAGCACCGTGAGTAAACATCTCGGTTTCTCGGGGCCGCACGTTCACCGTCGCCGCGTTGTACTCGAGTGGCCGTCAGATTCGAATGCCGAGATATTTTTAATCTCTCATGCAGCTCCTGCCACGTTATTTTTTCTCATATTTTCCCCTTTCCTGGTTTCCGTACGTGCGCTTGAAAATCGATTCGCGTCTCTCGCATCCGTTCGAAACTCTTCTATAAACCTTTCCTCATATCTTATGTATTAAACATGCAAATCAAAAAGGTTTTTAAAAAAAATTAAAAATAAAATTTTGCAGAGGTTTTGATTGATTGATTGATTTGTTTGTTGCAGGCTGAATGACTTCCCGAAGAATGCCTGAGCCGAGCGGTGCGTGCATGTCACACTACGGCAGCCTCCGCCACTCGCACTCGACCCCCCTCACCCCGGGGGGCTCCTCCATCGGGGGCATCAGCGCCGACCCATCGAAAACGCCGCCTGCCACGCCCAAGAAGGGTGGCAAAATCCTTGCGGTTCGAGTCCAAATGCTCGATGACTCAATCACCATGTTCCAAGTTCAGGTTTGTATTTTGAATTTGAAAATTCAAATTTATCTTAAATCAATTAAAATGAGAAGAATTAAAAAAAAATCATAAAATTATGATTGATTTCACATTATTTTTAAGTTAAAATGAAGATTAAATTTTTTTTCATTTTTATGAAAAATGAGTAATTTTTGCGGATTTAAATATCATTTTGTTTGCCTACAAATTAAGAGTCTCAGAATGTGACTGAAACCGGTACATTTGCTATTTTTTTCCACAATTTTTACAAAATAAGAATAAAAATCCTGTCTGGAGTTATTTATTCATTAAATTTAACTTACAGATTGTTCTATCCTGATTAAATTTAAATTAAATTTTCTTTTCTTTTCTTGCATTTGACTGCTAAGAATAATAATATATGCTTGCACAAGTCTCAATTATTCATAATCTCACAATTGTATTTGTATTAATAATACTTATTTCAAACTTCAAGTCGAATAAACAACAAGATATTAAATAAAAATACTGCGGCGCCTGGCTTGCAGAAACACTAAACTTAGTAAATTTAATATCCTGCCTGCAACAAGTCTGGCCTGTAACCAGACACCATCCATCCAGCACATTTGTGTTAAGTCATTTCGAGTGAAACTCGAAACCATGCAGACTATCTGTTGTAATTTTTGTGGCAAAAACTGCTCTCTTTAATTAAATGTTTTTATTGAAATGGAAAATTTATTTATCTATTAATTTATTAATTAGTGAGTAAAAAAATTATAAATTTGAGAATAATATCATTTCAGGCCAAAGCCTTGGGGAAGTTGCTTTTCGACCAGGTCTGCAGGCAGCTCAACCTACTCGAGGCAGATTATTTTGGACTTGAGTACACAGACCTCAACACAGGCGCTAGAGTGAGTTCTTAGAATTTAAATTCATATCATAAATTTTTTTAATCAATTTATTTATTTGCGTGGTCTTTTTTCAGTACTGGCTGGACCTGGAAAAGCCATTGAGTCGACAGGTCGGCCTAACCCTTCCAGAGAACCTTTTGAGATTCTATACCAAGTTTTACACACCGGACCCTGCTCACTTGGAGGAGGAGTTTACGAGGTACTTGCTGTGCCTGCAGGTTAAGAGAGATTTGGCCCACGGACTGTTGCAGTGCAACGACAACACCGCAGCTCTCATGGCCTCCTACATTGTGCAATGTAAGCGTTTAAATAGCTGCTCTCCAATTAAAAGTCTTGACGGTTCCAATTTTTAGCTGAATGTGGTGATTATGTTGTGGAAGACTACCCAGATCATACTTATTTGTCGTCTTACAAATTTGTTCCGCACCAAGATGCTGAACTTGAGCGCAAAATTATGGAGAATCACAAGAAGCATGCGTATGTTAAAACTTCTGAATGTTATATTTTACTTTTTTTCTAAATTTTTTTTTCAACAGTGGCCAGAGTCCTGCTGAAGCAGATCTAAACTTGTTGGAAACTGCTAGGAGATGTGAATTGTATGGCGTGAAAATGCATCCAGCCAAGGTAGAAAAAAGTTTTTGTTACTTATTTAAATTACCCTTGAATATTTTAGGACCACGAAGGAGTACCTCTTAATCTGGCTGTGGCTCATATGGGAATTCTGGTCTTTCAAAACTACACAAAAATCAACACATTCTCTTGGGCAAAAATCCGAAAACTAAGTTTCAAGAGAAAAAGATTTTTAATCAAATTGCACCCGGAGGGTTATGTAAGTAATGATGAAATATATTCAATTTAGCTTTCGATTATGGCGATTGTTTCTCTCCGACTAACTTGGTGATTTTTATTTTTATTTTGGGTGCTTTGGTGTTTGGTGCTGGCCCTGGATTGCAGAAGACTGAGGTACATTTTACTTAATTAAAAGTTGGCTTTTGTTTGCAACATAGATTTGCAATATTATGTTTTATTAACTTCTTATCGTGTCTTTGCAGGGTTATTATAAAGATACTGTGGAATTTTTCTTTGAGGGTCGAAACGAGTGCAAGAATTTTTGGAAAAAATGTGTTGAGCACCACGGTTTCTTCCGATGTGCCACCGTTAAACCTCAGGCTCGACAAAAAGCACGAGTAATTAGTCGTGGCTCATCATTCAGGTTTAAATCATAAATTTGATCTGCATTCAAAGTTGACTTATTAAATTTTATTTAAAAAAACAGATACAGTGGCCGAACTCAAAAGCAAATTGTTGAGTTCGTTCGAGAAAACTACGTCAAAAGGCAAAATTTTGAGAGATCTGCCATTCCACCTCGCTCACAGTCATTCAGGCATTCACGCTGTGTTCACTCTAGCGTGGCCAGCGTAGGGACAAGTATTTCTGCGCACCCTCTACTGCCTTTAGGTGACAACGCTGTTGGTACGTCCTTTTTCTCAATTCTTAATTTATTGTCCCTAATCAAAATAAATTGCAGCTGGCACCCCAGCTTCCTTGTCATGTGGATCGATGACCCTGGAGGACCCTGGCTCTCCAGGTGGGCGTTACCCTGGCAGCGCACCTTGCACTTCCCCTGCGCACACAATTGAGCACCACCACCATCATCACGCACACCACCACTCGCACCAAGGTCTCGCCGGCCTTGGCAGACCCACTTCACGCCAGGACACAATGAGTCCTCCGACTTCGGCAGCTTCAAGCCCAAGCCCACCACCAGCAGGTCAGAACACACTCCCTAGTAATGGGTTGAATGGGGGGCAGGGGGGTAAGAGCCCTGAGGGCAGCTCCAATTTGCCCAGTAGGGCCTCTGACCCTCAGCTAGGCAGCGAGCCTTTTTTGAGTAGCTATCCGGAAAAAAGTAGTAACATGTCCCACGATGACATTTCCCACGATTCTTATGACCTGTTGAACGAGGGTAGCGACGATGACGAAGATGAGGAGGAGGAGGAAGAGCCTCCTTATAAAAACGTGGCGGTTACGCACCGGCTTTTGGGTCGGACGCGGAGTGACCCTGCCCGCAAGGAAAAGTGCGAGGAGAACCAGCTGCGGCTGGCCAAAAGCGAACCCTCGCACAGCCTTGCCGAGGCAGTGACCACGACTGATGACGATGACGACGATCGTGCGTCCGACCAGTACCGCTTTCATGAAAGAAAACCTTTTGAACCCTTTTATGCTAACCAGATTAGTTATGTAGACAAGCCAGGCGACCACCGGTTCTGCACGCACTGCCGCCAACAGCAGCCGATGCAGGCCACTTTTGGCGGCGTGCGGAGCGAGCCAATTTTGTGTCCAGTGGGACTCCGACGTTTGTACTCGGATGAGGATTCGAGCGATCAATATGTGGAGGCCAGGGTTGACCCTACCGAGGAAGAGGAAAAAATCCCCTCGTCATGCTCCTCTCCCGAAATGTTCCCAGCTCAGGAAACGCAACTCAGTCCCCGCCCGTTGAGTGCCCGTTTTCCCAGCGGTCGCCTCCCATCCCCTCCGCCAGGTTCAAGCGTGTTTTACTTCCCAGAACCTGGTGAACGCGTCGTGTCCCCGACAAATGGGAAAAACGCTCGATTCTACCCTGCCGGTGTTCCCGAAATCCCACCCTACTCTCCTAGGCAGCCATTAATTCCAGACTCGCCGTCTGTTTCGCCACCCCCAAAAGAACGAGAATCGCGACCCCTTAAGTCACCCCCTCCGCCCAGCGGAGTTCCAACTTCGCCACGCGCTCTACTTTCCCCTCGCGCACTCCTGTCCCCTCGAATGGACCCTTGCAGCCCAACAGGACGCTTTTTCCCATCAGACGGGACAAGGTCTCCAAAATCACCAACTTCCCCCAGGCAATCTCTTTTCATCCCCAACAACGAAGCGGCCTCTCCAATGAAGTCACCACCACCTATTTCGCCAAAAATTTTAATGCATCAAGCCTCTGTTGATATTCTAGATGAACCGGGTGAACCAAAGCAGCAGCAGGATATCGACTATGTCCTTCACAAGCGGCACTTCCAGCAGTCAGACAGCGGCTCTGGCTCGGAAAGCTCTTCTGACCACCGCGCTCGAAGGGCAACTCCCAGAAGGAGGGTATTCAACAGCCACACGGACGGCGCCTGCAAGTCACCGGTGGCCCTTTTTGCACGAAATTCCCTTGAGCAACGGAGGCAAAAAATTCCTAAAGCAAAAGGGCTGGACGTCGTTGCCCTGCACCATTTGCCACCGACCAACGCTTTCTCTAGCGAGGATGACACCATGGATGAAAACTCAATGGAAGACCCACCAAAGGTGGTTTCAATCGAGCAGCGCCGGGCTGATGTTCATGGCTTGAAAATGGCCTTCATGCTGTCCGGCGTCGAGGAAGAGGAACACCCGAGGCCAATAGATTCGGCGCGCGTTGTTCTCACTGAGGAGAAGCAGGCGTCTACTGAATCCGAAGAGCCGCCGTACGCAGAGGTTTATGCCGATTCAGTTACGGACAACTCTGAAAGGGTTGAAGAAGCACCACGGTCGCCTAGTCCTCTAGAAAGACTCGATGAAGAGGAAGATGAGGGCAAGGATGAGGTGCCGAGTCCGCCGACTGAAGATTCACAGCCGCGGCGCTCTAGTTTTTCTAGAATGAAAAGCATGTCTGAGGAATCCGATGACACTGAGACGGCCAGGACTGTTGTGACGCCACGTCATGTGGCACGAAAGCATAGCCTGAATCGGACTGCGTCCATGTCTGAAGACTCTGACGCTTGTTTGAACAGCGACACAAGCAGAAAAAATAAAATGGCTTCGGATGACTCTGATCTAGAGAGCCGAGATATAAAACAACGAATTATTCCAGAAATCAGAGAGGAGTCCTGTGATCTAACACGGACTCTTGAAGAGCGCCGTAAAGCCTTGAAAGCGTCCAGTGAGGACGACTCTGACTACTCTGGTCTTCCTGTCAGCATTGACTCAACCAGAGTGAATATTGAAGACCCAAAACCCCGTCGGCCGTTGCTGGGCGAAGATTTGCGCCAAGACTCAATGAGCGAGTTGGAGAGGAAATTGATTCGAGCCCTGATGCGCACATCCAGCACTGATGAAGAAGGTTTGCTCAGCCGGCAGACATCAATTGACAGAGTCATCATGGAAACGTCAGACCCTAGCGAGCTTGAAAAAATTCTCATCAGAGCCATAATGCGAAGCACGAGCACCGAAGATGAATCATACATTGCTAAACAGTCATCAATAGACTCAACAAGAATCACAGTCGAAACAACGCAAGCCAGCAGCCTAGAAGAAGCTGCCAATGACCCTGCAGAACTTGAAAAGGCCCTCATCAGGGCATTAATTCGCAACTCTAGCACTGACGACGAAGCTTTATTCAGACAATCCTCTTTAGATGCAGCAACTGCAAATCCGGTTCAACAAGCGCTGGAGTTGGAAAAGGTTTTGATCAGGGCTATCATGAAAAGCTCAAGTGAAGACGATCCTCCTAAAACTGGTGACGAAAAGCAGAGTGAGTTAGAGAGATTTATTTTGCAGTCTCTGGAAAAAATACCCAGCGATGACGATTTAGTTTTCTTCAACCCTGACAAGCGGCGAGCGAGCTGTCCCATGACGCAAATAGAGAAGGACGCAGCCGAGTTTGAAGTAAAAATTAGCGATGACGTCAAAAAGCCGCGAAGAGCAAGCGAAGGTGGTCGCAATCAAACGGCCGAATTCCATGAAGACCTAAAACCCCGAAAAACCAACGAGTCGCTCTACCACTCGACACACGACTTGACCAAAAAGCCGGCGCCACCAACTGCGCAAGAATTATTCAAAAATCCTCGCCGTCGTGAAAATCCCACTCGCCGCTGCAGCTACCCTCCAAGCTCAAGTGAAGAGGATGACGCCTACGTGAAACCGAGACAGACAAAATCTAGTTACGTTCCGAGCTCAAGCGAGGAGGAAGAATTAAATCACAGATCAAAAACCACTCTTTCAGACCACGCCTTGTCTCGTAGAACTCACATTGAAGGCCTTCGGAGGGCAATGTTGGATTCCAGTGGAAGTTCAAGCCTTGAAGATGACAATCCAGTTTTTGTTGAAACAACTGGAGTCGGTGCAAATGGCACCAACGTCTTGCTAGACTACGCTCTCGCCTCCACTTTTCCACCAGCTCGAACCTTGTCCAGAATTAGTGAAAGATCAACTACTTCTGAACAAGAGCGATCTACAGAGGAGGAGGGGGAAGGAGAAGACAGCAAACTATCCTCCTCAGACTCGGATGACACAAACAGCGAAATCTCCAGTGGGGCCGGGAAAGGCGAAAACAGTTTGTCTTCAGACCCATCTTCTTCTGAACAAGTTGAGAAGGAGAAGAAGCGACGGAGTTCTCCGGATTTGGTGAAGGAAGAGACAAGTAAAACTGTGACCTTGGAGCCACCACCACAATCGGTCACAGCCAGCACCTACATCGCTCCTTCAGTCAGCAGTGCCTCGTTCCTGGAGACGTTTTATCTGGAGGTGCGGCCAGAGCAGGCCAGTCCTGTCACCCTTCCATTTGACTCGTCCTCAACAGACGAAAACCAGGCCACCCTGCAGGACTCGCCAAGCTCGAACTCGTCTCGCTACGACATCCCCGTCACGGTCACTACCCAACCCGACTTTTTCACCCCCATAACCTGCACGCCCCCTTCCACCCCACCCACCCACGAAGACGATGATGACATGATGTCTCCAGATCTCCCTCTCCCACCACCCCCTCCAGACTTTGGTCGTCCCAGTTTAATGGACGAAAGCGGCTGGGGAGACGAACTGCCGCCGCCGCCACCAGACTTCATCAATGTGTCTCCCTCCTTCAAGGAGGAGGACGTGTTCATTGTGCCTCCAGCTGAAAGACGTCGGCCCTTTATTGACTTTGACTATCAGAGTCCGTACGCGTCCGGTTGCCACACGTTGCCGCGACGACTCAAGGACCCTTTCGAAAAGCTCTCGGTCGCCCACACGTCGCACACCCTGCCCCGCAGGCACAACAAACGCGACGACCCGCCGACTTCGGGCTTCAAGGGCCAGCGAGTGATCATTCCGATCAAGCCTACCACGTCTGGGCACAACACGTTCCCCAGGCAGAAAAAGCAAAAAGACGTGGCGCCGAGCAAGGAGGCCCACAGCAACACCCTTCCGAGGGCGCGCCACCGCGTGGCCGTTTCGCTGGAAGTGCGTAGAGGTCGCGTTGTCACGGCACCGGACACCGACAGAATCCCAAACTTCCCCTCCAAGCAGTCGGAGGTGTGAAAGAATCAATCAAGGGGCCGCGGGCGTTTTTCCGCATTTTAACTAATTCAGTGTGCGATCCAATTCTCGAAAACTCACTTTCCCGCACATTTTGCGTTTCCTGATACACGCGCTCAACCCCTAGGGAATGAGAACATTTAGCATGCAAATCCCTCTTGTGCTTTATCCACTCATCACAGGTCAATTAAGCGCCCGACACAGTCGACGATGAATATTGACAACTATTTCTTTGGCGATGACGTTTTCCGACTTAAATATGATTATTATATTGATCAAGTTGCATGAGCTTTTCTGATGAGACCCACCTTATAATTAATTGTTTTTTTTTCTTACTTCTTTCGCTGACCATCATGGCAGATTTCAATCATAAAAACATCCTTTTTACTATCTCTGTTCGCTTTTCCTCATTTTAGTAGCTGAGCTAGTCTTGCTTCTTTTTCGTCTGCTTTTTTGTTGTTGGCATCACCATTTCTATATATATACATATTTATGACAAAATACTATATATGCCTTCATTTGCTTGGCTTCTTTTTTAACGATTAAAATTCTTCTCTCTGCGTTTTACAGCGCGAGACCTGATGGGAAACGCGTGGCACTACAGGAATGGGGTGCGCTCATACTATCACTAATTCTCTCTCAATCAATCAATTCGGTGGCAAAGTTAATAAGAACGCAATTGTACTGTTCAGCATTATACATTATAATATTAATAGCGTTGTATACTCTCCTTTGTATGATGTTTGTACGTCTATATATTTTTTATCGATTAATATCACTCGTGGCTGAAAAACTGCTGAAAAATTGACGTCACCCAGCAATCCCGTAGCATATCGTTCAGAAATAAAAATATTATATCACCCATGGAATGACGCATATTTAAAAAAAAATAATAATAATTTTAATTGCTGCATTTTTGCTCATTAAAATCCTTGACATAAAGGTGACGTCAGTTTTAATTAATTTCATTTTTTATTTAAATGAACGTAAAGAAAAAACAGTGACTGCCACACGAAGCTGCTTTTAGAGGCCTGCATTACAATTAGTTATCATTATTTCACCATTCTTGTAGACCCATAATTTGAAATAGAATCCTCACCGTGAGTGAGTTTAAGATTTTAATCGTTCTGTACATATGTAAAAGTTTGAACTGAGTTTTTAATATATTATCACTTATACACATACCTTTAACATATACTTAATTAATACATACATATATTATATTGTGCATGAAGTTCTTTACTTACTCATATAATTATTTTATGGTGAATCTCATCAGAATTGCCAGCAATAATAATTTATTTGGTTTGAAATTAATTCGAAAGAAATGCATGTGAGTGAGTGACCAACAACCAGGATATCAAACACACACCACGATTGGTTTCCATTTGTTGTATTTCCCTTTGAGTCGACACACTTACTATTAACATGCTGAGAATCATTCTTTTCTTATTAATCTTGACCCCTGGCCTACGCAGTTTGATCAAACGACTGGTTCCTCATGGCTGATTGGCAGTCACTGTTAGAACACACGAAATAATTTTGAGATTTATTGAGCAAAAATATTGAGATTTAATAAAATTATAATCATCAAGTATTGCAAGTGATCAATGTGAAAAACAATTTGGATATTGAATATTGATGTTTAGAATTTTTAAAGAGAAAAACGGCGAGCATGTAGAGAAAAGGCTCAAAAGTTGTTGGTGGACTTAATCAACTAAAAAGTATAGAGTATGAATTAAAATTTTTTTAAACTCCTTTTTAAGTGCGGTGCCAAATTCTAACCTCATTAACTAAGTTATTGTTTATTATGGTTGTTCTGGGTTGGGCCGTCCAATTAATCTTTATAAAAAAAAAAGAAAAAAATACGACGGCCCCGAAAGAGCGCTATTTATTGATCTCTGTTGAGGAAGATAAAGGTTGTTACTGTAATTGTTAAAAAGTGGAGACGGTCTGCATATTTGCAGACTCTGTGTGAGTGTGATGCACACCTAAAGTCATCCAAATGTTTTGTGCTCTGCTGTACATTCCATAACTATTATTCAAGCAAAAGGCACCTTATTAATTATTAACACTAGAAAGAACGAAAGACAGTCTCAAGTTGATGCGATAAATGTTGACCTCTGCGATGATATTTTCTCTCCCCATTTCTAAAAACGAGTCTCGCTCTCAACAATTGTAATTTTAACCCTGTTATACAATAATAATAAAAACTTGTTTTGGTCATACCCGACTCTTTTAATGTATGGACAAAGCACACCCATTCTTGCTCTCACTTCTCATTCCGCTTTACTAACCAACATTGACGACTAACTTGGGGTATGTTGAACTCAATCTGTTTTGGCATGGAAATTTTGTGTGTCACTTCTACTTAAAAACAATCAAACAAGCAGTAATCTTTGCAGTTTGTTTAAACAAAACAAAATTGTAGACTGAAACAATTCAAAGCATATTAAAATTTGGCATGTTTTCCAAATTATACCTTGGTTCAAATATACCTCAGCAGTTTGACAAATATCAATATATATATGATTTATGTTTCCTTTTCAGCTTAAATAGGAATTTATATTGTTATTGGGCATGTCACTTCTTGATTTTAATTTGAAGCATGGTTATAAAAAAAAATCAAATCTCTTTCCTTGAAAGTTCAAAAATATTAAAATTTCAATGATAGCTATTGATCGTGCATTTTGCTATATTTCCCATAAATTTTATGACCACGGTCTAACCTCTTTTTCGATTTCAGCTGTGGATATGAGCCCAAAAATGCTGAATCGGCACGACATCACTCCTCCGCCTCCTTACCAGCCTCCAATGACGAGGACTCTTCCACCTGTGTCGCCCAAACCAGTCATTGTTGCTTCAACGCCACAGTAACAAAATCTGCTGGTTTTATCTCAAGACAAAACTAACATCGTTTTTTTTTATTAATTGCAGTGAGCCTCCCAGAGGCATTGTCAAGCCAGAAATTCACCAAGCCTTTGTGACGCCTACAAACGGACACATGTCGCCCATCGTTGCTCCTGTGTATCCCATGTTTCCACCTAGCAATAATGAGAACAGCTACATCAGTCCTCCCATTGATGTTGACATTCGCAGAAGGGTATTAAAAGTGGAGGGTAAAAATTTTAAATACTAAATCATTTTAAATTACAGAGATTTCCCTCTGACCGAGCTTACTTTATGGCAAAGGAATTGTTGATGACGGAGAGAACATACAAAAAAGACCTGGAAGTTATTGTTGTGGTATGAGAAAGTTTAAAGTTACATTATTATTTAAAGAATAAGAAAAGAGAAACTATTGGATAAATTTAACTTCAAGTAATTTGTGCTGGTGATGAAATTTACCAATATTTTGGAGATTTTATATTAAATAAAAAACTAAATTACAATTAATTTCAGTGGTTGCGAGAGGAGTTGGCTAAAGAGGAGCCAACCAATGAGCTGGATGCCCTTAAAGGCCTCATCAATCTAGTGGCTCCGCTGCTGCAGTTCCACACTGCTTTTCTGAGAGAGGTTGACACCAGACTCTCGTGCTGGGAAGGTCGAAGTCACAACACGCCGCTGAAAGGCGAGCAGCAGAGAATTGGAGACGTCCTGGCCAACAACATGAATATGATCCCTGTAAGTTCTAATCCAACTTTTGAAAATATTCCTCTAAACTTTTCTCCTGCTCAGCTCTACGAAACTTACATCGCAAAGCACAGAGCTGTATTAGAAACTTTGGACCTCGCCCTGCGCCAGTCGAGGCGTCTTTTGACCCTCCACAGGGATTTTGAAGCTCAGAAAGTTTGCTACCTACCTCTGACCTTGTTGGCCCTGAAGCCATTGCACCGAATGCTGCATTACGATCGGCTCTTGGACCGTGAGGAATTTGAGTTTTGTAACAAATCCTTAATTAAAAGTTTTCCACTCCAGGACTCATTAAACATTATGGACCACAACACTCTGACTACCAGAGCTGCACAGAAGCTAAACAAAAATTGGCACCCATCATTCAAAAGTTGTCTGTCGAACTGCGCACCTCTGTAATATCAAATCGGAGTAAATTGGCTTGTGTTGAATTCAATCGATTTGCAGGAGAGCTGGGCCCAGCTCAGTGAGCTCCGACGTCACGTCGCTGGCTGTGGAGAGGTTTTGGCTGGCAGGCAGCAGTTTTTGAGGCAGGGGTGTCTCATGAAGCTCTCGAGGAAGGGATTCCAACAGCGGCTCTTCCTTTTGGTAAGTTTAAAAATACAAAAATTATTTTCGTTCCCAAATTTGATAAATTTAATTAATTGAATCGGTGCTTCCCCGGAACTTTTCTTAATTAGTTTTTAAATTAATTCTCAGATAATTGTTAGTGTGCGTGCGTTTTTCTGTTCAAATTAGTTAAAAAAAAATGTAAAGTATATGTAAGTTAATTTTATCAACTTAGCTAATGAAAATTAGGAAATGAATGGGAATTGAATTTAAAGGAAAGTAAAAAACGAGTAAAAAAATCCAAACTTTTTCTTTACTAGAAATTTATTTTCCCTTCATGGGTCTGCGGGCCAATTTTTTCTCTTAAGATGCCAATTGACGCCCAGCAATGTTCAAATGATTGATTGATCTTAATCTATTTACAAATTCTTTCCCAAAATTGGGATCCATTGCGGAGTTTTTATTTTATTTTAGTTAAATTTAAAACTTTTAACTTAACTTATTTATTGAGTATGCAATTTCTTTCAGTTCTCGGATGTACTTCTCTACTGCAGCAGATGTGTCCCGACAAGCAATGCTGGCAGTCAGCAGGAGTTCAAAGTACACGGACAACTGCCCTTGAGAGGCCTCTTGGCAGAGGAGACCGAGGAGAGTCAGGGTGCTCAACACTGCATGGCCTTCACCTCAAGGGGCAGGTTAGTTTCCATAGAATTGCTTTGAAATTTTGTATTTTAAATGTGGCTTTCAGAGTGACTGTGGTCGCTGCCAACACAATCGAGGAGAGGGATCGGTGGCTGACAGCTGTGCTGGCTGCCATCAGGGAGGCGGAAGAGTCGAAGGCGTTCAGTCCGGTTTTGTCTTCGTGCAGCTCATCGGACGAGGTGTTGCCTGGCATTGATGAGCCTCAGCAACAAAAAGCTGTAACTTCCGCTCAACGCAGCAACACCAGTGTCCATGTTTGCTGGCACCGGGGCGCCAGCTTAGGTTTGGAGGATCAGCTCAGAGCAGTAGAGGTCAGTTTAAGGAATGAAATTTATTTAAATCTCAACTAATTTTTGCAAATAATCACCAGAACCAGTTGAGTGGATTTTTGCTTCGGAAATTTAAGAACAGCAATGGCTGGCAAAAGTTGTGGGTGGTCTTCACGAATTTTTGCCTCTTTTTCTACAAGACTTTTCAGGTAAATACCAGTTTGAAAAATTTTCTCATTATAAGGTTGTCTAATTTATAATATTTTTCTCCAGGACGATGCACCTCTGGCTAGTTTGCCTCTCTTGGGCTACACTGTTTCACAGCCGGACGAAAAAGACGGAATCGCCAAGGACTTTGTCTTTAAGTTGCAGTTCAAAACGCACGTCTACTTCTTCAGGGCTGAGAGCGAGTACACTTTTGGCAGATGGATGGAGGTCATCAGCAGCGCAACGCAGCAATAGAAATTTACTTCATGTTTTTTGAAGTAGAAATACCTTGTTGCCGGTGTAGTCAAGGCCAAAATTTTTAAAGAGAGTAAATCCCCTGTTTGGGTTGTTTGACAACGAAAGAAAAGACATTAAGTTTTTTTTAGCAATTTTTGAGAAACTTACAAACATTGTATGCGTCAACCATTGATTTACGACCATCCTTCCATGCGGCAGCTCCAAATTGTGTTAACATTTTACCCCTGAACTACTTGATGCCATATTAATATCAATTTTTAAGTCAACGATTTGTTATGTTTAATCCCTTAATCACTCACAAAATTGAAAACTTAACAATGTGTCATACTTTTTATTTGTTTTGAATGATTGATTAATTTATCATGTTACATCTTCTTATTGATTCCTGCATACTATTTTAATCTCTTGGAAGCTTTCCACACTTTTTCATTTTAAGTTTTTTTGCAATTTGGAACTAAAAATCTTTTATCAATGTCTTTAGCTTAATAAATAAATTAAAATATATACACTGATTTAAAACATATTCCTTTTCTTACAATCTTGCATTAATTTGATTTTTTATTTAAAAATAGTTTTGTGGACGCAACAAAAAGTATTGAATAAATAACTGGCAAAAATGGAATAAATTTGTAATAAAATAACCACAAGACTTAAGTGATGGCAACCACTGATGAGAGATTTATTTATTCATTTTTCTACAGCTATTTGAATAAATTATCAACTGCACTTCATAAGTGCAAAGAAAACAAGACAACCTCCGGCGAAAACTCCAATTGCAATGTACACAAAGGTCAACGTTGACTGGGTCATTTCGTCTAATCTGTTTGGAACTTCCTCCAATGCCTCTTGTTTTTGCTCTCCTACCATGTAGGTGGTGATTTGGAAAACGTTCCCTTTGAATTCTAGTCCAAACATGCTTCCGTTTTCATTGTCCTCCACAGTACGGACGATTTTCAAAACGCACAGGTATGAGTCGTACTCGCCCTTTTCAAGACCCAGGTTGATGTAGCTGGTGGCGAATTTGGACTGCATAATGGTCTCACCATTTCTGCTCCATTTGCAGTCCTGGTCTCTTCCGGAACCCAAAACTGGCTGTTTGAGTTTGTACTCCCTGTTTGGTTCAAGGTCGGCTACTCTCCGCGAGTAGCTGATGGACGTAGCGCACGACAGGGAAAGCAACCCCAGCAGGAGGAGCACAGAGGTGGACATCATAGGCGCCATGGCGAGACAGACAAAAATTTAGCAACTTCGGAGCAGCGCACCTAATCTTATCTATTCAGACTGGAGCACCTTTTTCTTGATTGTGTAAAATTGCTGTTTTTGTGATAAATGGACCGTTTTGAGTGTTACGATTTTTTATTGGCCTTCATTTCAGAGAGTGCTTGGCAAATATTTGACTCTTCTCATAAATTAGGACGAAGGCAGACAAGAAACTATTGCATTGCACATTCTAATTTTAAGAGGAAGAAAAATGTGATGCAAATTTAATTTTCTATCTTGCTGAACAAGAAAATTTTACTAAAAAACTCTTGCCAATTTGACAAATTTTAAGATTTAAAACTAAAAAAGTAGCCAAATAATGTTTAATTATTTCTTCAGATTAGACGCTTGCAGAACTGAGAATCAATAAAAATATATGCTACACAAATTTATGTTGAAAAAACTAGTGTGACGCTGTTTGTTCACTTTTGTTGTTTTACTTGTTTTATATAATTGAGGAAGGTCTACTCTACAAGTCTACAAGTACACATAGTACAACCGAAAATACCGATATTAAAATACTTAATTTTTATTATTAAAAAGATCCTTTAGTAGATATCATAGAGATAATAATTAGTTTTTTTTTCAAATGCTCAGCACTTAATTATATTATAATCTTGTATTAGTTTTCGCACTAATAATCTTTAAAACCAATTGGATCGCAGCTTTGCCCGACGCACATCTTCTGCAATTTTGCATAGCGCGCTCTTTATTTTTACAAGGAGAATATTAAATGGATATATTTTTCTTTCAATATATGTATAAAACCAACATAATATCCTTTTATTTAAACTCGTGAATTCGCGAAGAAACATTATTAATATCATTTTAATTTTTTTCCAATTTTCAAATAAGACGAAAGATAAATTATGTAAATTATAGCAAATAAATGTATCTAGAATGAATTATCCAACAAGGAATTATCTCTGCAAGAAAGCATCTCTGAATGTAGCCTCTCTGCTTTCGTGACGTCACAGAGCTGCCGAGCTTGTCAGCTGTCAGTTTTCCGCATGCACGAGCCACGAGGGCTACGAGGTGACCGACCACTCTGTATGTTTTGATTTTTCCCATTCATACGTCGATCTGCAATTCCCGGAATCGACAATCTTTTTCAGTGTTTTTTTAATCTTGATGTGACAAAAGCTGTCACGAGTCTGATGCCAACACAAAACTGAAAACTGAACCCAAAAATGTCTGTAACGGAAGAAAGGTATTCAAATTTTTTTTGTCTGTGGGCGTCAACTTTTTTCGCCATTTTTATGATAAATTATACTGTACAACATTAACGCATTAATTTTAATTCAATTAAAAATATTCTGTCTTTAATATTTTACCTTCAAGTTTCCCAAGTTTCTATCTCTCGTCATGAAAAAATGTAGTGTGTTTGATATTTATGGCAAAATTTTCAGAATCGATGGAGATTTGGAGCTGGAGCAACTTCTGGGGATTGCTAGAGCGAAAAGATCAAAAGTGAATAACTTGAGACCTTTGAAGGAACTTGCTTTAAGAAAACTAGCAAGTGTTGACTGTGCCAAAACCTCTACAGCACCCTATCAGTACCTCTGTAAGTCAAATTGTTAATAAAACTTGTCCCTACTCCCCATCAATATATTATGAAATTTGTTTTCGAATATCATTGCTTTAAGTTGAACTAAAAAAAATGAGGGAAAATATAAATATGACATGTATATAGTTAATTAAACAGATATAAATTTATATTGCCATTGGCTTATAAAATCTGATCCATTATTTTTATTACAGCTACTCCGCTACGGAAAGAAATTTTGAGCTACATGGCGGCCGGTACATTCCAACGAAAATCACATATCATCCAAGCGGAGAATGACTGGCATTTTGAACTGGCGAGCCGTCTCTTGAATGACCAAATAACGGAGTTTGAGTTTCGCATCCTTGGTGATCCATTCATCTACAGTTCAGACAATGAGCGAGACAAAAAAATGTGGCAGGTGCTGATTGAAAATTGTCCTAAATTGGAGAGAATCGTGGACAAGCGCTCTGGTAGTCATCATGACAACTCTATGCCAAAGAAGAAAGACTACCACAAGAAATTTTTATTCGTGAGAAATGTGATGCACCACCTCAAAAAGTTTCGGAAACTGAAGCATATTGACCTAGAACACTACGTTTGTGACTCAAAAGATTTGGCACAGCTTGCCCGTCATTTTCCTCAGCTGCAAACTTTGTCTGTTGCCTTCAAGTTGGTCCACCGTGAAACTCTGAATAATTTGTTCCTTCTCCAGAACTTGGAAAAATTGGACATCCATTGGAACACTTATATTCCTAAAAGAGAGAAGAACCAGGTTTGTTAAAAAGACAGTGTGTCAATTAATTGTATAATTAACTTGATTTTTGTATTTATATAGTTGGTGCTGAATGAGCAGTCCCACCACCGAAACCACTTCAAAGCAGAATGCATCGGGCACCTACCAAGACTGCAGTACTGCTCAGGAGGTGAAAAGTTCCACAATTTCCTTCCCTACCAAGGCAAAACACAACTCTGCCTAAAGCACATTAAGGTTTTGGGTGGATTCAATTGTAAACTGATCCCCTTGTTGGAAGAACTGCATCTTGAAGGACCTCTCAGAATGAAACCAAATGCGATTGGAGCTCTTTCAAACCTGACCAGACTGTTTTTGATAGAAGTCAAAGACTCAGATATTTCTGATTTGCTAACCCACTGTGGTGGCAAGCTTCATGAACTGGAAATATATTTTGACTTGGAAGGAGCGACAAATCCTTACGAGATATTCGTCAAGTGCCCGCAACTGCGTTCACTCGACGTAAACTCGAATCTGTTGAAGGGAGAGAATGACTTCTTCAAATCTCAAGTGGATGCAAACTACTTCAAACGCATGAGGAAATTTTCATATGATTGCTCGAAAGACCATTTCCCACCTGATTTGACTCTACTTATACTGACAGTGCCAGACTTGGAAAGTTTTTATATGGGTGATGAGAACTGGAATATTTCTAAAGATGACCTGGCCCATTTAACTGCGCAGCTAGTCCAAGGACACATTTTGCAGAGTCTAAAGTCATTTAAGTTTGTGAGTTTCAATCCAGAGCCTAGCTTGTGCAAAGAGTTTATCAAGTTCCTCTGTCTCCTTCCAGTTCATGCCCCAAACCTTGAATCTATTAAATATTTAAGTGAAGATAATGCATTTGTAGAGCAAGCTGAAAAATCTCCTGTACTCAGTGGTATGAATCAAATTGATGGCTTCTATATTTCAGAATTTTGAGTGATATCTTCCGATATCTTCTTTGTTTTCATATTAGACATCCGCAAAAAGTAAATTAGGAATTTATTCTCCTTTTGTTATATGCTGATTTGTAATGGATGGATATAATAAAATAAATAGACTGATCGATTTGATATCAGATTGGCTTAAAAACTTAAAAATATTGTATTTGTGCTTAACATTGATGACATAATCAAGCATAGTATAATTAATACCAGATGTTGCACAAATTAACTCCTGTTCCAGGGTTATTTGTAGTTATATAACTGTAGGTTTGCATTCGGAATTTTACTGATTCTCGCCCCTAGCTACTGCGAAAGGGCAACAGCCTTTTGAGGTCATTCCTACTGATCTCAACATTTTAGTCTGAAGTAAAAAGGAAAAGCGAACACAGAATAAAATAAACAGATTGATTTTTTTTATTCAATTCATGTATTTTTGTTTACTTTTTTTTGCGTGTTGCTATTATAATCATCGTGGTGTACGTGTGAGCAAAAACATTGAAAAATTGAAACAGGCGATAAAAAAGAAGGACGATGGCGCGACGGGTTAGAAAAAACGGTAAAATTTAAATATATTGTTTCTCGCATATGGCTGATGAAAATTTTTTTAAGTCGATTTCACTTGACCTCCTGAAAAGGCGTAGATTCAGAAGTCCCTTCTCCCCTTGGCGTTCACTCATGTGGAAGCGCTGTGATCGCCGAATGGGATTCCAAAATCTCCTGTTCTTACGCCGCGTGATAGAGAAGCACACGACACGCCCTTCTCTTGAACCCAGAATTGTGCTGAATGATCTGAAATAATCAGTGAAAATTTATGAATCATACGGAATCATAGATCTGAATTGAATGACATTACATAGAAAGATACCCTCAGACTCTCAATCGTTTTTGAGCCAAGTTTAAAAGGATTTAATAACTTTGTGTTGCTGAAAAAAGCGTTTTCTCATTCCCATTCGGTACATTCAGAAGTTCCGAAGTCCCTTTTCCCCCCTGGCGTTCACAATTCACACGTGTGGCGGCGCTGCGATTTATTATTATACTCCATTGCAGCCAGAGGGCGTCATGCGTCATAGCCGTCATAATTATTATAAGGAGAGAAAAGTGACAGTAAGGAGAGTAAAATGGGATAGGAGAGGCGAAGAGGAGGTGGCTTATGGCCCAGCTCAATGTTAAAAGATAGGACTGGGCCCAAGGTCACCCAGACAGTCCCGCCCCTTCGCCCCTCCTAACTATTTTACTCTCATTAAGTGACAGTCTTCTTGGTGACAGTGACAGCTAAGAAGGCCATTTTTCTTGTCTGAGAGTTTTCATTGAAGTTAATTTACCTGCTGATCGGCCGCTGTTTGGACTTGGTCTGGACGATTGGACTGCGTTGTCGGACCCTCGGACGCCGGCGGAAGCATAAAGCAGTAAGCACACTGACAACGAAAGAGCAAAATAGAGCCACCACCGCCATTCACACGCAGCACGTGTGTGTCATCTGGCCCCATTATTCATTTCATTACCAAACGGTGAGGGTGAGGGCTTTTTTAATGATTTTATTTGTGAACTTCGATTTCAGCATTCAATAAAAGGAATATTTTTAAGTTTTTCTTTTAACAAAGCTTAATAATGGAATAGGTTCTGTGGCCGGAATGTGGGTGAATGGACGTGTAGAGCAAGATAGGAATGCTGACCTTCCATTCACCTTGGCCGATAAACGAGCGGCTGTGTTCTGTTTCCAGGCATTACAATCTTTTCGCATTATTTTTCTTATTATGTATGATTGTTGAATGTTGTGTGTTTATTATGTTCCAGGCTTTTGGTCTCATTGTCTCATTACCTATAATGGAAGAACAAGCGGACTCGGGAGCACCGACTCTGTCGACTCCTTGCCAGCGGACAATGATGGACAAGGACAAAGCTACCGATAAATTTCCAGACCTCCCGGGCACGCCGCCTGCCCTCCATAATGGGTACATAATTTTATTTAATCTCTGAATTTAGCTAGCTAATTATGAAAGATGTTTATTTTTTGTCAACACGTATTGTGTGAAACATTGTGTATTTATTTTTGCTTCATTCAAGGATGTGAAACTTCGGGAAACCCTTAGTTGTAGAAAAAATTTTGACCGAAATTTTTTTCGGCATTTATCCGAAATCCATTTATGTATCAGAAATTAATTTATCAGAAAACGCTTTTGCTTGCGCACAGGTGTTTTAGTCTTGGTTTATGTTTAAGTCTTGGTTTATGTGAAGTGGACTAAAATCTAAACTTATTGATAGCAAAAATGTTATTATTTCTTGATTCTGATTTTGTGAGCAGAACAGCCTTCATAAGATGTGAAAATAAAAATTTATTTTATTTAACATTAGATTCACATAAATGCATTAATTTAAAACAAAGCAAACTATCTGAACTAGCTTTTGTGGCAGATATGGCACTAAATTCATAGAATTTGCAACTAAATTCATTGACAATGTGATTAAATTTGAATTCAAATATATTTTTTTATCATACAGGCATACAGTTTTTTTTTAAACTAAAAAATGGTTTTTTCCTTCAATGAAAAAATTAATAAATAAAAACACTATAAAATCTTAAGAGTAAAAATAATACTATACAACAATTTAATATTTGCAAAAAAATTTAAAATTGTTTACAAATCTTTTAACAGTCCAAAAAATTTAGAATTTCTAAAACAGTTTTTAAATATTGTTGGCGGAGTATGTGTTGCTATTGACCCTTCGGTGTGCACTCACATTTAAAATCGACAATAAAAAAGCGTCTTTTGTTTCAGGATTCCATTAAAGAAATCGTAGTGTCTGATAATTCTCTTCCAAGAGATACTAGATGATAGAAAAATAATTTAAAAAATTTTGGACTGTTGCATTTCTTACTTTTGAATTTTTGACATTTGAAAAACAGGTTTTCTGATGAATAATTTTCTGACACTTTATTTTCTGACAAATGCAAAATGCTGTTTTCTGAAAAAAAAATTCGGACAAATAACGGCGACTCGAAACTTCTCAGTATAAAAATTTGTAAATTATTTTCTTCAGGATAATCACACACTAAAATATTGTACTTTTTTCTGTTTTGAGAATTTTTGGTATGGTTGCAGGACTTCAATGTTAGACTACCTACTGCAAACCCCACCGGCCGCGGAGGACCCTTCAGACAACATCGAGATGAAACTTTTTGCAGAGTATGTAAAAAATATTGACGAGCTGCAGCGTCTCCACCTTCAAAAGGTCATCAAGGACAAGGACAAGCAAAATTCGGACATGACCCAAGCTGACCTCAGCATTAAAATGCTTGAGCCCAGCGCGCCAACCCTGGAAGAAGTCGAGGAAGACTTTAAGGACGAGGAGACAATTCCCAAGAGCTTCGTTCCTGATTTAGGAGTTGGGCCATCTTTTTCTGCGCCAAGTTGCTCACACCAAAACCCAAGAGTTGCAGCTGAAGACAAACAGCAGAAAGATGTCCTAAAGGCTACTGAGAAGATTGCTCCGGACAAAACAGAGCCGAATGGAGACGATTCTGTTACAAATTTGAGGTGTTTCCTGGGGAAGGAAGAAATTTTAAAATTGGAACTACAGCAAAAAGGCGTGACAATCAAAATAGGCAAGGTCACAATTGCTGTAGCAAATAGCACTGATTCCCAGAATGAGAAGAAGACTGAATATGAGGCTGAGGAGACCCCCAAGCACACAAATCAAGTAGATATTGAAAAAATTGGTCGAGGAAGAGCTGCCAATCCTTCAGAAGCCATAGAGCAGGTACGACTATTTTTTGTGCTCCTCAATAGGCCATTTATTGAAACAAAACAGCTTTTTTGGGGGCTGAACTATTGGCGAATTTTAAAAAAGCTATTCGGCCAAAGTCGTTCGGACAATGTTCTCTTCTGGCCATTCGGTCCAAATAGCACTATTTCCCTCAGAATTTTTTTTACAGGAAAAGGAATGGCCTTAACAAAGCGTTTGTAAAGATTATGGCTCTCATATAAATAATTTAAATTTTAAAATTCACGCTTACATTTTCTACATCATACACACAATCAATTTGCAGAACAAAAATAATGAAGCACAAAAGGATGCACGTGGCGTCGCGCCAGACAGAGTTGAGGTACCACAAGTACCAGCTCAACCTGCTGAAGAAGGCTCGAATGTAAATTTTTTATTTGTTGTTATCACTTTGAAATGCATGTTGATTATTTTATCACTATTTTAGAGAGTGATTTGCTACATTTGTTATAAGCCTATGACCAGGAGGAACTTTGGGAAGCACATGCGAAACATGCATGATATGACTGGCCCCTATCATATATGCTTGCTACATTCTGTGTGCTTCAAAACCTTCGCTGATTTGTAAGTACCACTTATATAGTTAAATTAGAAATTTAAAAAAAATAGCTTTGATGATTGTTAATAAATCATTTTTCAATCCCCCTCCAGGGATCAACTGAAGGAGCATATGAAGGATGACCAGTATGACCACACTACAAGTGCCAGTTACAATCCCTCGGCCTTAACCCATTGCAGTCTGTGCGGAATGCGGCCTCAAATGGCAGATGCTGCTCTGCATACGTTGTCTCGTCATTAAATGGTAAGTGAATAAATTTTAATTACTCCTGAACCAACATTAGACTGATAAGTATGAGCCCAAGATACTAAATACAATTAGTCTGTCTTTCAGCTAAACCAGAGCTTCCTTGCTACTTGCTGAGCTCACATTGTTGGGTATTTTTTACTTGATTTGTGTCTCTTGTAAATAGTAAACAGGATGAATATGAATGACTAGCTTTTGTTCCACCAAGATTCTAGTGTTGGTTCAGTGTTCTAAGATAATTCTGTGATGTGATATTCTTTTAATATAATTTCAATGTTTCCAGAAGTCACAATAAAAACAATTCTAAGTTTTATAAAAATTAAACAAAAAATTAAAAAAAAAATAATAAAAAAATAAAAAATAAAATAATAAAAAAATTAAAAAAAATTTAAAAAAAAAATGCAAACTTAAAAAAACTTAAAAACTATAAAATTAAAAAAAAAACGCCTTACACTGAATAATTATAAAAAAATTGATAGAAATGAAAAAGACTGATATTTTTACCTAAGAACATCGTGATTTTAACAAAAATAAGTGACGAAAAAATACGCTGAACGCCAGCAACTGAAAGCCTGGGTCGGAGTGTGCGTGTCTCGACGTGGTGACAGTGAATGTTGCCAACGGGGTCACCATGAACGTCATCACTCGGGACTTTTGGCACGGCCTTCAGCTGCGACTACAAACCTATCCTGTGTGAGGACAATATAGGTTCGTATTTCCACTCAACTTTTTGGCTAATACATTTTATGATTTTTTTTTCAATTTTGATTGATAACGTTAAGTTAACAAACCTTTTGAGTTATTAATTGTTCATAAAATGCCCCTTTATCAACTATATCAACGTATTTTCAAGAAAACTTTTGCACATCTTAAAATTAATCAAATAGTATTTGTATGTCAATTCCAGAAAATAGAATTAAGCACGGTTTGCGCATTTATAGGGCAAATTGGAATTGTTGCCAAGCTTTCTGTTTGAGAACAATTTTTCTTACATTCTACCAGAATCAGAGCTCAAACAGCAATCAAATTATGAATGCTGACTGTTGTGATGAGCAAACCTTTAGGAAGAATTTCTTTTTCAATTTCAGTCAAAAAATATAATTGCGACAACAATATTTTTTTTTCAGAGAAAACGTTGCTCCAAACACTTTCGGCCCTAGATGAACAAGGAGCCTCTTCCAACATTGAGCTTTTGTCAGATGAGACTGAAGCTGCGACATCAGCACCGCCACCGAGTCCAGAAAAAGCCCAGCCAGAGCGAGAGTTGGTTGTGCAAGAGTTCAGCCTGGAGGAGTCTCACTTCTCAGGATGCAATCTGTCAGGACTAAACCTTAGCTTCGAGAGTGGCATCCCGGGACCTGCAGCTCCCGTTGAAACTAAAGAAGCTACTGGAACGAGCGATGGTTTGTATACTTTGGCCTTCATATCAGACCTGGCCAAGAAGCTGGACATAAAAGAGGAGCCAGTCACTCCTGCTAAGGTTGCTGAACCGGTTAGACCCATCTACAGTCCCATTTCTCCAGCTGATGGCGAGACCAGTCAGTACGAAGATGCTGAGATGGCCAAGGAACCTCTGGAGCACAGCACCATTGCCCTGTGGCACGATGCTGAATCTGAAAGGAAAGACCATCTGGACTTGGATAGGAGTGCTAAGAAGACAATTTCGGACGTTTCTCTCTTGAGTAATGAGACTGAGGTATTGGATACCACTACCGACAACAAGAATGACACTGCTGAGCTTTTGAATGATACTATTGAAGAAATGGAAAAGTTATTGAGCATGGACGTTGATTACTTTCAAAAACAGAATGAGCAAGATGATGTGGTGAGTATTGATTGATTGATTAAGATTAAAATAAAAATATAAACTTTTTAGTAACACTTGCCTTTAATTCAGATAGTTATTAAAATTATTTTTTAAATCTTAAAGGTTGAAATCTAGAAGGAAGCAGAAGACATGTCTGGAGAAAATTCAAGTTTCTTTGCTCCTCGTCAGCCAAAGTTGCCTATTCAGGAGATGCTGGAGGAGTATGCCATTCCTCGAAGTCCTGTGCTCTCTGTGCAGCCAAAGCCTGCTAATAAATTTTTCCCCACCCCAAATGCATTTAAAACTCCTCAAGCCGCAAAGGCCCCCACAACTGACAGGTGCAACAGTGCTGGATCCAACTCTAAGGTCGACCCTGCCCGCAAAGTGCACGTCAGCACTCCTTTCCGGGTGCCCAAAAGCAATGAGGCTAGGTCTGCCGACTTCAAGCTCAAACCTGGCTCTGACACCAAACCTAAGCTGCCTGCCAACTTCATGCCATACAAACTGCAGCAGCCTTTGTCTTCACGGCTGCCCAAACCGGTTCGAGCTTTCCAGAACATCACCAGCCCAGTCGGCCAATACATTCACGGACCTGTGGTTGCTCCCATGATTGCCAACGCTAAGCCTACGAGCAGCCCAAGGGTTGTCGGAAAACTTTTTAATGGTGGAACTCCCAACAAACTGGTATGCATAGGAAATAGGAAACAAAATGTAAACCTGAGTTTACTTAAAATTTGTACTTTTAGACTCCTGCTAAAGCCGAGCTGGAAAATTTGAACCCCAATTCTGCTCTGCCTTTTGTGAACTATGATTCCTCTTCATCGATCAAAGTGGTTAGTATTATAGGTTTTAATTAAGTGATTTACAGTCCATTCTAATTTAAAATTATCTCAAACGAAAATAAGTTCTAGCAAATCCAAATTTTGGAGAATAATTTTGAAATAAAGTTAATTAGTCTAATAATAAGTTTCATATCATTTCGTCAAGCATTGTATTCAACTTGAGCTATAAAGAACTAATAAAAATGATGTGGTATGTTTCAGGTGGAGCACAAAGAAGTGTCTCAGAAAGCCCTGCCAAACAAAATCAAGAAGCTTCCTCCTTCCCCTGGCTCTGTTCTACTGAAGCATACTGGTAGGAATTTTATTTCATACAATTATAGGGCAAATTTGAATTGTTGCCAAGCTTTCTGTTTGAGAACAATTTTTCTTACATTAATATCAGAACCAGAGCTCAAAGCTCAAAAAGCAATCAGACTATCAGATTATGAATGTTGACTGTTGTGATGAGCAAACCTTTAGGAAGAATTTTTTTTTTCAATTTCATTCAAAAAATATAATTGCGTCAACAATATTTTTTTTTTCAGAGAAAACATTGCTCCAAAAACTTTCGGCCCTAGATGAACAAGGAGCCTCTTCCAACATTGAGCTTTTGTCAGATGAGACTGAAGCTGCGACATCAGCACCGCCACCGAGTCCAGAAAAAGCCCAGCCAGAGCGAGAGTTGGTTGTGCAAGAGTTCAGCCTGGAGGAGTCTCACTTCTCAGGATGCAATCTGTCAGGACTAAACCTTAGCTTCGAGAGTGGCATCCCGGGACCTGCAGCTCCCGTTGAAACTAAAGAAGCTACTGGAACGAGCGATGGTTTGTATACTTTGGCCTTCATATCAGACCTGGCCAAGAAGCTGGACATAAAAGAGGAGCCAGTCACTCCTGCTAAGGTTGCTGAACCGGTTAGACCCATCTACAGTCCCATTTCTCCAGCTGATGGCGAGACCAGTCAGTACGAAGATGCTGAGATGGCCAAGGAACCTCTGGAGCACAGCACCATTGCCCTGTGGCACGATGCTGAATCTGAAAGGAAAGACCATCTGGACTTGGATAGGAGTGCTAAGAAGACAATTTCGGACGTTTCTCTCTTGAGTAATGAGACTGAGGTATTGGATACCACTACCGACGACAAGAATGACACTGCTGAGCTTTTGAATGATACTATTGAAGAAATGGAAAAGTTATTGAGCATGGACGTTGATTACTTTCAAAAACAGAATGAGCAAGACGATGTGGTGAGTATTGATTGATTGATTAAAATAAAAATATAAACTCTTTAGTAACACTTGCCTTTCATTAAGGTAGCTATTAAAATTATTTTTTAAATGTTAAAGGTTGAAATCCAGAAGGAAGCAGAAGACATGTCTGGAGAAAATTCAAGTTTTTTTGCTCCTCGTCAGCCAAAGTTGCCTATCCAGGAGATGCTGGAGGAGTATGCCATTCTTCGAAGTCCTGTGCTCTCTGTGCAGCCAAAGCCTGCTAAGAAATTTTTCCCCACGCCAAATGCATTTAAAACTCCTCAAGCCGCAAAGGCCCCCACAAATGACAGGTGCAACAGTGCTGGATCCAACTCAAAGGTCGACCCTGTCAGCACTCCTTTCTGGGTGCCCAAAAGCAACGACGAATGGCATAATTTTAAAATTAGCACAAGTATTTAAGAATAATTATTTTTTTAGTCAAAATTTAGTTATTTAATTTTCAAATCAATTTGGGAAAACCTTTATATAAAATTTTAAATGCATACAACTGTGATTAATGAATTTATTTGAACTATTTAAGCACAAATGTTCCACTGCAGTCACAGTTTGATAAAGGTCAAGGAAGCGAAAAACGAGATAGTGGAATTGAGAGAGTGGTTCTGGTAAACAGGCGCTCAGCCGTCTTTGCCAGCTGTGGCATTGGACTAAATGGTAAATGCCAGAGAGAAAATGGAACGCTTGGCCCTTCAGGCCACCAAGAATTTCATTTTGCTTAAGGCTAGCCGTCAGCTGCGGAGCAAATAGACCAGCCGCTTCTGCTGACATACATGAATAGCCACTCCAGCCACCGCTGAGACCTTTAATAGTCAATATGAACGGGTTAAACAGGTTTAGAATTCATAATGTATAATTGCAATATTAATGATTATTAAAATTTTTTGTAGAAAACTAAACTTACAATACAATCAATATGAAACCTCACAAATTTGGATTAGTTTCTGTCTTTCCCCTTGTAAATAAATTAGATTAGACGATATTTTTATTAATTTGAGAAGAATTTCTGTCATCAAGAAGTACAAGAATACCTTCAGAACAAATTAATGTTGCTTGCAGGGGTGAAGCAATAAAAATGCTACACATGTTTATGTTGAAAAAACTAGTGTGACGCTGTTGTTCACTTTTGTTGTTTCATATAATTGAGGAAGAACTAACAAGCACACAGCACTACCAAAAATGTGCTTTAATATACTTTCTCGTCACCCAGGTCTCAGGTTGTCTTAATTTTTCTCAAATCAAAATTAACAAAATTCTTAACAAAGGTATAAAATTTAGGGAGAGTGGGATCAGTTTTCCTGAAAGACGGACAGCTGCAACCGGAAAAGCTGGTCAAGGCTTGCGCCAAGTCTTGCATACCTGTCATCCTAAACCGTGACAAAGGTTATGACCATAGCTACTTTTAAATCTCCACCTTTATCAATGACTGCAATTCACATCAAGCTAAATTTTTGTTTGAATAGAAAAAAAAAACCGTTTATTTTTGTAGGGCAGATTTTAATTTTTCAATTAGCATTTCTTTTTATTAAGCAAAACAAATCTTTGTAAATACTGTAACTGAAGCAGTCATTTAAAAATGACAGCGTTTAATCTTCAATGTACTCGAACGGCTCGGGAGGCTCCGGCTCATTGTCTTCCTCGATTTTGGGGCCAAAGGCTGCAACAGGTTCGACCAACTCCTCCGGAGAACCGGGCTGAGATTGGCGGACCATGATGATTCCTCCAATGCTCAAGTCCTTCATCGGGTTGTAGTTGGACCCTTCGGTCATTTGCAGGACTTTGAGCTGAAAACAAACGGACTTTATAAAATATTTGAAAGGAAAAAATAAAATTCTTGTCCAACCTGTTGGCGCATGCAGCGAGCCGGGTTCTGCAGAATCTCAAAGTTGAGCTCGTCCTTCTTTTCAGCATCCTTTTTCTCCTCCTCCTTCTTCTCCTTGGCCTCCTTTTCCTTCTTCTTTGCCTCCTTCTCCTTGATATCCTCCTCATCCTAAACAGGTTTATTTAAAAATTATTTATCTCAATAAAAGGTCAAGTTTATTAAAAAATAATTAATTTCAATTTAGTATAATTTTATGCCACAAATTGTAGCACTAAGTTTTGTTACAATTTAAAACAGAAAACAAGCAGCATCAAAAATTGATTCATTACCACTTCCATCTTGGTCTCCTGAGTGGAAGATGCGCCGTGGCGATTGCGACGAGAACGGGCAGCAAAGCTCAGGGCGGCGGTAGCAACCTTCTCCCTTTCCTCTCGCTTCTTCTCTTCCAGGGGAGGAGGGTATGCGTAGGTGGCTGGTTTGGCATTCGAGCGGAACTGCAGCTTGGGCATCTGAAAGTGATGAAAAAATTTAGATTTTCTTCTATTGCTTTAAAAAGTCCAATTCTCCACCTTCAGCTGGCCATTCAGGGCGACCAGGCAGGTTGGGGTGAACGCAAGAGAGAGGCAGTGAGCCAGAGGGAACCAGTACCAGTACTGGGTGAACACCAAGACTCCCACAACGGCCAACATGTTGGTATGTCCAGTGCGTGATTGGAGTGTGACAGTCACGTTGCGGCCACCTTAAAAAAAAAATTTGAAAGTTTCGATTCATTTGAATAAAATAATAGTTTTGCTCTTCAGGCATGCTTATTGAATAAATTAAAAATCTTATCAATTGATTAAAAATCAATCACTTCAGTCAAAAATGCTAAAATTATTGAACCAGACTAAGCCATCTTAATATAAAATAAAATTTATTTCTTATCCATTGATTGCTGTTTTTTTTTTTTGAAATTTAAAATAAGTGCAACTCTATAAAATTAATAACAATTTCAGGCTGCACAACAAACATTTAATTATGAAACTGCTTGAAAATTTAGGAATTTATTTTTTAATTTATTCCAACAAAAAGTGTAAAAAATTATTGTTGATATTAAAAATATAATAAAATTATTGGAAAATTGGTTAATACAATTTTAATAAATAAACAATTAATGAATAAATTGAATTATCACAATGCAACTAAGAAAAATAAATAAATTACCGGCATCAATGATTCCCTGGGCCAGGATGGCTCCAAACTTGGACATAACATCTTCATGCTTGTCCACAATAACCTTTGCATACAGAGCACGGAAGTCCTTGACCTAAAGAAATTGCATTAAAAATTGAATTCAAAATTTAAAGAAGTTCCATACCTTAGGGCAAGTGATCTCAGTTTGCTGAACCAAAATCATGGCCGAAGCAATCAAGGCGCCCTGGCGGACGAAGTTGACCGGATCGTTGGTCATTGGTTCAAGAAGGGCGATCGCTTCCTACAAATTTATTTTGTCATTATCATTTTCAAATCACTTTTTCTGCTCAAACCTTGAGTCCAGTTCCAGCACAGGCAATGCCCAAAGCCATGGCAGCTCCGTAGCGGACGTGGGGATTGTAGGACTCGGCCAAGAGAGACACAACGCTGGGACACTGCTCTGGAGTTCTGCAATCAAAATAATAATTTGATGAAAATAAAGAATTTCATTTTGAATATATGCGTCTAAAAATTTGAAACCATCTTAAAATTAAATTATTCATCGTGTCTGGAATGTGCAGATACAATGAAACAGGCGATAAAAAAAGAGAGGAGGTTAAAAAAAAATAAAGGAAAACTTAATTTTATTGTTTCTTGCATGGAAAAATGATAGGTTATCGCCAAATATGGTATTCTTTTTAGTATCTTTGGCCCCTTTCAAGATTCCAGACCGCGTAAAAATTAAACTACCCAACCAATAAAAAAAAAAAATGAGGCAAGGAAAAAATTCAATTGTTTCTCACAATACATGGAAAATTTGGCAAAATGATTCGAATTCGCCAAAATAGATATTTTTTCGGTATCATTGGCCCCTTTCAAGTTTCCAGGCACAAACTGAAGAATGATAAATAAATATTCGCCCCTGGCATATAGGCAATAACATTTTGGAGCAGACACGCTCGTCGAGAGAGTTGCATAACTTGACCTTTGCCAGTGATGGCCGCTTTGGGTTTATGCACGGTTTATAGGGCAATCGTTGGGCTGGGACATATTGATATATTTCAGAATAAAATCTCTTGTGAAAGGTTTATTAATATAGCCTCCATCACCAATTTTCCAATGGGAGATTAACGAATAATTTATAATGATTCAATCAAAACTTAAGTTTATGTCAGGATTAGATTAGAGAATAAGAAAATCATGCAAGAGAGCTTAATATATGTCTTCAAGTTACAATTAAAAAACCTTTTACATAATAAGTGGTGCTGTTTTTTCCAAATAAATTGTTTTCAATAATTGAATGTAAACGATGTGATGTAACAAATTGGGACGAATAAAAAGCAATAAATTAATTTTTTGACCAAAAAGTAACGGAAAAAAGTTCAGTTCCTATAAGACCAAAGAAGCTGGGAATATCCGGGAATATCAACAAGACAAGATTGCTAAAAACTTGAAAGTCATTAAAAGACTGTTGTTAATTTGTTAGTGTGAGTGGGTGATTTTTGTAAATTTTAGTGTAGAGTTGTGTCGTGTTTGCGTTGTTAAGTGTATTCCAGTTTCTGTTTTAAATTTTAAAAGAATCCACGTTAAAATTCTTTTGAAAACATTCAAAGACCTTTCATAAATTGCACGAGGGAAAAACATTAGTTTTTTTTTTCAATTTGATTAATGCCATTTTTGCCTCATACTTGGAGCCGTTTGCTTGTTATATTACGAAATACAAATTCAAACGAGGAGATGATAACGTTTCCAACTTCAAGTCGGAATTGTAAATTTATAGAAAATAAGTTTAGTTTTTGATGAATTGCTAAAGTAGCAGTAAAAATACAAAATGTTGCAAAAAATCGAAAGCGGATGCTGCGGCTGGAGAGATTGTCAAAGTGGTAAAGTAGCGGTACTTTTTGCGATCATTGCACGCACGCAGCGTGTTATTACTAGGGCAGGCGGGCAACAAAGGCAAGATCGCCGAGCAGCGTATTTTCGGCGCGCCGAGTGCCAATAAAGGCGCAGAGATTTCGCAAGATGGTGAGTGTGCAAACACACGAGATGCCCTCTCGCAGGTGGCAGGCGGGCTGGCAGCATTATTTTATCAATCGCGGTGCCCTCGGGCCCGTCCGCGTCCAGCCAAGCGTCCGTCGGACGCAAAAAACGGCTGCGCGCGACCATCGGCGTGAGAAAGAAAGAAAGATGGGAAAAGCAGCTAGGAGAGGCGCGCGTGCGCCTCTGGTCGGACGCACGAGATGCGAGGACCGGCTGCAGGTGGAGGAAGGAAGGTGACAGTCGGAGGAGATGCCATGGAGGGCCTGAACGCCTCCGCCGAGTGTCCGTGCGAGCGGCCCTTCTGCCCGCCGCAGCACCTCCACTGCAGACACCTGCTGCACCTCTGCACGGCGGCCTTCAACTGCCCCAACGACACGCAGCACGTCCTCGCCAGGTACCCCACCTTGTTATTTTGTTTTCGCCAAAAACAAAGGCGGAATCATTATTGTTTATTTGACGAGAAGAATGAGCGTGATTGAATGAGACGGAGGAATTTGCGTTTGTTCCGAATCCGGACTTCAATTTTTATTTTTAATAATTTTTAACTTCAATATTTGCTATGAAGGACGTTTGAATTCAAGAACAATTATTTTTGAAGTCTGATTGTGAAATTAAAAACTTGATAATTAGATAAAAAAAGAGAACTGTAAGCAAAGAATTTAATAAAATCCCAAAAATTAATAGAAAAATTAGTTAGCTTCTGATCAAAAACCAATTTATTTCAATTTTTTCTGTAATTTTTTTATTCATTGAAATTTTTACTCTTTTCTGTAGAAATAACCAGAGAAAAATTCCATCGGCAAAAATTACCTCTGAAATTTAGGTGATAATCTTTTGAAAATTCACTAATACTTTTTAATAGTTAATAAGATTTTTTTCACTATTATTTGAAAGAATTAAATGTTAACATTGAATTGAATTTCTCTTCGGCAGCCCTACCGTGGCCGCCGATAGACCCAACTGGTACTTTCTGGCGTTCGCGGTGACCCTGATGGCGACCGGGGCTGTGGGCAATGTGCTGGTGTGTCTGGCCGTGTGTCTCGACAGAGCGCTGCAGAATTCGACCAACTACTTTCTGCTGTCGCTGGCCGTCGCCGACCTGATCGTCTCCCTGTGCGTGATGCCCCTCGGAGCCATTCCCGGATTCTTAGGTTTGGAAAATAATAAAAAAAAAAAAATAAGCAGCCGGACCTGCCGTCTCGTCCGGTCGAGCAACGGCGCAATTATCAAATCATCGACAAGGATCTTGCGTTCATTCATCGATCCCGTGCCTTTTTTTTTGCCGCTTCGCCATATGTTTGCGGCCGGTTAATTGGCGTGTGCATGTGCGAGATCCGCGATTGATTAATTCGTACGCACGTGTTGTGCAGAATCTCCATTCAAAATTTTAAGAAAAAGAAGAAAACTATAATTTAATTAAACGCGGATTATATTAATTTGTGCATAATTTTCTTACATATTTGATTAAATTTTTCAATTTACTTTTGTCAAAATGTTTTGAGAGTAAAATTTCTTTGATAGCTTTTGTAGAGAATAATAACTCTCGAATGAGTGAATAAAATATCAGCCCACGGCAGTCTCAGCTTGCGGAAGACAAAAATAAATTCTGTTTGAGTATGCATTCCGAAAAAGCTAAAATAATATATATGTTCGCGGCTAGTCATATAGCGGGCGCGATAGGATGACTGTTTATAAAATTTGCGGCCGAAATTGAGTGAAGAAAGCTGTGCTTATGATGGACGGTTAAATATTTGAGCTGGCGCGGTTTATAGCACCGCGCTCTATTCACACCCGAATTTATTGTGCACAAATTCCACTAAAACAATGTTTGTTCAACGGCAAAGCATTATTTGTGAGCTTTGCCAACAAATTAATTGCTGCTGGTCGAAAATTGGTTCGAAACTCGCGCGGCGAAAAGCGGTAAACAATAATTACAAGATAATCCTTTGGTTTGACAGGCGCGAATCCGCGAGTCAGCGCGTGCAGATGTATGCACAAGAGTGTGTGTGCGTTTTATTATCACTCGGCGCGATGGCCGCTCGCGAATCATCGCATTTAATTGAGCGTGGCCGAATCTCTTTTTCAACCAACAAATTCCCTTTTAATGACATGAATGAAGAAAGAGCCAAATCCGCAACGTATTCTTTTTTTCAGGAAAAAGTTGCATCAAAGATGTTCCAAAAATAACACGAACGATAATGATCGGCTCTTAGGAAGCTGCATAAACACCATTCATCATGACAATCAAAATGCAAATGAGTTATCTCAGATAAAATTAAAAAAATTATTCAAAGTCAATTATATGGTGTTAAAAATAGATAATTTGAGCTGATTTATATAGATTTGCGCCATTTAATGTGAGGTTAATAATCTAAATTTACCTAAATTTCCAAAATTTAATTTTTATTTCGTATTCAAGCAATTTTTTATTAATTGAAAGTTGAAGAGCTGTTAAAAGATTAACATTTCTAGAATTCACAAATGAATTAAGAATCTGAATTATATTTTTTATACATTTTTAAGTTATCTGCCTGAAAATTAAGAAAAACAAACTATACAAAGCTGGATTGAATCTTAAATCATATTAAAATTTTCTAATTTGTTAAGTAGAAAAAAACATACAACCTGAAAAATTTAATTTTTATGAAATTTTCATAAATATATCTGCAGTAAATTTGGACTTTTTATTATGCCTATAATTACTGGATCACGAATTGTCCAATTGGAATTGTTTCATAAGTTGCACGTGTGCATTCAGAGGCAGGCAGGCGCCTCTTTGGCTGCATTTCACGCCGCTGTGACTGCCCCAAAAGGTCACGAGGGGGTATCACTTTCGGACCGGTCGCTCCCCGCGCGTTCACGCTGCTCGCGTCGCAAAACATCAAGAGACGGTTTTGCGCCACGCCGATTCACTCGTCGCCCCCGATTGCGGAGCGACATCAAAAAATATTTTTTTCATTTTTATGGATCGAGCGAATTGCATAAGTTCTATACCGCGGTCGCCACGTGGGCCTGGAGCGCCGCCAGAAATTCAATAGTAAATTTTTCTCGCGTTTTTTCCCTTAATTTCGTTTGGCCCGCAGCGAGCCAATTTGAGTCGGGCGAAATTGCGCCGCAACTCATTTTCTTGGCTTCCCGTCCACTTCAATTTTTCTCCACTCGCCGCGCCGAGCCCAAACGATTGTCTCCGGCGGGCACACATCGCATATCACCTTGCAACATTTTGTCCATTTCAACGCAAGAAATCTTGTGCAAACATTATAATATAAGACGGCACATCAGGTGCAATCTAATGATCTCCGTTGGATATATTATAATGTGTAAAATACAATTATTCCAAGAGAATAATACAAGATAAAGATGAATAAAAATTAGTTTCTTTAACACAAATTTATAATAATTAGATTAAATTAAAATTGAACTTGTTTTGTTATTTTGATTTGTTTTTAAATTCATTTAAGCCTAATTTCAATTTTAATTTTTTCTTCTCAATGGTGAAATGCATCGCAGATCGAAAATAGTCGTCTCTTTTGCACATCTCATTAGCAACAAAGGCCGCCTTGGCTCGCGGTCAAAACGAGCAAGCCTTTCGATTAATTAACCGCGAAAGACAATCGCCCCCGCGTCCAGCTGAGAAAATCTCACGAAAATAGATTTCTTTCCATAGTCACTGCGCATTCCACAGGGTCCGCGCGAATTCGAGCCGGAAGCATTGTTTTGTTTCGCACGCGGAGGAGATTTTCATGTGCAATAATTTTCCTTGTTTCCCCTCTGCCGGCGCTTTTATTTGGCTTTTCGCCCACCACTCTCTCTGTGTGTGGTGACTTGCATCTCTCGTCTCTCTCTCGGATGCCTCTGCATCATTAACAAAGCTCTTCAAGGTGTCAACAAAACGTGCGCGCCACAATTCTAAGGCTAATTTGACCTAACGACGCCTAATCGAGCCCCAATTTGCGTACCAATGAGAGAAAGGCCGATCTGATTGTTTGCAAATCGCGCCCCCGATGAAAAAAAAAGAACTGTACAAATTTATGCTGCGGTTTGTTTCTCCGAACGCTCTCATCACTTGAGCGAGAAAAACGTAATTATTTTCTCTGCGCACCGCCCGGCCGCAATTTCTTCGTTTCAGCGGCACATAAATTTCCCGGCTCTTTCCTAATTTATGTTGCGAGCCGAATTCTTATCGCGTCCGCAGTCACCCGCTCTCTCGCACAATGAATTATAAATCAATTAAGGAAGTAAGTTATTGAGTACAAAGTTCTTTGGAAAATAAACAAAGCCGGCAACTTGGCGACAAACTTGGCAATGAAATTTTCATTCTCTGTGAAAGTTACTTAAAATGCCACGCCAACTGAACGGAAATGTGTAAAAGAAAAAAATAAAAAAATAAAACCAGCGATATCCGGAATTGACTAAATTAAAAAAAAAAATCATTAAAATATTTTTTCCGGAACAGGATCATAATAAACTTCAAAGCTTGCGTGGCGAAAATGTGAGATGAAATTTCAGCGTGTCATAAAAGCGAATTCTAGGCCGGGCTATTGGGGGACGGCGAGAGGTGCGGGCACGGCCCATGTGTTTATTGAGAGGTGGCCTCTGCAGAGTGTCACCCGGTGGTCTGCGACTTTTCTTTTTCTTGTCATCGTGGTGCTAAATTTAAATGCGATTTTTCACAGGGTACTGGCCGCTGGGGGTGGCGTGGTGCAGCGTCTATGTGACGAGCGACGTCCTCGCCTGTTCGGCCTCCATCCTGCACATGTGCGTCATCAGTCTGGGCCGCTACCTCGGGATTCGCAGCCCTCTCAGGGCCAGACACCGAAAGTCCAAGCGCTACCTTGCCAAAAAGGTGAGTTCAATCGCAGGTCGGCAACAATAATGCTCGAGATTTCACAACAATTACGCTGGAGCTAAAAACGGACCCAATTACACCGGTGTAGCGGTAGATTTATGGTCGAGTCACTTTCAGACCTTGGCGCAGATGAAAGCAGCTCGAATGATATCATTTCATAACGCACAACTAGCGTAGTATTTTTAGAAATGGCGTAAAAAAAATGAGTGATGCATGGTTGTGCTTTTTCATGCAGTGTTTGACAAGAGTTTTCGTTTTCAAAGTAAATAAATTTGATTTTCAAATTAATCATTTTCAAATTAATCATTTTGATAAAAATATTTTTCTCTCTCCTTTTTTTGAGGTTTTTTAAACAAATTGTTAACATTTGAATCAATTTGAATGATTTATCCTGAATTGTGCAGTGATTACCTTGTTAGACACCAAGAAGCATAATTAAATTACTTATATAGGTAGAAATTATTTGAAAATTTATTGGAAAAAATTATCCAAAGCAAGAATTAATAATAATTAGTGAGCCAATCTGCAAATTTAAATCACTGCCAAATTATAGTTGATTTAGTTTTAATTTTTATATTCATTAACACAATCTCTGATCAAATAAGTTAAATTTAAAGAAACACAAGGACATTTTTAATATCATTAAATTTGAAAAATTATTTATAATTATGCGGTTTTCATAAAATTTGATTATAATATAGAATAAATTTTTATATGTTTATATTTGTAATATTTTCTATCAAATATTTGGTTTATTATCATATTATATTTTTATATCTTGAAAAATTGCACAATATTGCAACCCGAAAGTATGACACATTAATTGTTTTGTAATGAATTGTGAAAATTTCTCATGTTTCCAGGTGGCGTGTGTGTGGCTGGTGGCCGCACTGATCTCGAGTTCGATCACCGTTCTGGGAGCGCAGGACGCGACCAACATCATGCCGGACGCGGGCACCTGCGCCATCAACAACAAGGCCTTCTCGCTGTTCGGCTCGATCGCCGCCTTCTACGCACCCATGGTCCTCATGGTGGGCAGTTACGCGGCCACGCTGCACCTGCTGAGGCGCAAGGCGCGCTTCGGGGCCGCCGCGCGAGCCCAGCGCCTGCTACAGCAGGGCCGGCTCCAGGGGCAGGCCCCCGGGACCCCCGCCGCCCCCAACGGTGGCCTCCGACACGCAGCCAGGCAGCAGACGGTCAATGGGGGCCGCGAAACCAGGAGTCTGAGGATTCGCACGCCCATTCTGCCCTCGCAATTAAGGTGTGTGCAAAATTTACAATTCATTTCCCGCCAAAACGTGTCCACAGCTCAATTTAGTAATTATAACTAGCTGATTTTAACAAAATGTGAATTAATTAATTATAAATTTAGGTGCAACAGGACTTGACCGAATTCAAAAAGTGTAAAATTTTTTTTGCTTGGCTTTTTTTGAAACAAGTTGCAAATGATTGCAAATTTAAATTATTTGTTTTTTTTAAACAGGTTGAAAATTGCAAGAATTAAAATATTTCAAAATGCTTTTTCAATTTTTTTTAAATTACCAATTAATTTTTTTACTCTCTTACTTGGCATAATATTGCATGTTTATTTATTATCGCTTATTACGACTTTTGTGAATTTTAGAAAAAGCAAACAGATCGATGACTAAATTTAAACATTTTCATGCATAATTGTTGCAAAGTTAATAAACAATTTAAAGAATTTCCACTTTTAAAAACTTCAAAAGCATATTTTATATTTTTTTATCGTATTTTTATCGCATATTATTTCGTTTTTACTTCAAATTAATTTGATTGCCTATGAATTTATAATTTTTTTTCTTAATTTTTGTTTTTTTGGAACGGTTAATTTTGAGCGGCTGTTTTATGTTTTTGTGTTGTGCATGTTGTGTGTTCTAAACGTGAAGGGGGTTTGACAGGAAATATTTTCGCAGACTGTCTGAGCACAAAGCGTCGACCGTGCTGGGTCTTGTGTTCGCCTCGTTCGTGCTCTGCTGGGCGCCATTTTTCGTCCTCAACGTGTTGGAGGCCGCGTGTCCGACGTGCGCCTCCCCGAGTCCGGCTCTGCCCACCTTTTGTCTTTGGCTCGGCTACTTCTCCTCGTGCATCAACCCAATCATCTACACCGTATTCAACAGGTCGTTCCGCGCCGCTCTCTTGCGTCTCCTGCGGTGCCGCGGCGCACCCCCGCCAGCAGCCAGGTATCACTTTCCATTTTTTTTTCTCTAAATTAATTTCGCACGTCGGATTCGCTTACACAAACGGAATCACCACAAAGCGTATAAGATGCTGCACTCTGCACCTATTTTTAACTTCGGTGTTCATTTCTGATTCCGACCGTACGAGAGCCGCTCCAGCAGAGGAGATCAAATTTTTGCATTCACCGCTAGAAATTCTCATTGTGAAATATTTTTCTCGTGCATGTAATCTTTACGAGAAGCGAATTATAAAAAAATGCTCAAATTAATTCATAAATAAAATGATTTTTGGATGAATTTTGTTGGATATTTTATGGTATTTAAATAAATAAGCAATTTCTTTCATAATATCTTCAACGTTTTCCTATAAATTTAAGCTTTAATAAAATTTCAGAAGAAATTTACTTTTAAAATATAGAATTTATAACCGATTTTGCAATTATAAAAATTAACTTTTAACTTTTGGATCAAAATGATGCTAACGTATTGCAGTTTTTCTTCCAGATTCCGTTCTGTGACCGAGTGCAGGACGATCGCGGGCGCCAGTTCCCTTTCTGGGCCGCCTTCAGGGGAAGTGCGGCTGCACCCGGTGCGGACGGCCTCCAGCTACCCTGCCACCTTCGACATTCTGCCCTGAAAGGCCCTTCTTTGCATTTGAGCTCTACAACGAATCAAACGACTCGGCTGGTTTCAAGAGACTCTCCTGACAGTGGACGGGAACCGTGTTTTTGCGGCAGATTCCAACCGAGCAAAAACGGCAGAGAGCTTTTTGTTTGTAAATCACACGAAAGTAGTGCGTTTTCGAAACCGCGGACTTGCAGCAAATGTGTGTCATGTTAATTTATTATTTTTTCTCTCTCTCGATTAAATGCGGTTCGAATCGCCAAGATAAACCGACGGCGAGTTGGCACGCGAAAGTAATAAACCACTTGTCGTAGTAAACCTTGTCGGCAACGACATCTGGCTTCAACTCGCTGGTTGCGCAGGTACCCGCCAGAGGACTTTTCCAGCCTGGGAAAGCCAAGACACGGTGGGAGAAAGAAAAGCCCAACTTGAATTTATACATATAACGCTTGCGTGTTTGCTTGTTAATCTTGTAATTCTCCGTGTGAAAATGGACATAAGTGTTAGTTGTGCTGTTAAGGAGATTTGTTGTCTTCCTGAACATAAGCGTGTACATAAAATATTATTTGCGAGCTTCCAAGTCCACTCTTACAATTAAATTAGAATTTCTCCGTTCAAGTTTTAAAAAAAGCGCAACTAAAAATTGTTATACTTGATTCCAGAAAGTTAAGTGCATTTACTTCATGAACTGATCCTTTCAATAAAATAAATAATTATGAGAATAATAAAATTGTGTTAATTGTTTAAATATTACTTGATAATTTTTGAGTAAATGAATTTATGGAGCTCATAAAATGGTCAAGAAATCACTTTGAAATCGATATATTATTTTGAGAAAATGTTGAATCTGATGAAAATTGAGATAAAACTGAAAAAATATCCGCTCCTTAATAAAATGAATTGTTAAAAAATGAAATTATTATTTAAATTGTATATAATATATATATTTTAATTAAAAATATTAATTTCACTCATGAGCACATCAAAATCGATTGATTTCCATATTCGTCTGCAGAAATGTTAAAAAATCACTTGAATTTGAATTATTTGATTGATCTATTTACTCTTTTAATTCTTCCTCGACACGATTTTCCAACTTAAGTATCTGATCTTTAATTTTATTTGGTATTTGCCAACTTCAACTTGTTGCGACAGTCCAGGAATCGGCTCCTGTTCAAATGCTCCGGATTAATTAACACCTTGTGCAAACAAAGAGCGATGCAGGAAGGGCGACAACACCACTCGGTGGTGGTATTTGGTGTGCGCCCGCGGTCAGCACCTAATTCGAAATGTGGCACAATATCTGCAGCTCCAGCGGGTTTGCAATTTGGCCACGCTGCTCGCTCCTCACACCAACGCGATTTCCACCTGCTGCGGTTTTGGCCAATCCGAACGCGTCCGAATGCAATCAGCTAAAGGCAAAGGCCCCGTCAAAACAAACTGCAGAGAGACTGTCGGGCGAGTGGCGTCTGCTCGCGACTGATAAAAAGTTTGAGCTCTTTGTCCCGTCGGCTGATGATGCCATGCCAAGTTTGCGACCGAAATGAATTTCTAATGACAATGACTTAGTTTGGGCATGTTTTTCGCAAAAGAACTTTCTTCTTCATTTGTTGAAAGGCTCGTTTTTCCCTTCTGCGCGGCTTACGGCGCTTTTGGCTAATTTATTCCGCATTGAAACTTTGTTAGTTTCGCCGAGTTGTGCTTGAATTCCTTAACAAGCTAAACTTTGGTACACTTTTGCTCGTTTTCAAACTAAAATTAACAAAAATTTTTATCTTTTGATTTCTTTTGTTGACTTGAGAGTCAATTAGAATATCTCGGTCAGCGATTGTTAGGAAGTTAAAGTGAATTAATTAAATAATTATATGTATATTAATTTTGACCCAATGCGACGAGTTATTTTGTTTCTTTGTCTCTGGTGCATATGGTGGAAACAACAAAACAATGGATGAGGGCCGCGAGCTCTTTTCATTTTATATACTTTTTACAAGGAGAGGCTTTTTCGACTCCTTTATTTAATTTGAATGCAGAAATTCCCCCTCTTGTGTGAGCAATTTAGCACCCCGCACGCTCGGCAAAAAGTGCCGAATTAGTCCAGCGGGCGAGAGAGTGTTCAAATGAATAAACAATTTTTACTTGGCACCGTGACAAGTGGAGTCGGCAGAAGAGCGGGCCGAGTGTTTATTTACTCGTTTTGTTACTCGCGGATTTGCATTTCGTAATGCGCGTGTCGCTCGTTTGTTGTTGACGAAGCTCGCCGCCGCGTTATGGATTGGCCGGACGGATAAAATCCGCAAATTGCCATGCTAATTGCCAATTACGAGTCGGCACGGGGGCGATAAATCCTCCACTTCTTCTTCTATTCTTAAGTCGGATCAATTATAGTGTTTGTTTGGAGACGCGATCGTGAACGGCGACCGCGGAGGCGACGAGCCGGCTTTTCTTGCCCCCACAATCCGCTCGGCTGCTGGTAAATTTAATTAGGGCGCACTCTCTGTTTGCGTTTAATTATTTGAAGAGCTTTTTTTGCTCGGCAAGCTCCATTTTATGGTCGCAAAGTGGCAGAGTGGGAATATTAGGATGGATTGAGTGCAAAACAAATTAATTAATATTTTGCAGGGTTAAAAAAAGCAAATTTTACAAAAATATTCCTCTAGCTCAAACTGATTGCGAAATCAAACATGGATGGATGTAAAAATATTTTGTATTAACTCAAAAATATGGAACGATACAAAATCATTATCATTATGAAGAAGGGTCAACGTAACTAAAGATTTCAATTTAATTCAAGTTGTTGCCGGAAATGTTTTTTTCTTTCAATAAATAACATAAATTATTTATTACATTTATGAAAATTAATTAAAATAGTCACATAATTAAATATTTATTCTTTTAATAAAACTCATCAACATTTCCAATCGGAAAGAGTCTAAAATGATTCGGGGAAAAAAGTATTTTAATTTGAATTTCTCAATGAAATTTTTTTCATTTTAAAATGGTTTAGTTTGTGCAAAATAAACAGCGATATTGACGGTTATAACGTTACTGAAAACAGAAATAAATAAATACAAAATTCCCTTTAATGGAAAATTCCGAATTGTCAACAAATTTGTACTGGTGGGTGAAACATAACGAGTGGGTCCACTTTCCACTTTGAGACTGGAAAGAGTGTCATCCCGATGGGGATGAGGAGGAATGTTGCAACTGGTGCGACCGACAGCGATAGAGAGCAAATAACGCGCGTGCCACTGCCGGTTGGAGTTTAAAAGGTCCTGCCAGCAGCCTTGTAAAGCATCGTTGCCGTTTGTTTACCGCTTGATAAAACGGCACCGATCGCGTTCTGTTGCTTTGTTGCTCTAAAATGGCGCTAATTAATTAACAAAGAGCTCTGGCTTTTGTCAACAGTTATTGCAAATAGAGCAGCTATTTGACTAAGATATGCTTCGGCGACCACGAGATTGAACACCGAGGCTTTGTTTTCGTGCGGCGGCACGCGAAACTCGCCGACTCGCGCGCTTTAAATTCAATTTATCACGTTGAGCGAAATGGCTCTCGCCTTTCAAGCCGAGGAAGCGGAGGCAAAATTATATCAGGCAACTTCTCGCGAGATGAAAAATGTTATATTTTTTTACACAAGGAGTCTGCGACCGACAAAATTCCACCCTGTCGATGACACATTGGAGAAAAGCGATCAAATTGTGTTTATTTACGCTCGAACGGGGCAGCTGCGATTGAATTGCGAATTAGACAAAGCGTGAGCGGCGAAGGAATTCGGCAGTTTATTGGTTTATTGGCTCAGCACTTTTATAAACTCTACATTTGCAGGATGTTATTATAACGAACACTTTTTCAATTCAGAATTCACCCATTCAAACAGAAATGAGCTAAAAGGAACACGAAAAGTGCCTGCCAATATTTGTATTCCATAAATCAATGTCACTTGTTGTGGCTTCCAAAAATAGCTTGGATTGAATATTGTTTACTTTTAACTTCATTTCTTTTGTTGCACAGAAAATCTGAATAGTTTCAATTTTTACATTTTATTAATATTCTTATTTTTCAAATTCCAGATTAAAATATGGATGAAAATGTATGAAATTTGATTACTTCTTGGCGGGCATGTATTTTATGTTTTGCGTTTTAGTAGAGAGGAGTCGTTTATTAAACACTTTTTTGCTCGCTAAGAAGTTCGACTCCATCTCGACTCTTATCACTTTCCGAAATTTATTCATTTCCGAGCAGAACCAAATATTGTTTATTTTTGTTGTTCCGTATATTTATTTTTTGTTAGGTTTCTTAAAGATAAAAAAATCACCCCTGAAAGGAAGTTGTAGCAGCAACAACCGGTCGGGCCAAGGGGAATAATCTTCGGTTCTTCCTTTCCGTCAAAAAGGAAGAGCAGAAAGCACTCAGCGGCGCCGGCAGCCGACTGAAACTTGTGCTGTCAAAGTCGCACTGGGAGAACCAGCCACTCTTTGATATTGAACTTGCGAATAATCGGCCCTCGGGGCAAGAAAGAAAGTCTGCCAAATAAGAATTAATTGATTGTCAGTGGGGGCGGGAACTGACTTTAATCTTCAGAGTGTTAAACAAATTATTGCACTCAAAGCAGCAAACGTAGAAATTTCCTTTGTATTGTAAAATCTGTTTCCAGAAAGAGCAGTGAACTTATAATAATTGATGTTTAGGCCAAAGGGCAAAAACTTTACAGATTGCTTTGAGAGGGTTCGTCCTACGCGATAAGAAACAGGAAAACGAAACACTGACTTGTGTACGGAATCTAAATTGGGCAGGAAAAGTTTGCATGTTTGTTTTGCTAATAAACAAACACTGTTTTGACAACAGGCACAAGCTTTTCTGGCATTTCGAATGGAGACGTTCCAGAATATTTGTTTATTATTGATTTCTCCAATTTAACAAAATTGCAAATGAATGAGCTGGACGGTATTAATACGTCTTATATGCAAATAAATATAATTCAAAATTTTCCCCGTTCTTTTAAATAAACTTACTCATTGTCTTTACGGCAAAAGTTGCGATAGAGGGATTAGAAAGAAAAAAAGAATCTGAAAAAAAAATAATATTGGAGTAAGAAAAAAAATTAAAATTTTCAATACCACTCTCAAATTGCAAATATTTCAGATTTTTCATACACTGCCAATCGCTTTTTGAAACCGCAATTAAATTAAAAACCTATTACTGTATGAATATCCAATTATACAAAAGGCAAATGGGATCTTTTTGATCTCCGAAGTTTTTTAGCAAAATTCTTGCTAGTGTGGTGCCGTTTTTTCCCCACAGTTCCTTTCTTTTCAAATAAATCGTTTTCAACAATGTGATGTAACAATGTAGACAAATAAACAATAATTATCACAATACTTTGGCATAAGAATTGTGTTCTTCAATCTGTATAAAGCTCATTTTTAACTTATTTTAGTTCAATATTTAGGAAAAGATTATTATATGTAATTTTTTTTACACCAGTTTGGCGAGTGCAGAATTCCCCTTCCTTTTTGTATTCAATATTGCAAGCTGATTCCAGGCTCATTTGTCACGAGGCGTAGACTGCAATAAAAGTGGCCATTTTTCGCGCGCAGGCTGCGTCGCGTCATTCTCACGCGACAGGGGTGGTTCCCAGGTCATGAAAAATGAATCTGGCCGGGGCCGTGCATGTGAGTTGCAATTCGAGATGGCAACGAAAACACAAACGCGCGCGAATTCCACCGTCGGCCGACGAATTTGTTAACTGATGAAATATTTGCCAGCCGCCTTATCATTGGTACGAATTTCTCCCGTGACCCAATTGCGTGAATTTTTTTTATATTAATAGCCAGGTGGAGAGCGGCAGAAGAGCTTCTTTATGCGAGTCGGAGCGCGCGTGATTCAATTACATTAATTAGCGGCCAACACCCACGACCTCAAAATAAAACGCTATCGGAGGCGCGCGCGCGCGCGCCCAAGTGGATTATCGGCTCTTGATTATGCAGCCGACTTTTTACAACTCAAGCCGCAACCCCTTTTGCACGTCGCCGACGGACACGCCGCTTTTTCCACTCTTCAGCACAAATTTCCATTAAAATCTTATCTCTGATACGGCGCGTCGTGCTCTTGTATGGCGCTCGGAGATTAATTCAGCACCGAAGCTGTTCGACAACTCGAGGACAACATGCCTGACGCTTTCATTTGGTGGTAAACTTGAAAATTGCTCTGTTAACTACAAGGGACTGCGTTTATCTTACACAGATAGTGATGATAATTATTAGTACATTTGCAGGTAAAACTAAAACTTTCACAATTTTCAATATTAGCAATTATTTGACTGATAAACAATCGAGCCCCATTGTTTAATCCAAATTAATAAATCAATTTTTTATTTGCATGTGCAAATCCTATAAATATTTTAGTCAAGTTTCTAAAATAATTTTCTTATAAATAATTCCAAAAACTTTTAAACCTTCTGAAGAACTAAAATTTAACAGTCGTATTTGAAGATTAAAAATAAAAAATGAAAAAATTCAAAATATAGATATTTTCTTTTCTTATTTATTTTTTATTTATACATATTTTTGTATCGTTTATTTTGACGAGTTCCTTCATTGTGGCAGGAAAAGTTTTGTAAATTGTGGTGATCATTACCGCTAGGATTTGAGCCATCAAGTTCAGTGTAACGAATATGCAATCATCCAGCACGATCACCAATGCTGATTATTCAAAATTGTCGACTGCCAAGGTCGATTTGTGTTTTTGGTCAAACCGGATCAAACGTTTATTGCACGTGCAGTCGCCCCCAATTAAATGTGAAGGGTCTTCTACGCCTAATGAGTCATTTTATTCACAAAGGGGCTTGAAAATGCACGTCCAACAACAGCGGAAAGTTTGTGAAAATTTCCTCTCAGGAATTTCACCTGAAGATGATTTAAAATCATTCAATAAAAAATAGAAAAAGGCAAAAACTTGGTCTCTGCGCTCCGGTTTAGGGAATGTTTTAATGTTTTAAAGTGAACAAGAGCAATACTGCGGGGAGAGTTTAAAGGGCCTGCTAATCTCGTGCGTCGGACGTTCGGCGGCTTCTTGATGCGCGAGTGGAAATAAACTCGCAGTCAGTCACAGGTGCGTGGCCTGACCTTGGGCGCGGGGTAAAATTTAAATTTTGAGCCTCTGCCAGAGTGGCTCGCCCGAGCCGTTCGAGGAGCCAAAACACAAAGTTGCCTTGCACTAATTAAGCCGTCGGCGCGCGGCAGGTGCACTCGCCGCCCCGCGACTTGCATCCTTATCAGCCCTCGTGCTGTCCTACTTGGCCGCTGGGGTGCAAAATGAATACGGAAACTTTGTAGGGCAATTAGAGCGATTGCTTTGGTGTATATTATTTTCCTTGTACAAATTAATTTGAAGTGTTCATTAGTTATTCGTGCTCGTGAGGAAAGTTGAAAAGAAGCAAAATGAAATTTGAAAATATTGCAAATTATATACTTATTGTTAGTTGGAAATAGAATTTTTAATAATGTTTTAAAAATGATTCGTATAAAAATATCAAGGAAAAAATTTGAAGCTAGTGATTTGTGTTATATTGTATCTGCAAAATTAATTTGTACAGATTCTTTGCAGGTTAAAATTATTGGTTAATTAAGCGGTCGAAAAAAGAAAAAAAAAAACGCATGGATAAAAATTAAAAAATGTTTCTTTGCAAGCATCCATTCATATGTTTGAACAATATCGTGTAAAATTATATTAAAAATGGAAGCTTTTGAAATACAACGCAAAAATGTTTGAAAAAATCCGCGTTCTCTCTAATTCATAAAAAATGGCTAAAAATAAACAAAACATGAAAGCAGCTGTCTGCGTGCTGGAAAGGGTCCTCTTGCGCTGCAAAACTACGCGAAATATGATCGCATTGCTTGGACGAGATAATTGATTTTTAAATAAACATGCGCCAAAACACGCTACAAAGGAAAAAAAAACGTTTTCGTTGCTTTTACATGGCGCATAAACTATTTTATGGTACATCGCAAAAATGAAGTGCGGCCGCAGCTATTTTCTTTAAATAATTTACGGCATAATCTCTCTTGTTCCAACCACAATCTCTAGAGGCAAATAAAAGTTTGCAAAATTTACCTGCGTAAAATTTTTATACGCGACGTAATGATCATTACTGGAGACGCAAAACGCGCTGAATATAAAAAAAGGATTTATTTTTTATTCAGAGGATAATTTTGTCAATATAAAGTTATAGTTCTATGCGTTCTATGAATAAAAAGTAACAAAAAAACTGAACAAAATAATGCGACTATATTTATAATTACAGAATTTTTTTTAAACAAAAAGATAAAAATAATATGTTTCAGGTAAATTGAACAAATATTCTCGAGCTCGGAATTCATTTATCAGAATTCTCTGTTTTTGCTGAGTTTTTGTTTATGGTTAAAGAAGACAATTTCAATTAAAATTATATTATTTCATCTGCTTTTTGAGCTTTTAATTTACACCTCAATGAGGTGGTACTTTCATTTTTCGCCAACTCGGAAAGCAGCTCAATTCTAAACTGCCAGCGGAATAATTTTCATCTAAATTGGAAGGATTGACGGCGACTGAGTGAAATTGAAATAATTGAATTTTCCACCGCGGTGAATCTCCCTCATTGCGAGGCAAAAGGCGAAACGATGCACACGAGGCAAGGGCTTAGCGGCGATTCGTTTGGGACGGAGGCCGAAAAGTATTTATTTTCAGGTGCACGCCGGCCGTGATAAGGCGTGTGTGCGCCTGCTCGCTGGCTCGGCGGCGGCGGGACTCGCGCTCGCCGCGACGCTCAGTGAGTGCCCATCCGTCCACATGTGAAGTGAGATGGAGCAGCAGCAGCAGTCGGAGGAGGCGCCGCCGACCCTGACAGGGTAGCCTTTCAGGGTAGCCATGTGCAACTTGACAGCGTCGAACAACTCGTCCAACTGTTCCTTGGCAGGCGGGTCGCCAGGTAAAAATAAATCAGAGTTGAAGAGGGTTTATTTTCGTAACAACATCCAATTTGCCGTTGACCTCCGGCGGAAAAAGACCGTCGCCGCAGATTTGATTGTTTTCCCGCATTTTTCCTGTGTATTGTCGATACAAGTTAGGGGCAGCAATCACAGTAAAACCACCCACGGCCTTTCAATAAAGTTTGGACAAGTAATCAATGTTTTGTCAGAATCAATCTGAATATTATGTAGAGAAAAAACAAGCAGGGCAAAACAAAGTTTTCTCAGATTTTACTTTGGCAGTTTGTTTAAGTTTCTTTCCTTATTTTTAATAATTTTGAGATGTAAATTTTATAAATATTATAAAGATATCATATCAACATAGTAGAATTTATGGGCATAATTTGAATATAATTATTAAAAAAGTGGAAAGAACTTTTATATTGTTATAATTATTTAAAATGTGAAGCATCCAGAAAATAGCGTTTCAAAAAGTATGATTTTAATTTCAACCACAGGTTTAGAAGACAAGCTCAAAAGTTATATATTTGTATTATGCGGGCAAGAAATGTTTAAAAAAAATTAGAACTGCAATTAAATATTATGGCTCTAATGGCAATTTAAGCTGAATTTAATGTTTGTAGGTGCAGAGGGAAGAACAATTCACAGCTATTTTTCCATCTTATTTGGGGGAAATTAAAAAGTTAACTATTTGAATTCTGCATCCCGTGCCGTAAATGGCAACTTGAGCTTGTTATTGTTATTGCAACACTTTTATTGTTTTATGGTGTGACAAAAATGAACATCCTCAATTCATCTGTTTACATTTGCCTCAGGAGCAAAGCAAAAGATAAAAAGCAAAAACTTAAGATAGTTATTTAAAATTTATCAAGTATTCCATTGAATGATAGATAATAAAATTAATAAAAATATCAGCAATATAAAATTTTAATAAAAATAAAAATTACTTTAGAAGCGTTTTTGAACGAGTGGGTTCGACTGTGTAATACCGCGTAATAAAACAAATATATATCAAATCTAGAAACAAACGTTTCAGATTCGCGTCCAGCAGGATCAATTACTTTTAAAAACATATTCTCAATGATCACAATGTTGTTGTATTCAAACTTATGAGAGATTTCTGATTGTGCAAGTAAAATTTGTAGAACGTTCCGCTTGGCATCAAAAGGGATAAACTAAATTTAATTTTGTGTATAAATAAAAATATAAACTCAATCTCTACATGGGATTAAAATACGACTATGATGTATGAAAAGGGCAGAGTATATGGAGAGCCATAGGAACATATCAGTACCATTATGTGACATTCAACGCGGCTTTGAAGGGGTGCGAATAACTTTTATGTAAATCCAGTCGCGCAAACACTTTTTTGCCCAGTGAAAGGGAAAACGAGGTTGTGTGCTTTTCGCTAATAATAATTATAAGGCATAGAATGATAACCCGGCATAATTACGAAACCCTGTGTGGCTGGCAGCGGTGCCATTCAAAGGCTCTGTTTTTGTCGTGAGAGTTATGTCGAGCGTAAAAAAGGTCAAACAGCGAATGGGGAAAATTTCTCCGTCTGCCGGCTGAAAAGGTGCTTTTCCTTCATTATTCCAGCTGCGAGCTGAAATATCACAACATTGCAGCAACATTCGGATTCTGCAATCTGGGCTCCACAGTAGAGTTCAATTTCCTCTGTGATTTTCTCCAGCCCTTTGATCACACAGACTTGGCAATATTGTGGCTTTTTTTCAGCGCACCCGTAAACAGCCCGGAATTTAATTTTCCTCCGTCAGCTCGCAAAATAACGCCGAAAGCACTTTGTGGCGGATAAAAATTTGCACACATATCTGCTCTGACACGTACTTGCAAACAAACACACGTCCGTGTCACTCGGATCCATTTCTCAGCCGGTTTTATGTATTTTTTTTTTATCGTCGGACAATCCAATTAATCATTCAGAGTGGTTGGTTGTTCCCGGTTGGCCGAGCGGCGCACGAAAAGCCGAACGTAGGCAAGTCGGTATGCAACCTGCTCGACAGAGGTACCGAGCAGGTTGCGTTTCCTCACTAGCTCGCCTGCCTGCCACTCCAAGCAAGCAAGCAAGCAGTTCGCGGAAATTCGAAGCTGGCTCGCCTGCCGCATAAATGGGACTTTAGGAGCACGCAGGTTCCAACAATGGGCGACTTTTGACAGGAAATGAGATACACTCGAGCCTACAGCAAGCAAGCACGCCGGTCCCTCTTGTGCAAATAACAATGTGGGGCGGGAAAAAAAACGACCGAAATTCTCACTGGTCGTAAATTTGCAATAATTGGAGCCAGCGTTTATTAATCACCCATCGGGGGCGAGTTGTTTTATATTGACATTTACGATCAAACTGTGGCTGCGTGTTGCGGTTGACATTTGAATGTTTTTGGCGCCACAGCCAACTGATTGATTTTGGACGCAGATTATTGAGTTCCAGCTGTTGAAAAAGGCAGACGTGGAAATGGGCCGGCAATTGTGGCACATAAGGAAGGCAGACGGTGACAGCACCAGGGGATTGCAGCCGTAAAGGCCGGGCTTATTGACTTTCGTTGGAATAACAGTCGCGCCGAGGACAAAGAAAACGGATGTCACGGAAAATGTATCACCGACGCAGAACACCAAAGCGATTCACTCCCCAAATAGATTAAAGGGGAAAATTAAATGAGATCTATGAATTTCAATTTAAGATCAATTTAAATTTGCGGTAACTATGACCATAAATTAAATTTGGAACTCCTACTAGCAGACATTTTTATAAAATTTTATCTAGAAAGTTTATTTAACAAAATTATTCAGCCCACTACACATTTCATTAAAATGTCAAAGTTCAAAACTTTTTACCAAAACACGGGCATGAAAATTCATTAATTAATTTTGATTTTGATATGGATATAATGACGCTGCGAGCAAGTGCCATTTCTCTGCTGGAAGTTTTGATTTCCTGTTGCCAGGGTCGAAAGTAATTACTTCAACCTATTCCTTGAAAGGGTCTCTCGACAAATAGGATCGGTCACGTCACTTTCACTCTCTCCGCGCCGCTCGACGTCACACCCTTTCTTGTTCGTGACACTGTTAGATCGCGCCGCATGCAAATGCAGTCGGGAGTGATTTGTCAAAATAGAACGGCGCGGCGGCAAATTAATTGCGACTTGGACGTGTGCCTCGGCAGCAGCCGGGACGGCGCGTGTGATTTATTTGTTCTTGGCCGCGAGACCGCTTGTCAATAATCGATCTGTTTGCTCTTTTTAAAGTCATCATTAAGGCGCTTAAAATACGCGCGCAGAAACAGAGCGAGAGAAGAAATTATAATGGCGTCCTTCTTGAGTTACTGCCTGGTTTAATGAAGGGCACCACTCGCCGATTATTTCTGCGGCGGCAAATTTTGCTCTGGCGCCAAAACGCCGAGTTTCATTCATGCGGCGCTCGCTCGCTCGGTCGCGAGTATCGACGCAAATAGCGGCTGAAAGAAAGAAGCACGAGTTCCCACGGCACCAAATTCAATAGAAAACTCGTTTCCAGTGTGCACCTCATCAGGCTTTAAAACTGTAAGTCCTGCAGAGGAGAGCTAGCGAGCCGACTTTAAGCTGCTTACAAGTTGAAATTAATCGTGAAATTCAGCGCGGCGAGAACACAATGCCGTTATTCGAAAAGTTTGAATTAGAGAGAAACCAATCCAAAGTGGCTGTGCAAGCAGATGACCATTTCGCACAGAGTAACTCTCCCTTTCATAAATAAATAAAAACTTATTAGGAATAAAAAAATGAGCAATTTTGGACTCAAGGAAATTAATAAAGTTTCATCAAAACTAAAATTATTTGCTCTTCTGAAGCAATTTCCAGGCTCAAAGGAGTATGCTTCAATTATTTAACCAGGAGCCACTTTGGAAAAAAAATTTAAATTTATTTGCTATTGAAATTTTTAATTTCATTTTTATCAAAGTATATAAATCAGTAAATTTCACATACCTCGGAAAATCTACAAAAAATATGTTAAAAATTTTATTTTGTAAAATTTTTAGTCATTCCATTTATTTTTGTTAAACTGAGAAGTGGTGAGATTTGAGGTCTAAGTCTGCCACATTGCCACGAGCTAAACGGTCTGTTGAACTTGTAAGGAAATTTCTCTGTTTGCTCGGCTGTACTTGAAGAGTTAACCAAGCGTAAACACGTGTTTGTCGGTGAGTGATCAATTTGCGATCAGTAAAGGGTCTCGCTTACGTACTTTAGAAGTCGTCAAAAGTTAGAGGTAGTTACGAACTTCCACGCTTGGTCAAACCCTTGAATGAAGTTTTAATTAAACTGACATCATGCAATGCGAATCTTTGCAACAAAAGAATACTTTACAAATATTCTTGTCCGACCAATGAAAATAGACTAATGGAATTTTTCACGTCAGGCCACACACGCAACAAATGTCAACAAAGTTATGGATGGCCATATGCAGGCAACACCACCACTCTGTATGCTAATTAATTCAGAACGATTTAAGACCGGGCGCAGTGCTGTGAGATTAGCAAAGCAAACCCCTCTCCCTGGCGGTGTCCATCAAAGTATAATGGCGGCGGCGAAAGAGCATGCCGGTGTATTTTGGGATTTCCATCAATTTCCATTAAAGCCTCCTGCAGCAAGCACGGGATTCCAGCAGCCGCCAAAAGTGGGAAGCGAGTCGAGAGCGAGTGCGGTGATTTGAAAAATATGCCGAGGGGCGCCTCAATTAATACCGGCTGATCGTGTTTGCCGAATTCGTGCTCGGGCCATTATTATATTACCGCAGGAGAGCCAACACAGAGTTGGTGAGCGAGTGATTCAAGTGCCATCCACGCTGGGGAAATTCTCTTTTAATTAATGTTTACGGCGCTCCGGGCAAATAAATTCTACCAAGCGTTATTTAAGGTGGTCATTATGCTGCGCTCGATGGATGAGATTGTACGATTTGCTCCTATAACTATAACTATAACTTTGCATTCAAGCAACGCCATGAAGCTACTTATCCCTTCCAGAAAATGCTTTTTATTTTATTAACTGACCGGAAATTAAGAAATATTTTGCATTTGTATTGTTTGTAAATTTGAACACTAAATTGGAGATAAAATGCTGAAGTAAAAAATGGTTGAATTATTTTAATTTGATGCTAAATTAATATTTATTATCTATTTCAATACAATATTAATTAATTAAAATAATTATTAAATTTAATAATGTTTACAGACATTTTACTATTGCTGTTAATTTTACCACATTGATTACATTCAATTGCTGAAATCAATTTATTTAAAAAAAAAGTAATTGTTGGAAAAAACAGCACGAATTTTGCTCAAACTTCTGAGAGTCGTTTTCAGCAAACCTATCAGGGGTAAAAGTGGCTTTAATTAAACACTCAAATTGAGCCGGAATGGATCTGCTGGCGGTGTGAATTGTGCTCACTTGGCTCTGAAACGCGCTGGCTAATAGCAAAGGCAACACCAGCCAGTCTGTAAATAATCCATGCGCTCTGCGTATGATGGCCCGCGGCGAAAAACATTGATCAAATCGCCCCAATTAAAATATCATGACATTTATCTTTCCAGCTTTTAGTTCTTCAAACGTTGCGTGCTTAGCCCCTTTCCGAAGCTTTTTTTCGGTCAGCATTAATCGTCCGTCTCGCGCTTTGTGCAATGCCGACAAATGTAATTGGACGCTAATGAAACACAAAGAACAATAAACAAACATTTACATCCCGTATCAATTTCACTTTGTGCGATTGAACGCTCGCAGCTTTTTTAATCAGCGCCCACCACTGAAAGTGAAATTTAAAAAAAAATCCAATAATCCAATTAATTTATTAAAAAAAGACGATTGAGTTTATTTTGTTGATCAAGCGTTTAGTATTAAAAATATTTTTCTGCTCACCGAGTACTAATAATAGTCAGTTTTACGTTTGTTACTTAATTTTGCTTGTGGCAAATAAAAATTATAAAAAAGGTATTTATTTGAAAATTATCAATAATTGGTCTGCAAAATTATAAAATTTCATCCCTGTGGAAATCGTTGGCCAATATATTTATAATTTATATGATATTAACAAAAAAATTGATAACTAATTTTTTCTTCAAATTGCAGGAGGAGGGGAAGAGGAGCACCCAAACAATTACTGGGCACTGCTGGCCCTGGCCCTGGTGGCGGCCACCGCGGCCGGCAACATCCTCGTCTGCCTGGCCATCAGCTGGGAGCGGCGCCTGCAGAACGTGACCAACTACTTCCTCATGTCGCTGGCCATCACCGACCTGATGGTGGCCATTCTGGTCATGCCACTCGGCATCCTCACTCTGGTGCGAGGTCAGTTACTTTGCCGCAACAAGCCAATTAAGTGAAATTCCTGCGGTGGCGGAATTAGATTTTTTGAGGCAGGCGCACTTTCTCACGCTTTTTTCCGGCGGCTCGCAGCCAGGGGTGGAATTAACAATGAAGGCCCTAAATCTTGACGTCGCACGTGGGCCGCTCTTATCTCGTTGTTGCGTCACGCCGCCGGCCGCAAAGAATCTCGCCTGCTTGTTGTCATAAATAATCACGGAGCGACAAATTATTGCATGCGAACGTGCCGCGTCAATGTGGCCATAAATTCGCTCGTGTGCCAAGCAACAATAAGCTCAATATCGTGGTTCTGAGACTTGGAAAATCATCCCTATTTGAAATCAAAGAAAAATTGTTTTGGTTCATTCAAAATTTTCGTACTTTTTAGGATTTTAAAACCATCGAAAAATAAAATGAAAATCTTAATTTTCTTGTGAAAATTTTTCTAAACAACAATTAAGCTGTTAAATCCAAAGTTTCCCAAGCGGAAGCCAACAACTTCTAATTTAAAGATGAGGCTCTTGAAATTTTAGAAAGTTAATAAACAATTCTAAGAATTATTACCTATTATCTTTTCGATGCCTAAGTTGGAAGTTTAAGAAAGTTGCAAAAATGTTTTTATCTAAATAATCGTCAGAAGAGATGGCTAGATTTTTACTTATAACATTTTTATTTTCCTTTCCTCAAGAGATGTGCTAATTGTGAGCGAATGAGTCGAATTTCAATGAGAAATGAGGGGAACGCTCGTCCTTTTGTATTAACTTCTACCTGCAGCCATCTTTCCCGGAGAATTTTCTTCTCGTCGCAGTCCTCGCACAATGGTCTTTACAAGTTGTTTTTCAGCCGCTCTGTCGCACCACTGTTCCGCCACACACCACCATCCCTCTCTGCAGTTAAATTGCGTCGGCGAGAGAGAGTATGCAAGATTTGGTAAAAAAAAAATTGCGGCTCATTTCGCTCCATTAACTCGAGTCGCATTAAAAGCAGAATATAAAAGTTCGTCTCTAACAAATTATGCGATGATTTACTAGAGCAGAGTTAAAAATTTTCGACCTCTGACGCGTTCTGGCACGCTTCCCGAGTGAAATAAACAAAGGTGTTGATGAATAAAAAATGATGTACTCGACGACCGCAAGCAATTTAGCACGGAAATTGCAAAGCAGGAAAGCGGTGGCGGGAAGGACTAAGTATGTTTTTTCTTCTTTCGCCCGAATCCAAACTCATCGTTGGGGTGCAGGTGTTTTAATTTAGCGCAAACGTTTCACTCTGCGTGCGACATCTTAATCTGCCTCTCCTCAAAATTTATCATTCCGTCGTGTTACCTTCTGGGCATTTGAGAGCGAATGCGTGTCGCTCCAAAGCGCGGCGCCCCGACCGGCCCTTTTTAATGACAATTTTCCGCCTCACCACCCTCGGCGTATTATTATTTTTTAACCGCGCGGAAGCTTTTATACCAGGGCGGACGCTTTAAACTATACAATAACTTTTTATGCAAACAATCTGGTATTCAAAGTAACACGATGCGTGCGTGGATTCTCTCTTACACGCCAAATTGTCAGTCTAATTGTGTCATCCGTGCAGCCTGACTTTTTTATTACCCACGAGAGCTCGATGCTGCCGCCGGATTACTCAACGCAAGTATATCTAAAGACGCGCGCCTCCATTCGCCGGTTGACTCGATTGCCATTAGACGTAGCTTTTTCCTAAAAAAAAAGCGCACAGATGAAATAAAACTGGGATATTCCCAATCGGTTTCAGCCGCCGCTTCACTTGCCGCTTTCCCCAAAGGTGGACTCTTTTTCGTATTTTCCTCATGCGCCGTCACTTTTTTTATATTTACAATCCAGACCTGGTTGACATTGATGAATTGTCGGCGCAACAAAGGAACAACCGAGCAACTTTTACTGATAAATATTTTTTATGCGTCATTATTAAACAAATTCCTTTCTACGGCGATCGACCCGAGGCAAAATCACAAAGCGTGCACTTCTTTACTTTGCAAAAAGAAAAGGGAAACAAAGCAAAAACGTTGTTTGCTGAAAGTTGTTTGAATAAGGTTGGCTGAAATTTTGATTTTCTTCTTGCACACTATAAAATATTTAATCTTAAGAATTGAAAATTAACTTTATCATGTATTTAAAAAAAAAAAAAATAATGTAAATTCAGAAACTTAGCGAGAAAACTGATGCTTGGAAAATGAATTAAAATGTCAAAATTATAACTTTTAATTGGAAATAATTGGATTTCTGTTTAAAAATATTACCTACTTAAAAGTGGAGATAAGGACATTTTTATTCATTTCCAAGCATAGGTTTTCTCGCTCAGTTTCTGAACCTACCTTAAAATTTCTTTTGAAAAATTAAAATTAAAACTTGGAATAAACGAATCAACGCAAAAGCTCTACACTAAAAATTACAACAAAAAACACGCTCACAAATTAACAGCATTTATTTTATCAGTAAAAAAAAAATAATAATATTTAATGCTTCTCTTGAATTTCTCCGTGATTTTAAATCTGTTAGCCTCATTTTTTTTAAGCGTGATTTTGTGTGGTCAAAGACCAAGTTTAATGGCCCTCTATCTTTATCAGCGACGCATTTCCGTCCAAACCGTGAGCGCCCGAATGCGATTTGGTAAACAGGAAGCGGACGAAAAGCAAATTCAAGTCCCCTTAACACACACTCGCGGCTATCGATTTGATCTGCGCACCCGCAACATATGTTGCAGCGGCGTTTATCTGTGCGTTAGGTAGGCTGAGCCGCGGTGCGAACGCGACCAACTGGTTGCATAACCTCGAACGAAGCAGTGCATCACGTACTTGGAAGCGAACAATAATTGAGCCGAGAGAGCTGCGCAGCCAGAAGGATTAAAGCAGACGACTTTCGGCCGCTCGGGGGCTCCGGTTTCCATTAGCAGTACAAAAGCCTCGGCTGGAGGCAGGCAGGCCCCAATTAAAGATGAACGGCACTTTGAAATAATAATATCGCGGCACTGCATATTTAATGCAGTCGTTAAGCGAAATTTATGGCGCAATAAATTAGTCTGCCGACTGCGGAATGTGTTGCTCTGCGTGTTGCCTTCATTTTTCATTTTCTCCTCGGCGGCGCCGACTTTGCCTATTCCGCGCACCCAAATTTAAGAACTTTGCCTCGCGCACACTTTGTGTTTGCCTTGCCAATAGAGCGATGAAAGCGGGCTCGGCAAAAGCATCCCCTCGCGTTACATAAACTTGTTTAAATGCAAATGCTGGGCAAATAAATAAAAATGAGTCTGCGGCTGAAATAATTCGCTTGCAAATTTAATGAAAAGAAGAGACGCGGGCGGAAAAGCCACTTTGGTAACTCTCACTCGCGCGCGTCCTCGTGTTGCGAGCATCATTTTTAATGACTCGCCAGAGCCGCTTTTTATTTGCTTTGCCGGGCCAAGGCCGAGAAAGTCGCGACGCTCTCTTCAAAATGGAGACATAAATTATTTTTTTTTGCCCTCCCTCTCGTCTCTTCACATAACTTTTTAAAATATGGTGCGCGAAACTGGAAAAAAATGAAGAGGAAATTGCAATTTCTCAGTTGCTATACGAAAAGTCGTTCCGCTTGACATACTTTACAGACAATGTAAATCATGCCGCGCGCGTCTTTCGATTTCCCTTCAATATTTCATTTTAAGAGGGTTGCGACCCTCAGCGTTCGCTCTTCTGCTCCTTCCTCTTCGCGTGTAAGCAGATTTGTCCCATCGCAAATTACGTAGCATCTTAAGTGCACGATAATTCGATTACGTTATGGCGGCGGCAGCGAAATGATGTTCTGCGCCTCTCGGGCAAAGCCTCGCTCCTGCTTTTCACACTTGTTAATGACGAGCACGTCACCTTATAACGTGATAAACTTTTGGCCTGCCTTAATCAATGTGCAGCCATTAAAGAACTAACGCATTAATTTTCATCGGAGCGAGCTTCCTTTAATCAACCAGGACGCCATAAAAATAGATAAGATAAAAACTTTATTAAAATTTTGACATTTGAATTTGCTTCTTTCTGCACGCCCGCGTTTCATTTTTTGATGATTTGCAGTCAATCTATCTATCATGTTACTATGGTTTTTAAATCACGTAAGATGATTTGAGCCTTTTTGGTATGCCAATGCAGTCTCATGAATAAAGAGCACGCGCGAAGCGGAAACGCGTCGAGTGGCGGAGCAATAATGAATATGGATTTACGGGTGTTATAAAAAAAAGCGAACGACTTTTTAACCTCGTCGTTTTCGTCATAAAAACTCACTCGAGTAAAGCAAACTCGCGAAAATAAATTAGTTAATGGCCGCAGTGCTGCTTTTATTCTACAATTTTTATGATACCACTTCAGGCGCCCCCCAGTGAACCGTCAGGAATGTAATTTAATAAAATTTGGCCCCATGTCCCCAGGGTTCTTCCCGTTGCCGAGCGAATACTGCCTGGCGTGGGTGTGCCTCGACGTGCTCTTCTGCACGGCCTCCATCATGCACCTCTGCACCATCAGCGTTGACCGCTTCCTCAGCCTGCGCTACCCCATGAGATTCGGACGCAACAAGACCCGTCGGCGCGTCGTCCTCAAAATCCTATTCGTCTGGCTCCTCTCCGTCGCGATGAGTTTGCCGCTCAGCCTCATGTACTCGCAGGTGAGATTCGACTGCCTTTATTGCCGCGCGGCATTTTAATAATTCGCCCCGTGTGAAATATTACGCCACTCTAATGGCGGGGCAATAAAGTATGGGCGCGCAATAAAAGGGGTTTGTTTTCTTTCTCGCACCGTTGCCCTCTCGCTTTCTTGTCGGCTCTCATTCCGCCCGGCTTCAGAAGTGAGCGAAAAGAGAGGAAGCCTCTTTTGTTGTACTTTTAATTAAAGACCCCGGCGAGTGCAGGTGAAATATATATATATATATATATTCCAAATCTTGCCGCAACAATCGCGAAGCGGGCGAACGTTTTCCCACTCTTTGTGCGTCAAAGGCTCGACGGAATTTTCAATTTAACCCTGCCGCCGCCGGGGTGAAAATGAAAAAAAAGTGGCGCGAAGAGGATATATGTACGTGTCCTGAATCGGCAATGCAGCTTTAATAATAATTATGTGCCGAGTGGTGTGCATTATTAACGCGACACCTCTCTATTATTCTGGCAGGACCACAGTTCCGTGCTGGTGGATGGAACGTGCCAAATTCCGGATCCGCTGTACAAGCTGATCGGCTCCATTGTGTGTTTCTACATTCCACTGGGGGTCATGCTGCTGACCTACGCGCTCACCGTGCGCCTGCTTCACGTCCAGCAACGCAATCTGGGAATGGGCACCACCACGACAGGCAGCGGAGGTGGAACGCCCGCAGCCGCCCCGACCGCAGGTAGGCCATAAATTTCCTTTTTTCGACCCCCAAGCAAATGCGAGCCGTTGATTAATGGACGTGTCTTGTGCTAAAAATACATATTGATGCCTTTTCGCTCGACACGAAATCAAACAGGGAGGGCTCGTATGAAACGATTAACTCTTCGCAGGACCCGCAGCCGGTGAAATATCTTGCAAAGAAATTAAGAAAATAAAAGCTGATGGAGATTCTTTTTTAAATTGTAAATATATATAGATTTCCTTTTTTTTTTGGTCAGTTCACAAATATTTATTTTGACTTTACAGGAATTGAAAGTTAAATAAATTTATTTATCAATTTCATTTCAATATTTTTGGGTCATTTGTTAACTTCAAACTTCAATTTTATCAAATTTTATTGTTTTATATGAAATGACTTAAATTTTCATAAGACAAAAAGCTTTGTTTTCATTATGTACCTTAATTTGTATTTTTAATTACATTGAAATGCTATAAATATGAAGTTAATTCTTCATTACCTTGAACTATTTTTAGAAAATTGAACAAAAAGCTTATTAATTTGATAGTCGTTTCCTTCCACCTTAAAAGCCCCCTTGTTGTTACAATTTCAAATTTCTATCGTAACTGCCGTTTTAAATTTGATTAATTCAATTCGAAAATTGATTAATTTTCAATATTTGAAATGTTTTGTAACTTGGAAAAATATTTAAAAAAAAAATAATTGATTGAAAAATAATTTAAAATAATGGGCAGAGTACTCTATTGAAAAAAAACCCGTGAAAATATAAATTTATATAAATAAATAAAAAAATATTTATATTTTTTATTTATTTATTTTTGCTGATTTGTAGATTTAATTTTTTAGTCAGTTCTCAAATATATTTTTAAGCTTTATAGGAAAAATTAATTTTATAAAATCAAATAAAGATATATTAAACTTGTGACGTAATTTCGCGCGAACTTCAATCGTGGACTACCTATTACTCTTGCTGAAATTTCCCGTGTTTGAACCGCGGGCTCAAAGGCCGGGCACAAAACGCGCGAACACACACGGTGGTGAGAGCGGCCTTTGTTGCCGTTGAAGCGCACTCGTGGCATTGTTAATGAAAATATTACACCCACTTTCTTGCACGGACGTGAGCGCGTTATTTGATCCTGTTGAGAGAATACCTCCTAGAACGACACTGCCGTTCGATCTGCTCTTGATCTCTGACCTGTTAATGCACAAAAGCTTTCCTCACTCATCCGGCTGCTTTATGATCCGCGATAATATCCGACTCGTTATCGTCAGCGTAGGCGGAAAAATTGCCTGATGAAAATTCACGGAATCAAAGGGAAGAGAATAAATTTAATACCGAGCGCTCGGCGCGCTCGTTAAGCGTGACTAGTTCATTTATATGAAATTTCCAGCAGTCTCTGACTAATGATTTGCACATACGTTTTTCTTCCTTTTTTGCTCCACAATCATTTTTATACCAACTACAGTTCAAAAAAAGATTTATCTTAACTTGATAATATAAAAAAAATGGTTCAATTCGTTATTGCAATTAAATTATTAAATAAAACTTGATGGTGCAAATGTAATAAAATTATTTTGAATAAAGGAAAATTTTCTCTGATATTTTCACATGAGGTCTTGTGAATTTTTCTGGCTTTACCTCATTGTGAGCTTCAAAATAATACATTTCTACTAAAACTACGGGACTTTCACCATTATATAAATATAATATCATGAATCAATTAAATTTTTAATAATTTTTTTTTTAATTCCAGGAAGTCAATGGGAGAGCAACTGGTATTCAACAGCCTCGACTTCTGCTGCTCACCACATGCAGGCTATGCAAATTCAAACGCCACCCATATCGGATCGACGCCGTTCCACTTGGCGCCGACTTCTTAGCAAAACGCACTCAGGCAATTCCTCCTCAACGACAGACACGGAACTCACGGAGCTCAGCATGCTGGCGGCCGGACCCCAGCCTCCTCCGGCCCCTGGAACTCTGGACCCCGGTGACCTTTGGCTCCAAGAGGCACCCCTTCCCACACCTGTTACAATAACTGCTCTGCATCGCTTCGGAACAGAAATGCTCCGGCTATCTAAGGGTTTGGAAACGTCCCGGCCAAGCAATCTGAACCACTGGAGTGAAGGAAACTCAGAGGAGCAGACAAGCTCCGAGATGAAGGGTGATGGCGATTTGGAAAAGGATGCCGAAGGAAAACCGCAAGCCAAGGATGGCCCGAGCACAGGTGAGGGGTTCTCTACTTCAAACGCAGCGTCAGCTCCCGAGGAATTCCCACCAATTGCACCGTGCACCTGTCCCTACTTTGGCAACACCAAGAACAGACGCCCCCCACCCACTGCTCAACCCGAACTAGTAATAGTGCCAAGTCCTCGCAGGGCTATTTCCTCCCCTAGCAACCTGCGCAACCAGGTGCAAGTGTCCTGGAGCGACAAACGTGGCGTGGTTTCGTCAACAGTGGCGCCGCCACAGCAACAGGCGCAGACGACGCCACTGCTGCGGCGAGCAGTCACCATGCGCTACTCCGGAGGACACAGGGCTGCCAACCTGACCGACTCGCCCATGTTGCAAACACGAGCTAATAGTGTTCGGCCACCTCACAGTCGCCAGAGCAGCGTTTCTCGCAACTCGAGTCGCCACGGACGCATCCTGAGGCTCGAGCAAAAGGCCACCAAAGTCCTGGGAGTTGTGTTCTTCACCTTTGTGGTTCTGTGGGCACCTTTTTTCGTTTTGAACCTGGTGCCAGCGCTGTGCAGCGAGTGCGAAAGACACATTAGTGTTGGGGTTTTTGACTTTGTCACGTGGCTAGGGTACGCCAGTTCCATGGTGAATCCCATATTCTATACAATTTTTAACAAAGTGTTCCGGCAGGCATTCAAGAAGGTTTTATTGTGCCGGTACCGACGAAGGGTAGTGAAATAAAATGTAATGTTGCATCTCACCATATATTCTATGTTTGACTGTTTACGTGTGCAAACGCAGATCTCATAAAAACCTGTTAGCCAAGCACACAAATCCTTCGTTTTGTGTTTAGAGTAAGAAGATATATTGTATGTTATATTTACGTGTCAGTAGCATTTAATAATCTACGCAATTTCTTGTAGAATTTCCGTTGGATAATAATTATTAAAAAAAAGGCAAGAGTATAATTGTGTCCAGGTGTTAAAAATATCATTCCCAAAATCTAGCTTAGGTCCGGCTTTTTGTGATAACAAGTTTTGATGTATACAAAAGTGACACATCCGAGCAATTTAGAATCCGCCGCAAGTCTGACTTGCTGATCCAGAGAAGTAGGACATTTTCAATCATGTGAGGTGCCGCCTGCGTGATAAGATTTGCTAATGTGCTCCCTCAGTAAGGCAATTATAAACGTTAAGTCGAAAAATTGGTAAAAAAAGAGAGAATATTGAAATTGTCTTGTTTCAGTGTTGAATGCGTAATAAAATATTTCCATTATATTTATGTTCACAGAAAAACATCTTTGATTTAACGATAAACGATGAATACCTTTTAATAACCAATTTGCAGCTGAATATTTAAAGTTCTAATTTACGCATGCCGATAATTAGTTAATATTATTATCTAATTGAGTTCAATATCATGCATCAAACTTAAAAATTTCAGTACGAAAATGAAAAAATTTAAGCTATAATTTTAGACCATGTTTCTAAGAGGAGATTTCTGCAATATTATTAAAAACGCCCTGCTCCTGAGGGCACAGCGGTATCACAAAAAATTCAATGGGAAGAGCGAGGAAGGTTTATTCGTACATTAATATTTAAAAAAAGCCTACACTGTGCATGGTGAACTAGGCAAGCGTCGTACAAAATACTCGTCGACTCCCAAACGCTTTGCGTAGCAATTTTCCTGGTTGTTGGAGTGTAAAATTTTGCATAAGCGGAGGCGTAGCACACATGCTATTTATTTTATGGACGCTTTCGAGTCGGAAAAGTCAATAGAATAGAAAGTGGAGACCAAAACGGAGAGTGCAACAATTTGGACCAGAGTATACATTAATATTTTCTTTAGGAAAATGAGGTCGCCTGGTTCGGCAGAGAGATCAAGTGAAGCAATCACAGCCAGAGTAGCAATCTCCTTTTCTTAACAGGACTTACTTCCCTTTGGGTTGTGAGCGGAAAAGCTGGTGCACGGCGGTTGCTGTAGGCGAAGAGGGGGTGAAATCAAGTCACGCCGTCGAAAGCAACAAACTCAAAACACCTAACTGGTTTATATAGCAACTTGTGATGCTCTAATGGGTCTTTAACCAAACAACCTGCACGGTAAATTTCACCGCATCTCCCACGTTACGATTTTTCTGAAAGGAACCTGCCATCAGCACCGTTTCCTAATTGCAGACTGATTTCGAGTCTCTGTGTTCAACTTTTCAAATTAGTTTATGATAATTTCGGCGCTGACAGTCGTTTGTGCAAATTTTACTCAAAGGCGGAGAGAAGCGCTTTATCAACAGCGGAGAGTTGGGTTGAAAGTTTGCGAAGTGTGTCAGATGTAACAATATCAAACACTGAATTAAAAGGTGAGCGTCGCTTTTGACTTGGAAACGTATATTTTTTTTCAATATTTATTTCTAGCAAGTAATGCAAATTATTCTTACAGCGATATTTTAATTAGTAGTATAAACAATAAATTCAACAGTGGGGATTTATAAAAAAAGGTAGCTCTGAAATTAATAAATCATCGCTGCTAGGTAACAGGCTGCTACGCTACCCACAACATAAATTGATTAAAAATGCCTAACGTATAAGCAGAGGGCAAATTTCATCGGGAAAAAAAGGTGGCTTTGTACCAAGGTTTATAGTGAAGCAAGTATATAGTTGGTGGATTTTGTTTGTTCCTTCAAAACACAAATCACGTCGCAGAGAAAATTCCTCGACATAGTAATAAAAGTAGTCCGGTGCGAGGGCTTTGGTTCAGCCTGCCGCATGTACGAGGTAATAATCCACCCACAAGGCGGCTACTCGAGAGGCGCAATGTGTTCCTCGAGTGCCGCGTATTGATTTTTGCAGCGTGTGCATCAGTCCGAACTGATCGGCTTTTTGCAGAGTGCTTTAAAGTATGCATGCATAGTTGGATGCAGAGTAGGTAATGAACTCTCACAATTTACCACTTGCTTGTCATTTTGATTTTTATTGCAGAGTCAAGTTTGGAAAAGAATAAATAACAGGAAGTCATTAAAGTAAATTTGAATTTGAAATTATGAACAATGATGGTAGAATTGGATCGAAGAATTTCGCACTGGAGCAATGAATATGGAATTTTAGGCTCCTGAATAAACTGCATGTGTGTTTTGCAATCTTGTTGACGTAATCGGCAGCTTGTGATAAATAAAAGTGATTAGAATTTTACATTTACAAGCGTATGAATTCAGATGAGATTTTTTATATTAAATTTTTCATAAATATTCAATTTTAAATCTAACATAAGTCTTTTTTTTTTTGCTGCAGTTTGTTATTACTTTTGTTTATTTGTCCAAATTTTTACACTTTGTTTCCATTTGATTTTTGAAAAAATAATGTATTTGAAAAGTAAATGAATTGTTGGACAAAACGGCACCAATATAGTTCTTTTTTTCTCCAAAAAAAATTATTATTTCATTCAACGAAGAAAACCCTGTTTTCACTTTGCACCTATTAAAAAGTTATAAAAATGTTTTCATAGCCGATACGATTTCTTTCAGCACAAATCTTTGTAACATTAATTGACTTATTTTCTTTGCTAAAATGCACTTTATTGTGCTAAATTGTATCATACGTCAATAAAGATCAATAAGAATAACAACAACTTTGTTAAAAATTAATGAGATTTGTGGTGAAATGAACGCGGCTGAGAAAAATGATAAAATGAAAAATAAATAAACATCTTCTCAGCGGAGCCGAAAGGAATTGTACAATATGTCCAGTCATCGCTACTGGGAAGTGCCATCATCACATTTTCAGTCCATCACGCGGCAGGTCTCGTCCTTAATTTCCGGCTGTCATGTGGGTGAAGAAAAATGTCGCGACATTACACGTCTGCGTGCCACACAGGCGTGTGATTTAATTTGCGTGCTCGTTTGTTTCGGGCCAGTGCCTCTAGGGCTATTGCACCTCTAGGGTGGCACGAGGGTGAAAAGTAGGACCCAAGCTGAGAAACTGAAAAAAAATATCAACTCTCTGATTGTGAGAGAAAAAACGGCTCAAATACGGTTTTGCGGAACCCCATCGAGCGGATTACCTATCTTGCTCTTGTCGTTGCCTTGAGGCACCCTTTGAGTTTCTTGTATTGGTCAGCGAGCAGCAAGTTTATATTTGCTTTGCGATCACAACATGTCAGCTGTTTATTAAAATTTCAGGGAGGACAAATCTTCATTTTAGGAATGTCTCTAAATTTGTGCTAAATTTTATGTATAATTCAAATTTTTAATTTGCATCGTCTTTCAATCTTCATTCTCCTCAACCAATTGCAAATACGTGAACAATCACACCAATATGGAACCATAAAATTGATGCAATTAAAACAATGATAACTATTACTGTATATTTTTTGCGAATACTAATAAAGTGAGAGAAAAGTGCAGCAACAAGTTGTATCATTTTCATTTTTGGAAAATTCGTGCGAGCAAACACTGCATGTGGCTGTTTCCAAATATTGATTGACGCTGTTGACATAGCATTTGTACACATACGAAAGGTAATTATCCAATTGGTAATTTACTAAAGTGGCAAATTTAATGTGGTAATGTGAGGAATGTGGAGTTAAAGAATTGATGTGTAGATCATAGTAAATTATGAGTAGATACTCGTTGTCATTATTGTGGTATTAAATTAAATGAAGCTAGAAATAAATACTTTTTTAATTATCCCCGTTTCGAGTGGTTTCTTTGGGTTTTAAATTCTCAAAAAATAGCATAGGTCTGTTGAAACATCAAAAGATTTTCTTGAGTTCTCCTAATAAAGTTTCCATGTTGTGAAAAAAGTTAACAACTATTTTCAACCAAAAGTCACATCTGTGAAACTCGCCATACTTGAGGGAATTAACTTGTCACAAATCATTTTGAAATTTAATTTTTACATGTCATTTGAGGTGATGGTTAATTTCCACAGAATAATAACCTTCGGTCAAGCCCAAATTAGGCTCCACTATGGTGTTTTTGGTTTGGTTGATGTTTTGTGCTTTGAATTCAATGGCAGCAATTCGACTAAACACGGTGTTAGTTTAGGCAGCAGCTAATCAATTACTGGCAGGTGGTTGTTGAGGACGGCGCATGTATTCAATATTCATTGAGCAAACGCTGCGTCTCGTTTAAATAATCATTCGCCGTGCATGACGATCGCCTGTCTGGTCGCCACGAATTACGTGCAGGGCGTTACTGCTTTAACGCGGCTGACAAATGTCCTGCCGGGGAGGTCAACAATGCCCGCCAAATGAAACAATCACCGGCGACTCGCAGAGGAAATGAATTGCGACGGCGAGAGCTGAGCGCATTACGGGCTATCCTTTCTCTGCCGCCTCACTTCACAACGCCGCGTTTTGTGCAAGGGCATAATGACAAGAGAGAGAGAAAAGCAGTTCTTTTCAACCGCCCGCCGAATCGATGAAAGAGAAACGCCAGTATATATTGTCTTCTGTGCGTTCGGTTCAAGTCAAACAAGCGGTACTTCACCCTCGAGCTCCCCAAGGACATTAAAAGTAAGCCGAGTCCACAAAGGGCGAAATTTCAACATTCAGGATTTTTTACTTTTGTTGTCAAAATTTTTGATTCGGTATGTTTTGAGCTAAATAAAATATTTCATCAATCACTGCGGCGTACTTTGATACCTCATACCAATTTTTTTTTTACAAATTTTTTTAATAATAATCGCTTCACTAGCGGAATTTTTTAAAATAAATAATCCCTCCCTCTCCTTTCTATTTTTTTTGCGTGGTCGCGAACAGGTATAATTTGAATTTTGGCAAAATAATTAACTAGCAAATATAGCAATTTTTAATCGAGTAAATTCCACTTTAGTCGTACATACAAATAAATTATTATTGTTGTTTATTTGTCCTTTTATAGTAAAAAAATTCTACATTTATCTATCTTTTTGTATTTTTTGCTACCGCATGGGTCGTTCTTTTTTCAAAGAGGAAAGGGGAGAGAAACTTAATACGCCTTATATCTAGAGCAACAGAAAACGTGTAAAGTTACAAAAAATAAAGCAAGGCATCTTTTCCTGTTTCATCTTTTCCGTCAGTGTCGTGTGGCTCACAAAAATAAGGAAATGCCGGCAAGTAAAGAATGAATGATTTTTCTTTTCGATAAAGACAAATGAAAATAACAAAATTGGGTTTGCGTGCGATGCAATATACCCACGAGAGAAGTGATGCAAGTTGATCATTTCTCTCTCAAGTTGAGGGGAAAACTTGTCTGCCCAAAACAGTTGAAGTGGTAACAGTGTAACAATAACAATATCTTCTCATC